CTATAATTACAGACAATGTTTTCAGATGATGGTTGCGAATGATAGTTACAATTAAAGAGATATCCATCTGCAACCATCATCTAAAAACATTATCTGTAATTATAGTTGCAGACTATCATCCGTAACCATCATCTGTAACCATTATCTGTAACTATAGTTCCAGATAATGGTTACAGATGATAGTTGATACAGATGGACATCTCTTTAATTGTAACCATTAAATTAAATTTTTGTGACAACCCTGTTGTTTATTATTATTATTCTATTTATTAAATTATTTTTTTATTAATTACAATATTATTTTATTATTAAATTACATATATATTACAATTTATTATTACAAATATTGAAAAAGAAAAGGAGAAACGTGTTGTTGTTTTTTCTCTTGAGCAAATAAAAATCTAATTCCAACAAATGGAGTAACGTATGCGTGTAGAATATTTGTTGAACTGGACAAAAGGTGCCGAGAGCAATATTGCCTTTCATGACGATTTATTGTCTCGTTGACTGTCCATCCAAGTAAATAATGAATGAATAACAGGAAAAAAGGGAAATCGGCATCGAATGCACAATTCAATATACTGTTTCCATAAGAGAGACAATTGTCGTATGTTTCTATATGGGCAATTCCACGTGAGATTTCAGTCGACCTCTTAAAATCGGCCAAAAATATTTTTTTTCTATTCTGTATTGAAAAAAAACAGATACGTATTTTTTTATTATTTTTTTGGAGGCCAAATTTTTGAGTTATGAATTTTCAAAATTTTCGCTTTTTAAATGTAGGTATATTTTTAATGTCAGATAACTCAAAAAATATTGCTTCTTTTTATTTTTTGACAAGAGAAAAAAAGTTTTGTTTTTCTCTCTACTTTTGAATAATCATAACAACAAATTTTTTTTTTCATTTTTTATTAAAAAAATAAAAAAATTTTATAAACAAATTAATTTTTTTTAACTTTGGGTATGATAAATTTTTAATTTTCTTTTTTTAAAACATACCTGGAAATGATAAGAAGGTTTTGCAAAAAGTTTCAGAGTGGGCCTGACAAGTTTGATGGGTCCAAAAAAATAATTATGCTGTCCATGCAGGTCGCACGCACGTGGCACAATGGGATTTTTTTACAATTTATTATTAAAAATTGTCTAGAGCCTACAAATTTTATCGGATTTTGATTATTATTGAATTTTTAGGCTCTAAACAATTTTTAATAATAAATTGTAAAAAAATCAAATTGTGCCACGTGCGTGCGACCTGCACGGAGAGCTTAATTATTTTTTTGGACCCATCAAACTTGTCAGGCCCACTCTGAAACTTTTTGCAAAACCTTCTTATCATTTCCAGGTATGTTTTAAAAAAAGAAAATTAAAAATTTATCATACCCAAAGTTAAAAAAAATTAATTTGTTTATAAAATTTTTTTATTTTTCTAATAAAAAATGAAAAAAAAATTTGTTGTTATGATTATTCAAAAGTAGAGAGAAAAACAAAACTTTTTTTCTCTTGTCAAAAAATGAAAAGAAGCAATATTTTTTGAGTTATCTGACATTAAAAATATACCTACATTTAAAAAGCGAAAATTTTGAAAATTCATAACTCAAAAATTTGGCCTCCAAAAAAATAATAAAAAAATACGTATCTGTTTTTTTTCAATACAGAATAGAAAAAAAATATTTTTGGCTGATTTTAAGAGGTCGACTGAAATCTCACGTGGAATTGCCCATATATACATACAATGTGTGTGTTTTATATATACCCTGCGGTTATCGAGTGGATTAATTATTAAATATTTCATAACGTTCTCACAAACTTTTATTACACAATTAATTATACAATTTCCCATGCAACAATCACATTTATCTCTCATCGCTATTATTGAAAACGAATTGTTCTTTTTTTCTTGCTTCTTTTAATTTTAATTTTAACGTTTTTCAATTTTTAATTTAATTGTTGGGTATCAATTTTTAATTATTAATTTTGTCGTTCAATCAACATTTATTTTAATCAATTTTTTATTATTGTTTTTAATAACAATTATATTAGGGGCGAAACGCAGAAACGAATTTATATTTATTAATTGTTTATTTATATTTATTATTTATTTATATTTATTATTTATTTATATTTATTAATTATTTAATTATATTTATTATTTATTTATATTTATTATTATTTACCTATTTATATTTATTAATTATTATTAATTAAATAATTTATTATAAAGTATGAAAATTAAAAAAAAATTTTTTAATTATAGAAGTAAAATTTGTTATATATATTTTAAATAAATTTTGTAGCTCTGCGTTGACATGAAATTAAATTTGGTGAATATTTAATAAATAACAGTTGTTTGGAAGTAATTCAGTTTAAATGCGACATTAATTAAATATTAAAGCAGCGCCTTGTTGTATGCAACTCGCATACATACGTACCTGACATGCAATAATGAGTTGCCTGTTGACAGGCGCCTTTTGTTTTGTAAACACGTTATTATTAAAGGGCCATTAACTCTTATCCGCAATCTGAAAACCTTTGGCATTTAAAACACGAAATTGTCCGTTAAACATTTTTAATTGAAATTGTTTTTCAATGCTTAACACTTTTTATCTTATACACTCTAACACGTTTATTATTAACGTTATTATCTTATTGATAATTGAAAACTTTTTTTTTAAAGATCGAATTCAAATTTTTCTGGAGTTAGTTAAATTTTTTTTAAATATTATTAACATTTATTAAATTATTTACTAAAAATAAAGGATTTATAGAAGAATTTTAGTAAAAAAACACTAAAAAAATGAATGTTATAGAAGTTACAAATAATTGCAGAAATTCAATTATGTTCAAAATTTTTTTTTAAAATTCTCGTCAACATTTCAATTATCTTTATAAATAATAAAACTCTTCTTCAAAATTCAATTATTTTCAAAAATTTTCCTCAATTCAATTATTTTAAATTATCTAGTATTTTAATAAAATTTTCTAAAAGAATTCAATTATTTAAATAAAATTTTAATAAAATTCTACGCAAACATTTAATTATTGTCATAAATAATAAAAATTTCCCAGGAATTCAATTATGTTAAAAAATTTTTTTTTAAAAATCTCGACAAAATTTCAATTATCTCTATAAACAATAAAACTCTTCTTCAAAATTCAATTATGTTAAAATTTTTTAATAAAATTCATTCTAAAAATTTAATTATTTGGAAAAATTTTCCTCAATTCAATTATTTTCAATTATCTACTATTTTTATAAAATTTTCTAAAAGAATTCAATTATTAAAATAAAATTTTAATAAAATTCGTTCTAAGAATGTAATTATTTTTAAAAATTTTCCTCAATTCAATTACTTTCAATTATCTACTATTTTAATCAAATTTTCTAAAAGAATTCAATTATTTTAATAAAATTCTACGCAAACATTTAATTATTTTCATAAATAATACAAATTTCCCAGGAATTCAATTATTTTTAATACAATTTTTATCAAATTCCTCGAGAAATGTAATTATTCTTAAATTAATAATTTATGAAAATAATTGAATTTGTGCAAAGAATTTTATTAAATTTTTTTTAAATAATTGAATTCTTTTGAAAAATTTTATTAAAATAGTAGATTTTGAAAATATTTGAATTTAACGAAGAACTTAATTATAATTATAATTGAATTCTTGCAAAAAATTTTCCAATACTTGAAAATAATTACATTTTCCGAGGAATTTATTTAAAATTGTATTAAAAGTAATTGAAATCCTGTGAATAATTTTATTATAAATAAAAATAATTGAATTCTTAGAACGAATTTTATTACATTTTTTTAAATAATTGGATTTATGTGAAGAATTTTATTATTTATGAAAATAATTGAATTCTTGCAACGAATTTTATTATATATTTTTTAAATAATTGATTTCTTTTAAGAAATTTTATTAAAATATAGTAGATTTTGAAAATATTTTAATTTCAGCGAAAAATTTAATTATTTGTGAAATATAATTGAATTCTTACAAAAAAATTTCCAATACTTGAAAATAATTACATTTTTCGAGAAATTCATTTAAAATTGTATAAAAAATAATTGAAATCCTGTGAAAAATTTAATTTGAAAAAATTTAATTAATTAAAAAATTGATAAAAATAATTAAATTCTTACAACGAATTTTCCAATACTTGAAAATAATTACATTTTTCGAGAAATTTATTTTAAAATAATTGAAATCGTATGAAAAATTTTATTATTATAAATGAAAATAATTGAATTCTTAGAACGAATTTCATTATATTCTTTTAAATAATTTAATTTATGTAAAAAATTTTATTACTTGTAAAAATAATTGAATTCTTGTGAAAGGATTTTATTATAGAATTTTTGTAAATAATTTTATTTTTTTTGAAAAATTTTATGGAAATTTAATATAATAATATTATAATATTTTAATATTTTTAGAAATTGTTACTTTCAAAATTTTGAATTTGAAATTTTTGAAAATCTTCATTCCTAGGAAAAAATAATAATGATTAAATATTTATGTAAAAAAGAAGTTATTGCTGTTTTGGAATAACTTTACAATAAAAGAAATTTGTAAATAAATGTAATAGAACATTTTTTTGAGTGTCTATTAATTTTTAGAGTAAATCGCAAAATATTCTTTAGGGTCAGGGGAAAATTGAAAATTTAGTCTGGAAATTGGGGAAAAACAAAATTAAATTTTTGTTGCAACCCTGAAATTATTTATAATATTGAAAGTTATAATACAATTTTTAACGGAAAAATGTGATTTTAAAACGAAATTTAAAAAAAATTAAATTTTTGTGGCAACCCTGAAATTATTTATAATATTGAATATTAAAATACAATTTTTAACGGAAAAATGTAATTTAAAAAAAAAAAAAATTTTTTTAAATTAAATTTTTGTGGCGACCCTGAAATTATTTATAATATTAAAAATTGAAATACAATTTTTTAACGGAAAAAATGTGATTTGTTTTTCTTTTTTAGAAGTTGAGGAGAGATCGGGAGGAAAAGCGCGTGGCGGGAAGCTTGCGCGTCGGGCCCGTTCTTTCAAGGAGGACTTCCTGGAGAAATTGTCACAAATGCGTTCTCCAGGAGGTAGCACTGGAGGCGGTGGCAGTGCAGCCGGTACCCGGGCGGCCTCACCCTCATCTCCTCGCACTCCTCGTGACAAGACTGCAGCCACTGAGAATCAGGACAAAAATCCTCTTCGTGATCTTCACATACACGTTCGCCAGGTTCAATTGGCCCTTCTGCACTTTCGCGATGTCGTGTCGAAAAACAAGCTCGAGATGCTTCCGGGAAACGGTACCATCGTCCTGGATACTGTCACGACAATACACACTGTACTCAAGTCTTACCTCCTCTCCGAGAACAGGTATATCAATCATTTTATTTATTTTCGCTCGACAAGAAAAAAAGAAATTTCTTCTTTTACATTTTTATTTCTTAAAAATTGTATAAATATAATCTAAAATTGTTATTCTCCTTTTTTATAATTCTGAATTTTGTTTTTAGCTCGACATTGGGCTCGGCAACGAATCAAGTGTACCAAGCACTGGCACAATTGCTGAAACTTTGCGATGACGTGTTGCTGCATGGAGATCAATCTTCAGCTCTAGACACGGAGAATGTTAATCATGTTATTGGTCTGGTGGAGGATGCTGTTAAAAATCTAGTGACACTGGCGCAAGAGAAAATTTCCAGTCGACAGAAACCTCCACCAGTTGCTGGGAGTAATAATAGGTATTTTTTTCTCCCAATTCTCTAAGAATCAACAATTTAAATTAACTTTTCTGAATTTATTTTCGTGAATTTATTTATTATTTAAATGGATTTTGTTTATTATTATTTACATGAATTGTTTTATTATCTGTATGAATTTATTTATTACTTATTTAAAAATTATTTGTCATGATTGATTGTTTTATGAAGATTATATTATTGAAATATTTTTCTTGTCAGAACGTCGGGATATAGTTCGGAATTGACAGCTCAACGGAATTCTCTACCTGACATTCCACTGACACCGAGGGAGCGACAGATTTTAGAACAGGCAGCGACAACCAGCAGCTTAGTTCGTAGTTCACACAGTTCTGAATCAATCCTTAGAGATTCGAGTCCACCCCCGAAACCCCCTCTTCCTGATAGGTAATATCATTTTTCTTTTCTTTCTGAAATTATTTTTTAAAATCTTAATTTTGAATTCTCCTTGAATTATTTTTTCAAATTAAAAACTTTTAATTAACAATTAATTTAAAAACCATAGCTTTTTTTTCTTATTATTGTAAATAATTAAATTCTAGAATAACTTTCTTAAAGTTTATTATTAACTTAGAAAAAATTTTAGTTTAAAACAGTCAATTATTTTCATAAGTAATAAAATTCTTCGCAAAATTTCAATTATTTTCATAAAAATTTTAATTTAAAACAGTCAATTATTTTCATAATTAATAAAATTCTTCGTAGCAATTTAATTACTTTTAATACAATTTAAATGGCAATGCTCGAAAGAATTAAATTATTTTCAAAAATTTTAATAAAGTTTTTGGCAAGAATTCAATTTTATTTTCGTTAATAAATAAAATCTTCGGAGTAATTCAATTACATATTTTTAATACAATTTCATTAAACTTTCTTGATAGAATTTGATTATTTATAAAATTTGTTATAAAATTCTTGGAAAGAATTCAATTATTTTCAAAAATTTTAATCAAATTCTTGTCAAGAATTCAATTATTTTCTTCAGTAGGTATATTTTTAATTAAGTTCCTTCAAGGACTTTCAATTTTCTCTAAAACAATTCAAATTTTATTTTTAAAAATTTTATAATTTTTTATTTTATCATTTTCATAAATAATAAAGTGCTTCGCTGTATTTTAATTATTTTCAATACATTTCTAATTAAATTTCTTGAATGAATTTAATATTCAAAAATTTTAATAAAATTCGTCACAAAAATTGAATTATTTTCCTAAGTTATAATTTTTATAAAGATGTTTATGGAAATTCAATTACCTATTTTCAATACATTTCTGATTAAATTTCTAGAAAGAATTTAATTATTTTTCAAAATTTTAATCAAATTCTTGGCAAGAATTCAATTATTTTCGTGAATAAATAAATTTTTCGGAGAAATTCAATTATTTTCAATCATTTATAAAATTTGTTATAAAATTCTTCGAAAGAATTCAATTATATTAAAAAATTTTAATAATATTCTTAGTAAGAATTAAATTATTTTCAGTATTTCGCTGTAGTTCAATTATTTTCAAAACGTTTCAAATAAAATTTCTTGAATGAATTTAATTTACAAAAATTTTAATATAGACAAAAATTTTCATTGAATTCACCAGAAAACTTGAATTATTTTCGTAAGTTATAAAATTTTTCAGATAAAATTTATTTATCAGAATTTAATTATTTTAAAAAATTCTGATACAATTTGTATTGAAAATACTTGAATTTTTATAAAGATGTTTATGAAAATTTAATATTTTTCAATACATTTCTAATTTAATTTCTAGAAAGAATTAAATTATTTTTAGAAATTTTAATGAAATTTATCGAAACAATTCAATTAGTTTCAAAATTTTTTACTAGAATTCTTGGCTAATTCAATTATTTTCATAAGTTATAAAATGTTTCGAATGAATGCAATTATTTTTTTAATTATTTAGAAACTAAATTATGATTTTCAATTCAAAACAATGTTATTTAATTAATTTTTGTTACTTTTTAATTTTTAAAGTATTAAACTAGAATTTTATTAATTTTAAAATTCGAAACCTGAGTTAAGAAAAGAGAATTTATTTAAAAAAAATTGGAAACTAAAAAGCAAACAAGAACAACTAATTAAAGATTTTTAACAAATTGAATTTTTCAAGATTTTTTAGATATTCGTTTAATAATTTAGTAAGTAATTGAATTTTACAAGAAGTCGTAATTAAAATTTTTTTTATATGTTTAAGGTTTAAAAAGCAGCATTTAAATGTCCGAATTGACTCTAAATAAATTTATTTCATAAGCGTTGCTATAAACTTTTTTTAAAAATTGAAATTACGAAAAGCTTTATTAAAATTCTGCAAAAGTAGCTCTTATAATAATTCAATTCTATTCTTAAAGAGATAATTAAAGGCTTATAAACAACTGTAATTGAAAATTATTGAAACAATTGAAATTTTTAAAAATTATGTTAAAAATAATTGAATTTTTAAAGAATTTTATTGAAATTTTTTTAAAAAATCGAGGGAATTTCTGAAAATTATATTTATTTTACTATTGAACTATTGAATTATTTATGTTGTCAAGAAAAAAGTAAAAATTCCATCTAAAAAAAAAGGAAAAGTGAGGGAATAATAAAATCGAATTAAATAATTCAAATTACAAACTGTTAATAATTTATTTAAAAAAATTTTTTTTGCATTTATTAATTTTATTTTTTTCTTTCGTAGAACAATTTGCGTGTCAGATGAAAATAGTTCTTCGGGAACGCCGCCACCTTTGCCACCGAAAAGAAGAACTCGAACTGAACAATTGATAGATGAAACTGATGGTCTATTGACAACCAGTCTCGATAGGGTTTCATTGCGCAGTAGATCTCCTGAGGATTCATCGTCCCTTCTGAGTGCATCAGCTGGAAGTTTAGATTCGGCACTTAATCATTCACGGGACGAGGACGAAATCCGAGCAATTATGGGACCAAACGATGAGTCTCTTAACGACAGTATGGATCTTAGTTTAATGGCGACAATTCAAGGTGAGTGATCCACTTTTATTTATGCTTTTTCTACTGCGGAACTTTTTCTTTTACATATAAATCAGTTCATTTTGATACTCTAGAATTTCAGTTTATAATCAAGTTCATTTTGATATTATAACATCTCTCTTGAATAATTCATTCCTTTTACGAAAGAGCCTTTTGCCTTTGCCTCTTTCATTAAAATTAAGAAATTATCAAAATAATTCAAGAATACCAATGCTAATAATAAATAATAAAATTTAAATAAAAATATTTAGATAAAAAATAAAAAAATATAAATAAAAAAATTAAGCAAAATATTACATTTTAAAATTGATGACTTTAATGGAACATTATCTAAAACACAATTTCATTTACTTTTTTCCTCCAGAAATTTTGTTAAAACTATTTTACTATTTTTATTAATCCTATGTCCTTATTTAGTTTATTTACTATCTTGAGGAAAATTTTTCGTTTTCTGCGAATAATAATTTACCTGATTTTTCGATTTTTGGGAAATTCGTTAATAATTTTTTTAAATTCTCTGATTTTTAGAAAATTCGTTTAAATTTTTTTTAATTTCTCTGATTAAAGAAATTTATTTAAAATTTATTTTTTATTTTTGTAAATAAAGCTAAATTTTTTTTATAATTAATATTTAGAGGTGAAATTTTAATAAAGGAAAGGAAATGTTGCTTTAATTTTGCGCGTGGGTTGTGTTGCAGTATCGTGTTTGAATTTTAATATTATAATATAAATACAAGAGCAGATATATAATTTTTCTGGGAGGCATATTTTTTTTTACTTGTTGTCCGACGATCGTACAAAAACCTTGCCATATGCGAATGAAGGATATACTAAAAAGGATTAGTCAGCGCGACATAGTCTGACCCTCGTCTCTTGTTACTTAAAGTAGCCAGTTGAATCTTAAACGCTCTATCATCAACACTAAAACTCTCTTGATAGAATAATTCTCCCTTCGTTTTTTTGTTGAAAAGAAATTTTTCAAAAATTTTTTTTCCATTTATAAAATGAAATAAGAAAATAAGAAAATAAGAAAATAAGAAAATAAAATAGTAAAATAAAATTAAAGGAAAATAGTAAAATAAAAATTAACAAATTAATTAGAAATCAAAATCGGAAAATGAATTCACGTGGGACGAATTTCCCGGGGGAGGACATCGATTCTTTCATTTCCAACTGGCGAAAGAGTAAATTTCCTTCTTTGTTAAATTAAATCAAAAGTGATTAAAAAATTTTTTTTCAATTTTTTTTTTTGATAATTGTGATGCAAGTTTAATAGATTTGGTTTTCGGGCAGTCCATCAAATTGAATGAGCTTGAATTGTTTAGGGATGCAAGTTAATGGAACGTCACATTGCGGTTGTTGGGAAGGTTCGGAAACAAGTTTACCAAACACTATGTTGCTAGGTCATCAAACTCCACAAGATATTCTCGGTCCCTTTGCCGGTATGTAATTTTGTTTAAGTTTCGCCCATTCCATTTTTTCTTAATTTTTCTCTTTTTCTATTTATTAACACTCTTAACACTCTTTTAAATTAACCAATGAATAAAATAAACTAACAATTTAATGTAATTTACTTTTAAACTAACAATTTAATAAAAATTACCTTTTTTATTCCTGTTAACCAGCAGGAATAATAAACTAAAAATGTAATGTTATCGAAAGAAGAAAATTTAATTGATAAAAAAATAATAAGGAAAAAATTTTGTACAATAAAGTCAATACTTTATTCCTTTTTTGTATTTTTGGTGATTTTTATTTTATTTGTTGCAGGAATCGAGGCGAAAATGGAACGACTATCGACACAAACTCAAGAGTCTGGTTTTGTATCGTTACATTCGCAGAGAAGTTCTTCGCAAAGTTACACCACCTCGAGTATTGCTTCGAAAAGATCCTCTCAGCAAAGTAGTATCAGCTACAATTCACAGACATTTAGTTCACAGCAGCAGCAACAGCAGCAGCAATCGTTTTCACAGCAAAAGCTCACCACCACCACCGATAATAATGGCACAGTTTACTCGCAAAAAACGATAACTAGCTCAAAAAGTTCAGTCAGCACGACAAATATAACAAGCACTGGAGATCCTTCACTCTTGGAGAAATTGGTAAATGTGGGTGTTTCGTGTGCATTTTTTCATTTGTAGTTTTCTTTTTTTTCTTTTCTGCGCTAACTTTTGACCTTTACTTTTTCCTACGACTTTTTATTTCCTTCACCCTTATTTTTTCCTTTCAATTTTATTTCTTTAAATTCGATTCTCAGTTTTTTTCTTCTTCTCGAAATCTATGTTTTAAAATAAATTCCTATTTTTTACATCAAAAAAGGAATAAAAATTGATAAAAAAATAATAATAATCTAAAAATTTCCTTCCTTCTCGAAATTTAAAAATAAATTCCTAATTTTTCGATCAAAATTGATAAAAACTAATAAGAATCATTTCTAACTATTTTTATGACTGTTATTTCGATTGCAGTTTAAAAATGTTTTTTTTTTCGTTTTAGGAAATTGAGGATTGTTTAGCTGCTGAGGCGAATGGCGTTCCGCCGGCGCTTCCGGAAAAACGATCGAAACGCAGAAAAGAGCGACATCCCTCGCAATATGACAATGTGCCCGAAAATGAACACTTGTCAACCTGCAGTCTTTATAGCAACGGCGATAGTTACGATTCCAGTAAACCACCACCTTTGCCAATCAAAAAACGACACAGTAAGTGTTATTTCGAAAATTTTCTCTCTAATTCTCTTAACAACCAAAAAGAAAAAAAATCGCTTAATTAATCGCTGCTTTGATTTTGGAACCAATTATTCTTTTTTTGTAAATAAAATTTATCCTTTGAAACTTTTTATATATAAATCCTTGGAAAAAAATTTAATGGAACAATTAAAGGTTAAATAAATTAAAGTCAGTGTTTTTTCCAAATTTGTCAATTTTAGTTATAGAAAATAAATAGAAAACATGTAACTTATTTTTTTTTTAAATTTTGGTAAAGAAACGGAAAGAAGGAAACTAATTTTCTGCGGGTCTACTTAACTGAGACATTTTTTTCGGGGTTGTCACAGGGCAGAAGAATCGGGGAATTTTTTCCAAAGTACTGCGGAAAAATTTATTAATTTTTTAGAAATCGTAAAAATTTTCTAGTTTTGTGTCTGGCAACTTTTAAAAATATTTTAAACATTTTATTTTCTTTTAAATTTCTTTTCGTTTGCTTTATAAATTTTGAAATTGCCACGAATTTAAATGCGAAACGATAAATTTTCTTTTTATTTCTAACAATAATTGAACTTACTAAATTGAATTTATATAAAATAATTTTTAAAGAGCAGTTATAAAATTCTTGCTTTAACATTATTTGCCGAGTTCCCAATTTGTTTTAAAAATTGGAAAAATAATTGTATTTTATATGAATTACGTTTAAAATTTTTATAAATAATTGAATTTTAAATGGATTTTAATAGTAAATTCTGAAAAAGTTAATTTTTAAAAAATTTTAACTAAAATTTAATAAATAATTAAATTCTAAAAGGTTTCAAAATTAAAATTTTAGAAAATTTCAATTTTTAAAACATTTTAAATGAAAATTCTGAAAATATTTAAATTTTCATTTAAAATCTTTTCAAAATTAAAATTTTTGAAAATTTCAATTTTAAAAAAAAATTAAATAAAAATTCTGAAAAAGTTCATTTTTGAAAAATTTTAACTAAAAATTCTTTGGAATTAGTTAAATTTTTGAATGTATATTTAAAAAATTTCCATATAATTGAAATTTCGTAAAGATTGAATTGTAAACAAATTAATTTTAGAATTATTTTAGGTGAACTTTTTTTCTATGAATAATTGAATTCTGAAAGAACTTTTTAAAAAATTGATTTAAAGATGAAGTTTTAGTTAAAAATTTGAGAAAATAATTAAATATTGAAATCTTAAAAATAATTTTGAAGAAGGTTCAGTGTCAATTCTAATAAATTATTCAAAATCAAAAGGTTTGAAAATTGAAATTTTCGGAAATTGTAATTCTTATGAAAAAATAATAATTAAATATTAATTAAATATATTTTTAAATATTACCTATTAATATTTCCGAATAATTTAACTTAAAAATTCAAAAAGTAGTTGAATTTTTTTAAGAACTGGATTTACAATTTTGATAAATAATAATTAAAATTTTAGAAAATTTCAATTTTAAAAAGATTTTAAATGAAATTTCTGAAAATATTTGATTGAAAATTTTGGAAAATGTATTTTTTTTAACAATAATTTACAGTTTTTTTAAATTAATTGAATTTTTGAATGTTTCATTGAAAATTTTGCAAATATTCGAAATTTCGTTAAACTCAATATTAGACAATGGGATTTTAGAAATATTTACGGTGAAATTTCTTTTTTTCTTTGAATAATTAAATTTTCAAATAATTCTCTCCAAAATTATGAAAAATTATTGATTTTGAGAAGAATTGTAATTTAAATATTTTAGAAAATGAATTATCTTGGAAATAATTTTGAAAAAGTTCCAATAGCAATTTTTGAAAAATAATTGATTTTCAAAAAGTTTGAATTTTTAAAAATTTTGAAATATTTAAATTCCAAATGCAAAAATCAATGTTAATGATTTAATATTTTTCATGAAAAAAGTACAAATAATTTTATAATGAAAGATATTGGCAAATAAATTTATTAGAAATTTTTTTGAATATCTTTTTTAGAGTGGAATCTAAATATTTTTTCAAATCAGGGAAAAAGTAAAAATTCTGTCTGGAAATCAGGGGAAAAATGCAGTTTTGTGACAACCCAGTTTTAGTAAATATTGGAAAAATTTAATTATATGAAAAAAAAATTGTATTTTTAATTTTCGTAATATTTTAAATAATATAAATTTTTAATAATAAAATAATGAATTGTGAATCTGATTTGGGGTTTAAATAAAAAGTTTCAAACCAGTAGAAAAAAAGTCTAGCTCAAAAATTTTCGAGTTGAATAAATTTCCAAGTGATGAAATTCGTCTCGATTTTTTTTTGTATTTTTTTTTGTATATATTAGATGAGAGAAAACTAGAACGATGAAAAGTAGGTTATTCGTTTTTTTTTGAAACTGACAAAAATGTTTTGTATCCCCCAGTGTTCCAATCTGTGGCTTATTCTGGTAAGTGGGATAATCCCACTAAAGTCAATTTTTGCTCAGCACTCATATTCTCATGCTAAGCTTTTTTGCGGCATGTTTACTTTTTCTTTTTGTTTTTCCTTCTTTTTTTTCCTCATTTCTCGTATTTCGTTCAGCACTGCAAGAACGACTTCGCTACAATTATTATTCATACACTTTTATTTCATTAAATACGTTCAGCTTCTTGCTTATTCGCTGAATCATCAACTGATCCTTTCAAACAGATTATGTTGTAGTTTTACCCATAATATTTATTTTTTTTTAATTTTGTTTTACATTTCTTGTTTCATTATTTGACATGAATGTGAGGTTTATTCATTTTTTTTCAAATACATTTTTTATTTACATAAATGTACATTTGTATTTCTTGTTCGATTAAATGTGAGATTTATGAATTTTTAGTTGTTAAATTTTGTTTTATTGAGAAAATATTAGATTATATTTTTATTTCCTGGAATTTTTTTTGTTAAAAAACTGTTTTAAAATTTACATTTACGGGAAAAGATAAAGATTTCGTGAAGATAAAATAAGTTTTAAGTTGATAATGAAAAATTATTTTTTATTTAAAAGTGTTTTTATCTTTTTTCTTTATTAATCTGTTTGGAAAAAGGAAGATTAAAAAAAATGTTATCGACGCGTTCTCTTTGTCATTGCAATTAGAAATCATTGTCATCGAAAGTGTTTCAAACATTAAAAAAAAATTCTCTGGCTTTGCTCGTTTTTTATTTTAAACTTCTCTGCAATAAGTGTCTATATATTTTTTGTTTACATCACAAGCATAACAATATTGTTTCAAGTTTAAATTAAAAACAAAAAGAAATTTGAAAAGAAATAATTCGCTATATTTATAAAATTTTTGTGAAAACTTTCAGTTATGGCGTACATGGAAATGTTTGGTAACATTTCGAGTAACAACGATTTTAATTCGGATTTGGAAACGAGACACTCAATGGCAGCTTATAATTCAATGCAAGCTGAATGGCAGCAGCAAGAAATGTCTCTTACAACGACGCAATCTTGTTCTTTTATGACACACACGTTGACAAGTTTGCACGACAGTTCGAGGTGAGTTTATTTACACTTTGAATGTTTGATTATTTTATTCGTGATGAAGGAATTTTTTAAATAAATAAACAATTTTTGTACTGTTCTTTTTCTCTCTCTCTCTCTCTCTCTTTCTTTCTCTTTAATTTAATTAATTTTTCTTTCATTGTTTCGCACTTTTTTTTGTTTCTTCTTGAACATACAGCATTTCGATCAACACGACACCATCGATAAAGGAAGTCGTGAGCAATTCTAGTCTGCCTCCAGCATTACCGCCAAAGAGATCTCGTTCCATGAAATCAAACGTTACCCCACCTCCAATTTCACCGAAACCAACTGTCAGCATGCAAACTATACATAAACCAGAGACAATTTCGACATCGACTCCACTAAAGATCGAAGATTCCAAATCTATCCCGGAATCTAAATCTATTACACCTTCCACTCCTGCTTCTTTGGTGAGTATTATCAGTGAATTTTTTAAATTGATCTGAGAGAATTTTTCATACTCACAAACCTCGGATATTGTTTCTTTTGGGACTTTTTGCGACTCATTTTCAAAACAATGCGACTTTTTCAATTTTTCTTTCAAATATTTTCAACTAAATTTCATTTTTTAATGAAAAATTTATTTTTAATGCAAAATAGCATTTTTTTTTTATGAGTCTGCGAGGTTTTGAAAAACAAAAACAAATAAATACTGCGAAGATTGATTTTATTTTTGGCTTCAAATTGATGTCATTTTTCAGAAAATGATTTTAAAGTAACAATTAATGTCTTAAATTTACAAATATAAAAATTAAAGATGAATTAAATTTGGGAAAAAAATTAATTCTTGATTTTTCGTTTTTAAAAATGTTGCCAACTTGAAACTCATATTTTTTATACATAGTTTGAACAAGAATTTTATACTCAAGACTTTCAAAAATTATTTGTTAATACATTTTTTTGAGATAATGAAATTTTTGAAATGTGTAAAATGAAAAGTTTTTAATTAATTGCAAAATAATCAAAAATTAAATTGAAAATAATTAATTCTAAATATTAATGAAATATATTTTTAAAAATTTACCTATTGACATTTCCGAATAATGTAACTTAAAAAATTCAAAAGGTAATTGGATTTTTTTAAGAATTACGCTTACAGTTTTGATAAATAATTTAATTTCAAAAGGTGCAAAAATTAAAATTTTAGAAAATTCCAATTTTAAAAAGATTTTAAATGAAAATTCTGAATTAAATTAAATTTTGAAAGGGTTTAGAAAAATTTAGAAAGGTTTTGAAATTAAATTAAAAAAATTTTAATTTTCGTGGAAAAATAAATAAGAAGTAAGATTTAATTATTTATTTAATAATGTTATTGAAATTTTGAATAATTTGAATTTAGAAATCAGTGAAAGGTCATTGAAATAATTGTGACAATACTGAATAAAATCAACGACTTTTTCGACTTTTTTTGCAACTTAAAATCGATCCGAGGTCTTTTCTTAAAATAATAAAGAACAATAAATAATGAATTAAATAAATAATTTAAATTAATTGGAATTTTTATTCTGTTTTTTTTTCTTTTTTCTATATAGAATAATAATTTACATGCGGACAATTCGTCGAGACCAGCGAGCGATGCCCTGTCGAATATATCTGTCGATGAAAATACACTTGAATTACATGACGTTGATCAGGATGACAGTATTTTAGATGAGCTGGAGATAAATAATTGTCTCGTATTCAAAAAATCGGAGGAGGATGGTCCCGATATTCGTGGTGGACTTCCGGATGCTTTGCTAATTCATGCCACCAAAGCAAACAAACACGGTAATTTATTTTTTCGTTTCGTTTTTTTTTAGAAATTTTTAATTCTTAACAAAGTATTTTATTGTCATTCGATAAAAAATTGTTGACAATATTTTATTGTCAATAAAAAAATTTTGCCAATATTTTATCGTCAATAATAAATTTTTGACAATATTTTATTGTGAATAATAAATTTTTATTTTTGTCAAAAATAATAATTAGAATTATTGTTGCATTATATTTTAATGTTGAACAATTTTAATAAGACATATTTTTGTAATTTTGGAAATATATCAAAACAGACGAAAAGGAATCAGGTGAGCTTTTTTGAAAATAAAATTTATTTTCGTTTTGATTAATTAAAGAGAAAAAAAATTGGAAATATATATATTTTTGACAATTTTATCACTGCAGGAGTTAAACAATTAGTAATTAAATAATTTATTGAATAACTAATTAGAGAATTTCAATTAATTAAAAAAATTTCAATTAATTTTTTTCAATGTTAGAGTAAATAATAATTTTTTTAAAAATTAATTACTAGAAGCAAACAAGTTGGAAAATTCGTAAAGCAGAAATGCTAGAATAAGATAATGAGGAGGTGGAAATTAAAAAATGTATCTTTATTGACTTTTCTTTAGATTTCTTGTACCAAGAAGCATTTTTAACAACATATAGGACTTTTATGTTGCCTCTGGATCTAATTAAAAAGTTACACAGGCGACATCAACGTTTCTCCTGTTCTCCGGATGTTGCGAAGCAACGAGCTGCAAGGGAGGCCTTCTCTCTCCTAGTCAGAGTCGTTAGCGATTTAACGTGAGTTTTAAAAAAAATTTTAATTTTGAAGGAGAAAATGATTTCATTTTCTCAGCTTCAAAATTAAACATTTTTTCTTTTTAATTCCGTACATGAAAATTTAACTTTTCAATAAAACTGCAAACAATGTTTACTCAAACTTCTATTTCTAGATGAAAATAAATTCTCTTCTTTTCCAGAAGAAAATAAATTTTACAAGAAAAAAAATTTCTTTTTCTGCTTATCAAAAAATGACGATATTTTCTTTGTAAATTACAGAATCTATGATCTCGATGACAAACTCCTGCAGACATTAATGGAATTTGTTCAACAATTGGTGTGCAGTGGCGATTTAACGATGGCAAAAGCGTTGCGCGTGAAAATATTGGAAAAGCATACAGCAAAGAAAATGCAATCGACACAGCCAATTCTCTCGTCATTAAGTGTCTCGACAAAACAAGCGTCATTATTGGATTTTAAGAGTGAGCAAATTGCCGAGCAAATGACATTACTTGACGCTGATCTTTTTATGAAAATTGAAATACCCGAGGTTTTAATATGGGCACAAGATCAAAATGAAGAGAGAAGTCCAAATCTCACACGATTCACGGAGCATTTCAATAAAATGTCTTATTGGGCAAGATCGAGAATATTGGAGCATCGTCTTGAAAATGAGGCGAAGGATCGTGAAAAATATGTTGTGAAATTCATCAAAATAATGAAACACTTGAGGAAAATTAATAATTTTAATAGTTATCTCGCTTTATTATCGGCGTTGGATAGCGCGCCAATTAGACGACTCGAGTGGCAAAAACACATTACCGAAGGATTGAAGGAATATTGCGCTCTTATCGATAGTTCAAGTAGTTTTCGAGCATATAGAAACGCTTTGTCGGAAACACAACCCCCCTGCATTCCTTACATGTGAGTATTTTTGATTTCATTTTAATTAGTCCTTTTTAATTAATCACTAGAATTTTTTTTTTATTTTTTTAAAAATAATTTGTTAATTTTATTAATTAGATTTGATTTCAGTAGTTTATTTTCAAATACTTAAAAAAACTGAATATTTAAATTATTATTATTATTATCGTATATTTATTAAATTTACGTTTTCAGTGGTCTTGTCCTTCAGGACTTGACGTTCGTTCACATTGGGAACAACGATTTGTTGCCTGATGGCTCTATTAATTTTTCAAAACGATGGCAACAATTCAATCTTGTTGAGAATATGAAGAGGTTTAAAAAGTGGTAAATATTTTTTTTCAATTCTTCTCCAAATTATTGTTGTTTTTAATTTTCTTTTCTCTAAATTTTATCCAGACACGTACTGATTTTTTCTTTCTTTTTTCCCATTTCCAATAGCACGTATCACTTTAAAAAGAATGAGCGCATTATTGCGTTTTTCAATAACTTCAGTGATTTTCTCTGCGAGGACGCAATGTGGCAAATATCCGAGAGCATAAAACCAAGAGGCGGAAAGAAGTCATAAACAAAAATTGAATCTAAATTCTCTTCTTAAAGAAAAGAAGAAATTAAAGCAAAAGAAAAGAATTCCCCCGAAAGCGGCAAACAATGCTCTTTTTAAAAGGTATTATTTTTTCCTTATTATTATTTTATTTACTATATATTATATTATTTAGAAAGCAAACGATAAAATTTATTTATCGTTCGTCAGATAAAAAATGAAACAAAAAAAATCGGAATTATTCCCGAATTCGATTATTTAACCGACCTCTATGAGGTTGAATTTGAAATTCAGGTTTTTTTATGAAATCTCTATAAATATATGAATATAATGAAATACGCGTTCTTCGTGGAGAGAGAAACCTGAGAAAAAAGAAAAAAATATGTAGAAAAACGCCAAAATACGATCTCGCGCTCTTCGTTTTAAGCCTTTTGATATAGGGCTTTTGCGTAGATAAATATTAATGTTTTGCTTTAAAAAAGAAATGAAAAAGTAATAATCTCGAATACGCTAAAAGACGTTATCGAGAAAGAATGCTTTAAAGGAATAATTGTAATTATAGATATCTAAAAACCCCAAAACTAAAATTTCTACTCTACGAGTAAACTATCTATTTATTTATTCAATTATTATTATTATATTATATAATTTTTCGCAGCTAACGTGTAAGATAAAAAAATAGGCATTTTTACTTTTTGATTATAAATTTAGATTTAATTCGTTGTCTAGGTTTACGTAGATAGAAAAGCGTTTCAATGGTCAACAATTCAATATTGTTGATTATACAAGGAAGAACACCAATTACGTTGATTAAAATGTAGAGCCATTGTTGTTCCGCATCGTCGTTCTTATTTGAAAAAAAAAATAAAATAAACGCGAATCGGAACACTTGGTACGACTGAGAGCTAAAAAAAAAATTGAAAAAAGAAAAAAAACTACTGTTGCATATACTATTGTATATGATTATATAGAAAACATTTTGTTGCAAAACTTGTTAATAGTTATTCAAGCTTTTAGCTTTAAATCAAGCCGCTATTTAGATAATTAGAGGAACTAACGTAAAAATTATTATTCCTAAGAATTTCAATTATTTACCGATTTTTCTGTTTTAAGGTCGTCGAGAGTTTCTTTCATTACAATCAACGCTGGGAATTTTTATTCTTTACTTTTTTTCTATAACTATTTTTAACGATTATTAAATCGTACTTAAAAATTTAATGAAAAAAATAATTTAGTTAAAAAAAATTAGAAAATCAAAAAATGTTTCAAAAAGAGAATTGTTTTTTACGATTTTCTGCCTGTTTTGAAACTAAATCCAATTCCATAAATGATTAAAATTTTTTTAATCACAGAATCAGAGATTGATTAGAATTTTTTCAAATCAGAGAATCGGAAAAGAAAATTTCAGAGAAGAGAAAAAAAATTTTCAGCGTTAAATTTTTGACGGAAACTTAGACATGAACCTTGTGGTGTCTATTAGAATTTTCAATTAGTCGGAATTTTTGAGAAAAATGTTAAAAACCTTTATTTTCTCTTTAAGCTAATATTATTCATTCACAGTAAATAGAATTTTTCGTTTCTTATCTTTATTAAAAAAAAATTTCTGCACTTGCAATAATATTAAAAAATCTTCAAAATAAATAAAGGAGAAAAAAACAAAATGAATTCAACGTGGTAATTCATTAGTCAATTAATCGAGAGTATTTGAAAAAAAATAGAATCTTGTTTAGAAATTTTCACCAGCTTATAAATAGAAAATAAAATTCAAATATAGAGAAAATGCCTAAATGAAATGATTCACAGTCCAATGAAATTTTCAATAATTGGTTTTTAACACTCAATATATTCACCAAATTTCTCATTTCGCTTGTAAATAATTACCGATTTGAATTTAATTCAATTTTTTGCGGAACAAAAAAGAAAATTTATTTTTTCATTATCAAACTTTTGTTTATGGGAAAAAAAAATTTTTGTTTGAATCAACAAAAATTATTATTTAAATAATAATTGAAATTCAATTATAATAGCGAGAAGATAAAAATTAATATTTTACAAATTAGACAAAAAAAAATATTTTTATAAGTTAATAATTTGACGGAAAATTGAAAATTTTCACTAAAATTGATTAATGAAGGAAAAATTTCGTTCCTAAATTATAATCATATATATGTAAAAAGATAAAAGAATGAAACAAAAAATTTGTATAAAGTTAAATCATCAGAAAATTAATTGATGATAATATTTATTGGAATAAGTTTTTGTGAAGAGAAAAAGAAAAGAGTTTGTAAAAAAAAGAAATTGAATCAACAAAATGGAGGGAAAAAATTAAAAGCTCCACATACAATTGAAAATGAATTAGAAAAAAATACATGAAAAAATTTATCTTATCCATAATTAAATAAATTTGTGACAAAATATAATTTTTGTAAATATTTTTCTAAAGGAGACTTTTTAGAAAATTAATTTTCAATACTTTGGAAATTTTCGAATATTTGCGTAGTAGAAAAAAGTTACTGTTCTATTTTTAAAATTTTTTAATTACTTTTACGTCCCTTTTTTTAAATTCAATTATTTAAAAACAATTTGACTAAAAAATTTCGTAAATAGAATTTTAGAAAAATTTAGAATTAAATAAAATCCAATTTTTATAAATCGACTAAATCGAGTTTTTTTTGTCAAATTTTTAATTTTTCAATAGCTAAATTTTACTACTTTCTTCAGTCTGTTAATTAAATATTTAATAGCGAAAGGAAAATTTAACAACGGACGTAAAACTAATTAAACGGAAAAATTTGCAATTGGCAATTTATGTTTTGGTGTTTTGTTTTATTATTAATAAATAATTCGTCAATATTTGAGGGGAAATTAATTTCTATAAAAGTCATCAACTAGGACAATTTTCGTGAAAAATATTAATTGCTATTTATTTGTCAAAGAAAATCGGAAAAATGTTTTATTTTTCTATATTTAATTTTTTTAGACAGTTTTTTTAGCTGCAGAAAAACTCTCTTTGCTTTTAGAGAAATTTTCTTTCGACACTATTTCATCTTGTTCTCAAAATGCATTTATTTTCTTGTACTTATTTTCTTCTGAAGCATCCTGTCGATACGAATATCTTTAAATTCCACGCTTACTTCTTTCTTTCCTATAATTGTAAATTTTCTTTTTATCTTCTTTATTTTTTATCTTCTTATTTTTTATCTTCTTATTTTTTATCTTCTTTATTTTTATCTTTTTTTCATCAGTTGAAAAATATTTTCAATTCTTCAAATTTCTCTTTCGAATTAAATTCACCGAATTTTATTTAGAAGCAAAGTCGTCCCTTAGAGTGTCTGTAGAGACAAAATCAACTTTTTTAGATTGACAAATTATTTGAAATGAATTTTTATTTTTTTTTTTTTTTGGAGAAATGGGCGAGTGGACGAATGAGTTTTTTTGATTCGATAATCAGTGATTGTATAAATATAATTCTAATTTCGCGTTGTCGAAAAAAAACTGTATTTAAACTACTTGTAAATAACGAATCGATACGAATTTGTTTATTGTGCTGCTATGCGCTAACAGCGTTTCTATATTATAATAATGAATACATATTACACTGTTCTTTCATCGTTACATCCATGACATATTTATAGATATATTATACATAATACAATATAAAATGAAAATCGTAATTTCTATAAAGCGGACATTCTCTTTGTGATGCCATTTATTTTCTCTAATAGTCACGCATTTTTATTATTTATATATTATATTATTTCATTTTTTATAATCAAAGAACCAGCTGTAATTTTGTTTCTTTTCGTTTTGTACTTTTAACGTAATTTATAATATTCTTTTTTTATATATTTAACTTTATACTTTCTTACGTGATTTAAAGATTAATTTATTCTTTTCTTAACATATGTATGTACTATATTATTTTTTTATTTATGGTTTTTTGGTCCTTTGACGCAAAAATTATTTTGGGTACATTTTTCAAAGAACTTATTTGTTTTCTATTTATTTTAAATTAATTTTTTTTATTTTATTTTATTTGTTAATTTTACTTTTTAATTTTAATTTTTAATTTTATTTTTTATTTTTTTATTTATTTTTTATTTATCTTTTTTCTAATTTTGTTAACGTAACTGAACGAGGTAAAGCGAAAAAAATTCGACAAGAAAAAAATTACGTTTTTAATAATTTTTCTATTTGAATGAAAGGAAAAACTATTTTATACGTTTAAATTAAAAATATGAAAAAAAATTCCAATGTAGAATTAAACAAAAAAAAAAAAAAACAATTGTAATCTCGAACTTGGAAGAGCCGAGCGAGATGAAAAACAACCAGTGAATGTGCAACGAAAAACTTAGACTTGATTTTATCGATTAGCTAGGAAATCATTATAAGATATTAAGAAAGTAAAGACATTGTGATTGATAAAACGCGTATATCATGTAATAATATACTTTTGATTATTGTTGAGTATTTTCATGAAGGTTCAAACTGTAACTCAATGTTTTTCTATAATCTATACCACTCGATATGAATGCTTATGAAAAAAAAAAAAATATCAACATTGTCGATATTTAGACACACTGCGTTTGTATTTGCTGTAGACTTTGGCCAATTTATGCACATTAATTATTATAAATAGCTTTCCACTCGTGCTGCACAATTTGTCTCCAAAGCGAGAGATATTTGTAGCTTTATAGATTCAGAATATGTAGTTGAATTTCTTTTAGAGTCTAAAAAAATGTACCAATTACGAGTTTTTTTTGTTCTATTTTTTTAACGGAACAGTCTCAATGATTCGCTTTCTGTCAATAATTTTTTATTTTATTATTTATTTATTTATTTATTTCTCAAAAATGTTTTTTTATAACGGAAATTGATCGAATGTTAATTGTGAACTTTAATTGTCAACTTTAAGAAAATTCTTCGCACGAAATTAAATTATTTTCAATGCAATTTTCATAAAATTTCTCAAAAGAATTAAATTATTTTTAATCAATTTTAATAAAATTCTTTAAATGAATTAAATTATTTTCAATACAATTTTAATTAAATTTCTTGAAAGAATTATAATTATTTTCAAGAATTTTAATAATTCTCGACAAGAGTTCAATTTATCCTGAGATTTTATTTTAAAGAAATTTTTGTCAAAAAAAAAATAAAATTGGATTATTGATGGAAAAGCGAATCTCGATTATTAAACTTAAATAGAAGGCACCAAGATTTTGCTCAATCTTCTCAATAAACGTAAAACAGATTTGTATTTTACACTTGAAAAAGAATTTTAGAAAAAAAACTAACATATCGTAGACTCTAAATGAATCGAATGAATTGATTTTAAACGATTTAAACGACTGTTCCTCTGAGTGTTTATAAAAAAAAATTCCCTTCTGAGGATAACTTTCAAATATCTCTATATATAAATATTTTGCTCTAAATAATAAGAATTGGACTCGTAGATTTTTTATTAGGAATATTTCTCAAATAATTTTTTTTAAATCCTCAGTAATTCGTTCCTTATTACGCAGCACAGAAATATTTGTAATTTTCTGTTTTGTATTTATTTTTCCCCTCTCTCTCTATCTCTCTTTCTCAAAATTTGTCAGTCTTCACTCGTGCACTTGTAATGAAAAGATATTTATTAACGAAAAAATAAAATGAAATAATTAATAATAATCGGTTCTCTAAACGAGCGAGCTCACTAGGCTGTGAATTGATGATGGCATAGTCAGGACCAAGCAATCATTGGCTGGTCATCTGGTTCTTCGGACAAAAAAAAAAACAAATAAAAAGAATAAACATTTGTGTAAGCTTTTTCAAAACTCTCGGGCCATAATCCATCATTATAGATTAAAGAATCAAATAACTCTCGCTGAAATCAGTGTAACTGTTAAATAGTGGACGAAATGAAAAAAAAATAATATTAATAATAATATAAAACTATTGCTGTAATTTCTAAGGAAAAACCAATTACCAACAGTCTGTAATGAATACGATAAATGTTTTATTATAAATCTTTCCTTGGATATAAAAATATGTGTCTAAGCTTAAGGTAAACCAATAGCAGTAGAATTTAATTAGATGATGTCTGTGTACACTTCATCTTAACAATTAATGCTGAAACGGGTGCTACAGTAGTGCTGAGATTAAAAAGCTTCAAAAGTAAAAAAAAAAAGAAAACATTTTCAAATCATGAGCAATTTATATTACTCTCCAGGCAGAGATACATATCCATTAAATTTTTTTTTCGAAATTCTCAATTTTTCGTTTTAATTAATAATTACACTATCAATGTAATTACTGACAGACTGCCGTTGATCCTAATTAAAATTAATTAATTATTTTCATTTTTTTCTCAATTTTCTTCTAGTTGTTGATTTTACTTTTGGAAAATATTGGAAATATTAGAGATATTTTCAAAAGAATATACTTTCAATATTTAACATTTTTTTCTCTATAATTTTTATAATCTGCTTTGTATTTTGAAAATTCTTTTCTTTTAAAAAAATTGTTTTAATTCTTTTCTTTAAAATTTTTTTTTAAATTCTTTCCTTTTTGAAGAAAATAATTTTAATTACAATTAATCAAAATATTTGTTTTAAAATTAATCAAAATATTTGTTTTCTTATTAAATATTACAGATTCAAAGGGGGAAAAATCAATTCATAAAATCACTTTTGGGACCAAACTGTTTTTCACATTTTTCTCTTGAAACAAAGATTGGAGATTAAAATCAAAAATAATTTTTATAGCTCTTTAGAATAATTTTCACTTAAATTAACTATGAAATAGTTTAACGTTTTATTTGCAAAAACACCAGTAAGAAAATTTCGAATAAATATTTCTGGCATTCTCCAAAATCCAAAAGTTTCATCAATTTTTTTTTTGTTCCAAAATCGTTAATAAAAAAGTAATTACACGCACAGTAGTTGAATAAAAGTTTTTTACAAATTTCATTTCTTAAAAATGTAAAATACTTTTTTGATCTTTTAAAACTTTTTACATTAATCTATAAAAAATTTGCTACTTTGCTAGCAAAATTTTTTTCCGTTAAAAAAAATCCATTTCTAAAAAAAAAGACAACTTAGTTTAAAAAATGAGAATTACAATTTTAAAGATTTGATTCAATTTCTATTTGATTCTTAGAAAGTAATACAAATATGTAAAATCAGAATAGCTCAGTAATTATAAATTACAATTAAAAGAGATAAATACACCAGAAATACACAATTCATTATAACAAACAAAAAAAAGCATATCAGTGGTGAAGTAATAAAATTAATAATATTTAGACGTCCGAATATTTTTCTTTGACACACGATAATTACAGAAAAGCAATAAAGATCTAAAAAACAGGGGGGTTAAAAAGAACTCTGGATTAAATAGTTTCTATAGCATTTAATTAATTAATAGATGACATCGATACTATAATGGATTAAAAATACAAACGTTGGCATGAGTTGGTTGTGAATTTTCATGATTTGCTGTCAAGCTTTCGATACTAATTAATAAATATATTAATTTATGCACATATGCGTACATATAAATATTATAATTATTAATATATGTATAAACATTTGACACAAGTATTTTAATTATAAATTTGCGATCGATGAAGAAGCGATTTTCAGTTTGTCGCGAAATGTTATTACAAAAGAGAAAAACAAAAATATAATGTACAATTTCTTGCAAATAATTATGAATATATTTTTTTGTTCATATATATACTTGTGGGAACTCGAAAAATATGTATTTATAATACATACGATGTTTGAATGAGACGTTATTTCTTTTATTTTGTAACGAATATACGAAGGAAATAAATATTGTGTGAATTTAAATTGACATTATGTTTTGCTTAATAAAATTTATTGTTATTTGTATACTTTTTATTCTTTTTAAGATGAACAAATTTTTTTTTAAAACATTTTTGTTATTTATTTGTATTTCAATATACTTCTTCTAATAACTGGACATAATTATTTTTTTGTTCCTAAAGTTGAACTAAATGTTTAATTTTAATAACATTTTTTTTATAGCAATAATTTAGAAAAAAATTTCGTTCCTTTGAACGTTGAAAACTAGAAAAATTTATTTCTATCATTATGTATTTATTTAATTATACTCACTCTTTATTGTTAAAAATCTTTTTTTGTAAATTAATTTATTTCTATAAACAATTAAACTAACAATTAAAAAATCAATTGTTGTAAACATAACCTCCAAACTCCATGCGTTGATTTCAATGAATTAAATATATGTCCAATTAAAATTTTTTTAATTTTTAGCCAATTGTTAATAATATTTATTAACTGATATATTCTAAAGACAATAATTATTTTAATTTTATGATTTTTTTGTATAATAAAATAAACAATTTACATCGTCATGACACTTGTATTCACCGGCATGCAATGAGTACTTTTGACCCTTTTGACAGCCTTGTGAACCATTTACAATCATATGACATAATGACAATAGTAAATTCATTATTAATTGCTATAATTAATGAATTTTTTAATTAAATTAGAATTAAAAACGTTCTTTAATTGATTTTTATACAATTGTAAACATTACCACATTACTAAAAATGTCGACGAATATCTACTTTACCGACTCTGTAAGAGTTTGAATGTTTATTTATTAAATAAACAATATATAATTAAATTATTTTGATAAATAACTAAATAATACGCTTATTAATGATTTACAATCATATTTCAATAATAAAATCAAGTATTGATTGATTAATTTATTAATGAATTTAAGTGAAAAAAGCGTTAGTTCCGAGTTTGTCCGCAAGATATAGGTAGATGTCGCCCCTAAAAATGGCTGTTTTTGGTAGTTTTTGAGTTTCCCATGTCACTAGCCTTCCTTTAAACTAGCGCTCTCATTGGCTATATTCAAATTTTCGCGGGAATCGCTCAGACACTCTCATTGGCCGACTGCGTCCCCGCGAAAATTTGAATATAGCCAATGAGAGCGCTAGTTTGGAGGAAGGCTAGTGACATGGGAAACTCAAAAACTACCAAAAACAGCCATTTTTAGGGGCGACATCTACCTATATCTTGCGGACAAACTCAGAACTAACGTTTTTTTCACTTAAATTATTAATTAATCAATCAATACTTGGTTTTATTATTGAAATATGATTGTAAATCATTAATAAGCGTATTATTTAGTTATTTATCAAAATAGTTTAATTATATATTGTTTATTTTAATAAATAAACATTCAAACTCTTACAGAGTCGGTAAAGTAGATATTCGTCCTTTTGACATTATTAGTAATGTTTACAATTGTATAAAAATCAATAAAAAATACGTTTTTAATCAAAAATATGGGAAGACTAACATATTTCAAAGATTGTTAACTTAATTAAATTTATTTAATAAATTAAAAATTTAAATTAAATTACGAAATTAGTTTTATTTTTATATTTAAGACATTTTAACTCTATAAACAAAAAAGAACACAGACATGTCTAGTTTATAGTTATGTTCCCCATTAATTAAAATTTTGTTTTATGCGAATTAAACCTTTTTTTCTGCAAAATAATAAATTTTCTACATATTTTTCATTTTAATTGACGCATTTAATTATATTCAAATTCGCGCGGTTAGAATTTTTACATTGGTATGAATGGTGGTAATCCTGATGTTTGACAGCAAACGCCATGCCTGAAATTGTAAATAAAATTGTTTATTTGGTTACGAGAATCACAAAATTAAAGTGATGTACCTATCCGTAAAAATTCAAGGATTAAAATAGCGTGTAATGGAATAAGCTCAAAATTGTGATGATAATGAGAAACTCATAAAATATTCTTCACATTTATTTTCTTCATATCATCGGAATAAGTTTCTTTCCGCACGTATAGAAAGAGAATTGTTTTTTTCTATTTAAAACTCAGGATGACGACGTTAAAAGGCATTTTTCCTGATCCTAGTAAGTGCTTTACATATTTTCAACTAAACTTTATCTCATAATAAATAAATTTTCTCTGATAAAATAGTTTTTATATAAGCCACAAATTTTCCTATAAATTTATAAGGTTATGTTATTTTCGACACATTAAAAATTTATATCCTAATATCTATGCTTATTGATTTTTTTTTCTATGATACTATTCAAAAAAAAGACTCCCCTATAATTTTTAATTAAGATAATTTTTTTTTATAGAACCGTCGAGAAGAAAAAATTTTATTCAAGAAAATGTTAAGAGTTTACGCAAAATGGAGCAGTATTTTCATAATAAAAATATAGAGGATTTAAAAAATCTTCATCTTCATAAACAACAGAAAGCTGTGAATAAATACCAAAATGTCACATCAAAAGTAAACAGTACTTTTAAAGTTGGAGAAGTGACGGGAAATAAATCGTATTCAAATTTACAGGGTGGAAGTAAAACAGAAAAATTTTCGAGTTCGTGTAAAAAATTAAATGGTGGAGATGTTTTTTGTAAGGATGCAAGTTTCTCTTCTTCAAAAAAATTATCAAAATCACACGAAATGTATAATTCAATGCCACAAGGAATTGGCAAACTTCGCCAAGTACAAAGAGTTCCTATTAGAAAAAATAAGTTTAAATCAAATGAAAATATTGTACAGAGTCAATTTGAAAATAGTGAAATTAAAAAAAATGATGTGAAATTGAGAAATCAGGGTTGTCAAACAATGGATGATAATAAATTGGAAAATTTGTACACTGAAGGTGTAATAAGGTACGTCTTTTTCTATTCTATTTATTAATTATTTATTCAAAAGAAAATTTTTCTATTGCTAAGGTTAAAAAAAACATTTTTCTTTAAAAAAACTTATTGGTTTATTTTTGAATTTAAAGATACGCGACGAAAAAGGACTCGAAGGATGAAAAGCAACCAATTACCTCTGATAGTGGAGATTGTAACTCACCTGTAAAAAATGAAAATACAAGAATAGATTTTATTAAATTAAATAAAGAACGAAAAGCTGTTGGAAATAAAGCGATATCAACGATTAATAATTCAGTTCCGCCTTCGAGTTATCGAAAAGGAGTTGTTCCCAAGTAAATATTTATACTTTCAATTTCTCAAAAATTATTTTTAAAGATTTCTAAAATGAAAAATGAAAATTCTTTTGTAGATACATTCAAGAAAGAAAAGAGGCGCTGAAAAAAGAGGAGCAGGCAAAAATTGAGGCATCAATTCCTTCAGATTGCCCGCCGGGACATATTCCAATTCCCGACGATGAACGAAAGGAATCTTTACACATGTTAAAGAAAAGTAATTATAATTAAAAATCTTTTTTAATAGACAAAAATTTTCAATCTTTTCTAAGAAATGAAAAAATCAAAAAAGGTTTCCTTCTTATAAAAAAACAAAATATACTAAAAAAATTTAATTAAGAATCACAATTGGAATCATTTAAAAAAAGCAAATACTAAATATATTTTTTTAATTAATTTTCAGGATACGAAAAGTACGTGACAGAATTAAATAAATTACCGATAAGAAATGACACACTACGAGCTCAAAGAAAAAAAATAGAAATCGAAAGGGAATTAATGAAGCTTGAGGAAGGTATTAAAGTATTTTCAAGACCAAAAGTTTTTATACAAGTTGACGCGTAAATAAAAATTGACTCTTAATAATTTTTAAGGGACCAAAAAAGTCAACATAAAAAGTCAATTGCACAAAACTGTGAAATGATGTAGTGAAAACAAAAACTTACATCAAAAGTTGTTCAAATTAATTTAAATTCTGTATTTACAATAACAATATTTTATAAATATCTGTTTCACGAAAAAATTATCTAGTCTAATCTGTACAGCATTCCCATTATTGTATTAATAACAATGGTGAAATATAGAATATTATTTTTCTATAAAAAAATGTTATTTATTCCCCTTTAATTTGTCCAAGTAAGTAAAAAAAATATTTTCCATAAAATCTTCGGGAAATTTACTTTTCGTATCGTAAACTTTTATCAATTGTATGAACAAAATTTAAAGAATCAAAGTCAATTTTTCCATAATTGTAAATATCTTTTTCGATATTATTCCATTTTTCAAAATCGAAATCTTTGAAGAATATTTTAATTTCCTTTTCAGCGGAAATTTTTGAATCTGCAAATAAAGAGTTTTTTTCAGTAAAAACAGTTCTTTTTAAACAGATTTTTTTTATAAAGTCATCAGACTTTATCGATTTGATTTATGATTTATTAAAATTTTAATTTAATTTAATTTGAAGAAATTTAAGAGAGGAATTAAATAATACCTGATCCGTGAGCAGCATTTCTTGTGTCTGAGAGACCAAATTTTCCTCTAATTGTATCGGGGTCGGTAAATTGAGCTTGATAAACTTTAGTTGGTCCTAATAATTTTCTCCAACGAGCTATTGCGTCGTAACCTGCTAAAATGTGTACATCCGATGGACCACTGGTCATAAAAGTTAGTAAACGATTGTAAAAAAATTTTCCTTTATGATCGGCATAAAAAAGTGCCGCTTCATTTCTACTAATTACCATTCTCCTCGATTTTACTACCTTGAAATCATTTGCGATTATTAGATTTCGAATACTCTGAAAAATAATTTAAAAAAATGTAAATTATAAAATCTACCTTTAGAAATCAAACTAAAAACTCGTAATTCATTAATTAATCTCGAAAGTTTATTAAAAATTTTGCAAATTATAACAATTTTGATTTAATTTAAAATGAAATGAAATGAATGGAAATTAATTAAATATTAAATAAATAATATTAATTAAATATTAAATTAAGCTATTTAATTTTTATTTATTTAATTATAAATTAAATAAATATAGTTACTTTAACGAATTGTATAATTTCTACAAAAATAAAATGACAGTTTCATTAACAATGTTACCTGTAAAACGAACGGAGACTTTATAACGTGAGGTTTTAAAATGGCAAGCGTTAATTCAAACGCTTCTGACTTCATCATCTTCTTATTATTATCATATTATCTTTTAATTTCATAAATCTTAATTAAACATTTTCTATAATTGTTGTGTTGGTTTTGTTATTGTCAACTTGTCCATCCCATGTGTGCAATCAAACATAACCTCTCTACTGTCGATTAATAGTAGATTAAAATTTATTTCACATGAGATAAATATCTAATTACGTATTTATTCACCTTTTCAACGATTTACAATCATATTCGAATAATAAAATCAATTAATAATTAGTTTAATTAATTAAATTAAGTGAAAAAGCGTTAGTTCCGGGTTTGTCCGCAAGATATAGGTAGATGTCGCCCCTAAAATTGGCTGTTTTTCGTCGTTTTCTAGTTTCCCATGTAACTAGCCTTCTTCCAAACTAGCGCTCTCATTGGCTGAATTCAAATTTGCGCGGGGACGCAGTCGGCCAATGAGAGTGTCTGAGCGATTCCCGCGAAAATTTGAATATAGCCAATGAGAGCGCTAGTTTAAAGGAAGGCTAGTGACATGGGAAACTCAAAAACTACCAAAAACAGCCATTTTTAGGGGCGACATCTACCTATATCTTGCGGACAAACTCGGAACTAACGCTTTTTTCACTTAAATTCATTAATAAATTAATCAATCAATACTTGATTTTATTATTGAAATATGATTGTAAATCATTAATAAGCGTATCATTTAGTTATTTATCAAAATAATTTAATTATATATTGTTTATTTAATAAATAAACATTAAAAATCTTGCAGAGTCGGTAAAGTAGATATTCGTCCTTCTGGCATTTTTTAGTAATGTTTACAATTGTACAAAAATCGATATAAAATCGCTTTTAATCAAAAATATAGAAAGATTGTTAAGGGGATTTGAACCTTGATGACGTCACAGTTTGTGCAAAGCATTAGTTTTAAATCTGTGACGTCATCATGGTTCAAATGCCCTTAACTAAATTAAATTTATTTAACAAATTAAAATTAAATTACTAAATTACTTTTAATTTTATATTCAGGACATTTCAACTGTACAACAATCAAAAAAGTTTAGAAATAAATCTTCAACTCGTATTAATAAAATAATAAAATAATAATAAAAATTAATAATAATAATAATAATTAATAATAAACTAATATAATAATTAATATAAATTAAGTAGAACTTCGTTAAAATCTAGGTAAATAATGAAAAAAAATCAATTATGTATACCTGATTTATATTTTTAATTTTTTTTTTCAAAATAGTATACAATACTAACGAACAAATTAATTATATGATAACGTTACTTAAATAAATTGTTCATCAACAGTTACCCTGCATTATATGTGCATACAGAAAAACTGTAATTCTAGTTTCTTAAATAATAATAATAATTAAAAATTATTGTAAAATTTTTTAATCTTTCTTGAATTTCTTTTGATAATTTAATTATTTATAAAAAAAGGATTCACTCTCAAAATTTTATCCGTTAAAAATATTCACAACAATGAATCAAAACATATCTATCAACTATATATTATATATATAATAATATTAATAATAATAATAATAATAATATAAAATTCATGTAGACATGTCGATATAATGTACATTTTATAAAAGAATTTGAAAATATTCAAAAAGTTTTTTCGAAGACATTATTTTTTACACTTCTTTCTCTCTTATAATTTCGAAATAAAACTAAAGTTTCCATAAAAAAAATCCAAATAAGCTCCTATTATGAATGTGATTTTTTTTCTTTTAAAAAACACTAAAAAGCGCTTAGGTTCTTTTTTTTGTAATAAATTAGAGAACAATTAAAATTTACGCGAATTCCTGATTCCTATCAATATTTTTTGTTTTGTCTTTTATAACGTAAATATATTTATATTTTTTTTTTATTTATATAATACTTAATATTATTATAATACACTTTGTTATAATCATATATAACAATAAATGAGCTTGGATATGATTAATGAAATACTTTAGGCTATCGATACACGACGAGCTTGTAGCGTATGTACATTGTTTTATTGCATATAAATGTATAGATTAAATAATTGCCATTACGGAGATTCAAAACTAGAAAATAAAATAATTAATATGTTATATTTAAAAAAAAAAGGAAAAAAATTGGTCCTTACGACAAACAGAAGCGAGAAACACGACTTTTGGAAGCTTCCTTTTTTAATTATAAATTAATTAAAAAATTAATTACTTTTTAATTTTAACTTTTTTTCCAATATAAATGTTTTTTTTAAATAAAAGTTTAGTTTAGTTTAGTTTTTTCTAAGTCTAGTATTTAAAAGAAGATCGATTAATAGTAATGATTGAAAACTAAATTTTTCGATTCGAAATTAAAAAATCCAATTAAAATATTCAAAACAGTAAATTTAAATAATCCTTCGAAAATTTTTTGTAATTTTTTTTTAATTGTTTTAAGAAGCTCTTCAAAGTCGCATTTCGAACAGGAGCCAACAGTGGATTACCCGCAGATTATTAACAGTGGCAGCCAACGTAGTAACACTATTATGTAGAGATGAATTTAACTATTATCACAGATTTATTTACAGACAGATTAATAGTCATTTGATTGAATCTTGACATTACATAAAATTCTGTCTTCCTGCCTCTCCTGTTTTAAACGACCGATTCAAAAAATGATCGTTCACAATGCACAAAATATTTTTTAAAAAAACAAAAATCTCAGAGGCTGTAATAAAAACATTTTGAAAAAAAACCAGGCAATCTCAGAAAATAAATTGAAATAATCTAACACCTTCTCTCTTAGACCTCTGGATATTTTTTTTTATAAATAGCACCCTATTTGTAAAATGTTAATTATTCCTCGAACATTTTCAAAAAGGAAGCTAATTTGTCAGTTTTTTTTCAATTTGTGCAGATTTTTTTGTATTGTCTTCGGTTTATTTTAGTTAGAAAGAAAAATTAATCCACTAAAAGTCGAAAATTTAATAAAGATATTTTCTTTTTTTTATTATTTAAAAAGCAGTCGATAACATTTTACAAATAGTATCATCTTAGCGTATAATCTAAAAACTAAAGCTTATTTTTTTCTGCCCCCCGACAAAAGAGAGTCAATTTTTGTTGTTTTTTTTTGTTCCGACTCAACGTCGAAAGTGGAAAAGAATAAAATTCAGTACACTTTGAGAGACGTTAATTATGAAAAATGCACAAATATTTACTAAATATCTTTGGAAAGACGTCAAATTGAAGAATTTCAAAATCGTCTTAATTTTCTTTTTTTTTTGATAAAAAAAATTTTTCTAAACGTCCGGATAAAAAAAAACGATGCAAACTTTTTTTGTCATTAACAAATGCGCATTCACCGCCCGTCTGACTAATACGGAAAACAAATTGTTATTTAGTTTTTGAATAAAACTAGTACTTAGCTATCTCGTTAACAACATTTTTTTCTATGTTGTTTGGTGCTTTTTCTTAGATTCACCGTCTCGTTGGTTTGAATTGCTTGTCGTACTTTCATCTCTTTTTTCGTACGTAATACTTGTCGGGTTATATCCGAAAACATCTGAAACAAAAGGTAACAATTAAATAATTTAACAATTTCTTTTAAATTAAAACAATTTTTCTTAAACTTTTTTTTAACTTTTTTTTTTAACTATTCTCTTCAGGGTTGCCACAAAAATTATTTGTTATTTATTATTATTATTATTATTTATAAGTAATAATTTTACGATAAAATAACAATCCTTTTCTTTCTCTTTATTTTCTTCTTTCTTCTTTCTTTTTTCAAATTTTACGTAAATGGAAAATATATGAAATTACCTCATCGACGTTGATATTGTCTTTAGCGGAAGTCTCAAAAAGTTGAATTCCCATTTGATTGGCGAAACGTTGTGCGTCTTCTGTGAGGACAACTTTATTATTTGGTGAGTCATTTTTATTTCCAACTAAAATCCTATTGACTAGTTCGCAATTGTATTCAATTTCGTGTAGCCATCTTTTAACGTTTGCAAATGTATCGCCACTCGTCACATCGTAAACGACAATAACTCCATGTGTACCTCGATAATATGTCGATGTAATTGTTCGAAAACGCTCCTGACCTGCGGTATCCCAAATTTGTAATTTCACTCGTTCCCCATCAATTTGTACTGTACGAATTTTAAAATCCACTCCTATTGTTGTAATATAACTGCCACTAAACGTATTGTCCGCAAATCGAAGCAGCAGGGAACTTTTTCCTACACCTGTAAAAATTACCATTCAATTAATTTCTAATTATCATTAAAATATGATTTAAAAAAATTCTAATGAAAAAAAACATTGGATTGAATTCTAAAAATTCTAAGCTTGGAAACTAAAATATTTTCTTTTTTTTAATTAAACTGGAATAAAAATATTAATTTTTAAAATATTTGCAACATCATTAATTCCATGTTTTCCGCAATTTAAACTAGATTCTAAGCTGTACGATGAAAGAAGGGTTATAGAGAGTAACTACTACGATCTAGATCACAATGAAATAATGATCTCAATTAGCGTAAAGCACTAAACTCATTCGATTCTACACGAAACCTTTTACATTTTTTTTTCTAAATAAAAATCCACAATTAATTTTTGAATGTAATTTTCCTTTTTATTAATTCGAAAATTAAAACTAAAACTAAAATTAAATCTAAAATTAGATATTAGAACATTAAACAAAGTAGAAAAAATTATTAAATAAAAACTAAGATACAAAATAGTTTTAAAATAAATAAAACTTCGCAGTGATTTAAAAATAATTAATAAATTACACTACTGTGATAACTCTTATCATTGTGAGAACCGGGATTTTATTTCACGTGTTCCGTTCTAATTTTTATTACAAAAAAAATTAAATTCTCTCCTCTAATTCTAAAACACTAAAAGAAAATATTATATAAAAAAATTATTCAGTCTAATTGAGGGGAAAATGACATTCTTTATTAAATCCTTTCACTCTAGAAGTAAAATAAATAAATTTATTTACGAATCTCCTTAATTGTAAAATTATTCGAAAGCAGTAATAACTTATTTTTTAAAAAAATATTTAATCATTATTTTTCCATAGGAATTAAGATTTTCAAAACATTCAAATTCAAATCATTTTGAAATTCAACAATTTATGAGAATATTATTATGAAACATGAAGAAAGTGATCACTCCGAGTCTTCGGTCTTCGACTCGGAGTGATCACTTTCTTCATGTTTCATAATAATTAAAGTTTATGATTACACTTTGAAAAAAATTTCAAAAAAAGAAAAACTCGTTTATTTTTGATTAGAAAAAGGTAAAAAAGGGGACAAATCACTAAAAAAGGGGAGAAAGATGATAACATTGAAATAAGGGGACAAAATGGGAAAAGGGGACCAACTGTGATGCCTGGAATTCGTTAAAATTGTAGTAGAATAATGAAAATAATTAAAATAGTTAATAATTTAAATAATCAAAATAAACTTGAAAAAAATATTTAAAAAAACTACTTTATTGAAAAATGTAAAAAAATATTTAAAAAAAAAGTTTACAAGATTATTCAGAGTTCACTGAAATAATATAATTATTGTGTATTATCCGCTAAATTTAAATCAAAGGTCAACTTTGTTGCAGATTGCAAAGAATTTAAGTACCACGCTAATCTTTTCTGCAACTGATTCGAGATTAATTACGATCTAAATTTTTAAGTAACTCGACACATTAATGAATATCGAGTTAAATAACAATAATAATATAGATGAGTGAAAAATAAAAACATTGAACTCCATTATAAAAATGACAGTTTTAAGATGAAAATTGAAGATGCACTTTCCATCCTGCAAACGCAAATGACTTATATCGATGGACTTACCACTATCTCCTATCATGAGCAGTTTAAACAAATGATCATATTCTTTAGACATTTTTGCAAAGGCTTTTTCTTTTTTCTTTTGATGAGTTGTGTATATATTTGATCGATGAAGAATTTCAGTTATTTATTCTTTCTTTCTTGAATATAAAGAACTATATAGCAGTGATGGAGTTGTTCCGACGCCCTGAATTATCTCAGCAAGCGCATAAACGATTTTTAGAAAACACCGATTATTGTTTATGAACAAAGCACTAGAAAACTAGATAATTGCCATATTTGATCGATGTAATATTATCATTTATCATTGCGGAAGAAAAACGTTACTCATTTACCACGACGCCCATTTTCGTATCAACTTGACATTGTCGCCATTTTCTTTAAATACTGCCAACTGACATTTTTGCGCAAATACATTTTTTTATTTTGGTAAACCTGTAGGCGCGCTAAAATTTGAATTGTTCTTTTTTTTAAATAAAAGATGAAAAAATTACTATTTATATTTATAAATATAAATAAATTGAATAAATTTATACATAAGTTTTTATTAATTAAGAGAATAATTAAAAATATGTATAAAATAAAAGTAAAGTCTGATTGAAATAAAATATTAAAAATAATTTTTAGGTTATTTGATAATTTTATTATTTTAATTTTAACACTTTGCATTATTTTAATTAAAATTGAAACTTATTATTTGAAATCGTTAAACTTGTCAATTGTCACGTAGTCATACAAGCAGCGCCTCTTTCGATTTAATTACGAACCCAATTTTTGGGAATTGGTACCGGAACGAAAAAAGGGTAAAAAGGTCAAATGCGGCTCAAATTATAAGGTCGTTGACAGTTTTAGATAAAAAAAGAGGAAGTTACCATTGATAATTCCAAGATAATGTTTTATACGGATACAAATATATATAATATTCTGTATTAGATGAAAGAATTTTTAATTCCCAACTTCAAGGACTTATTAGAGAAGCTTCGGAAGAGCGAACGTGACTGACGTGTTTTATAAAATAAAACTTCCTCATTGTAAATACTTTGAAAATATTTTAATAAATATTTTTTATAAACATAAAAATGACAGAAGAAGTGAAATTGGATCATAGAGCAAAAAAAAGAATAAAGGAAGTTAAGAGAAAAGCAAGACCTGGTGAGTACATTTTTCTAACCTCAAAATCCGGTATAAATAAAATGCGTGCGTTTCGTAATAATAATATTAATTGATAAATCATTTATAATTCTAAACAAAAATTATTCAATTATTTTTCCTTTAATTTTCGGTCTTTTATTTCACCTATTTATCGTTCTTTTTATTCTATTTTAAGACTATAGAGACAAGAAAAACGTCAAGGGAAAGGATATACTCAACATTTTTCCAATGGAATAAACCTTTGTACCTAAAATTTTGCAAGTTAAAACATTAATTTTTCGTTTAATCACATTTCTAATAATTTTACGTGATATTATTGGCAAATTTCATTATTGTGGAACAAAAAGAAAATATGTCTTTTGATCTTAATCATCTTAATTTTGTTTTCTTTCAAGGTTATCTGATTTAAATCTTTTATTTTTCTATATTCAGAGTTGCCACAGATCAGGGAAATCAGGGAAAATAGAATTAGTCAGGGAAAAGTTAGGAATTTTTATTTAAAGTACTGCAAAAAATTGAAGAGAAAAAAATTTAAAAAGTACTCCAAAAAATTTTGGAGAAGTTACGAATGATTGAAGAAAGTCAATTATTTTCAAAAGTAATAAAATTCTTCGTAGAAATTCAATTATGTTCCAAAAATTTATAAAATTCTCGTAAAAATTTCAATTTTCGTTAAAAGTAATAAAATTTTTCTCCAAAATTCATTTATTTTCAAAAATTTTTCTCAATTCAATGCCTTTCAATATCTGCTATTTTTATCAAATTTTTCAAAAGAATTCAATTATTTAGAAAAAATGTAGATAAAATTCTACGTAAACATTAAATTATTTTCATAAATAATAAAAGTTTCACAGGAATTCAACTATTTAAAAATTTTTTTATAAATTTCTTCGCAATAATTCAATTATTTTCATAAATAATAAAATTTTTTACAGAGATTCAATTATTTTCATGAATAATAAATCTCATCGCAGAATTTCAATTATTTTTAATGCAATTTTAATCGTATTCCTCAAAAAATGTAATTATTATAAATTTGATTAAAATTCGTCGAAAAAATTCAATTTTTTCAACAATTTTAATAAAATTCATCGAAAAAGTCCAATTTTCTCAAAAAATTTTATAAAATTCTGTATAAGAATTAAATTTTTAAAAATATTCAATTATTTACTAAATTATATATTTTTGTATTTAAATAATTAAATTCTCGTAGAATTTTGTAATAAAAATTGATTTAAAAATTAATTTCAATTAAAATTTTAGATAATTATTGAATATTAAAAGCATTATAGCGTGAATTTTTAGAAATAATTGAATTTTGAAAAGCTTTTAAATTAAAATCTTTGAAAATTTGAATTATTCATACTTTTAACTGCTGATTTTATAGAATTAATTTTTTTGAGAAAGTTTAATGGAATTTTCTTTTGAAATTATTTCAAAGTTTTTATTTTCTAAATATTTAATTGTAGAATTTCCGAATAATCGCAATTTCGTAAAATTGAGTTTTAAACAAATAGATTTGAAAATTTTAATAAAATTTTTGAAAATAATTACATTTATCGAAGAATTTTCTTAAAATTATATTAAAAATAATTGAAATCCTGTGAAAAATTTAATTATTTAGGAGAATAATTGAAATCTTGCAACGAATTTTTATTCCATTTTTTTAAATGATTGAAATCCTGTAAAGAATTTTATTACTTATGAAAATAATTGAATTCTTGCAACGAATTTTATTAAATTTTTTTTAATTTAGTCTGTAAATCAAGGAAAAGTCAGGGAAAAACAAAATTAAAATTTTGTGGCAACTCTGATATTAGTAAAAATGAAAAATCAGAATAGACTTGTGTAATAAGAGAAAAATGTTTTTGTTCTTTCAACAGTTGCAAATTAATAAAGTGATGTTAATAAATTTCTTTCAGAACTTGCTGATAAAGTTGCATGGCTTCAACATGCATATCATAAAAATTTTGAGATTTTTTGGAATTTTAATGACAATATTGATCGTATTGAAGAGGGAAAAGTACCAGTTGAAGAATTTATAGAAAAATATGAGAAACCTTATAAACCTGTGATAATTCGAGGAATACAAAAAGACTGGAAAGCTCAACACAAATGGACTATTGAGGTATTTTTTGTTTTAAATAGCTTTTAAATGTTTTTTTTTGTTTTTATTGAAAATCTATATTAAATAATTGAAAATTAATTTTTCTAGCGGTTGGCAAAAAAGTATCGTAATCAAAAATTTAAATGTGGAGAGGATAATGAGGGCTATAGTGTAAAAATGAAAATGAAATACTATGTTCGATATATGTCAAAAACGGAGGATGACTCGCCATTATACATCTTTGACAGTTCCTTTGGTGAACATCCTCGGAGAAAGAAATTACTCGAAGATTATGAGATTCCATATTATTTTCGCGATGATCTTTTTCAATATGCAGGAGAACATCGTCGTCCGCCTTATCGATGGTTCGTTATGGGTCCTGCAAGATCTGGTGGGTAAAAATTCATTTAAAAAAAACAAATACCCTTTTTTAAATAATTATTGTTTTCTTTGAAATTTTTTTTAATACATTGTGTTTTTTTCCAAAAAAGGAACGGGCATACATATTGATCCTCTCGGTACGAGCGCATGGAATGCTTTAATTTCTGGACATAAACGTTGGTGCCTTTTTCCGACACACACTCCAAGGGAATTATTAAAAGTCACTGCCGGTGAAGGGGGCAAGCAACGTGACGAGGCAATTACATGGTTTTCTGTTATTTATCCCCGAACAAAGTTACCATCCTGGCCTCAAGACTGTTTGCCGGTTGAAATTCTCCAAAAGCCGGGAGAAACTGTTTTCGTTCCCGGCGGTTGGTGGCACGTTGTTCTTAATCTTGACGAGACAATTGCCGTCACACAGAACTTTTGTTCACGCACAAACTTCCCCATTGTTTGGCACAAAACAGTGAGTAATTTAACTAATTACTTAAATTTATATTAATTAATGAAACTGAATTCTGCAATGTTTTTAAATCCGAAATATCAAAAAAGAAATTCCAAGTTAAATTCTTTTCATCTGTTTGAATTTTTAAGAAACTAATTGTTACTTAAAAAAACAATTGCTTAAAAATAACTTGAATTTGAAGGCAAAATAAATCATCCAGGGAAATCCGGGAATTTAATTTGACCGGGAAAAATCGGGAATAAGCCAAGAATTTTATGCCAAACCGGGAATTTTTTCACCAAATTAAAAAAAGTTTTATTTTAATTTCATATTTGTGGAATAGTTTGTAGTAAAGTTTTTTTCTCTCTCAAATAATTATTATTTGTTCTATACTACTAAAATTGATTTTTTAGGTTCGTGGACGACCAAAGTTATCTAAAAAATGGTTAAAGGCGCTTGAAGAAAAAGCTCCAGAGACTGCGGCGCTGGCTGAAAAAATTGACATCAAGGAAGATACGGGCGTTGCAAGTGATTCATCGAGCGAATCGAGTAGTTCGAGTAGTTCCAGTAGTAGCGGTTCTGAAGAAAGTGAAGATGACAGTGGACAGGAGTCGTTAATTGGACACAAGAAAAGAAAGAGGTAAAAATTACAAACATAATTTTTATTTTAAAGTAAAAAAAATTATTATTAATTTTTTTATTTATTAATTATTATTTATGAAAATAATTGAATTTCTTTTTAAGAAATTTATCAAAATTTTTTAAAATAATTGAATTCTTGACAAGAATTTTATTATTTATGAAATTAATTGAATTTCTTTCAAGAATTTTATTATTTATTTGTAAATAATTGAATTTCTGCTAAAAATTTTATCACAATTTTTGAAAATAATTAAATTCTCGCCAAGAATTTTATTATTTATGCAAATAATTAACTTCTCACCAAGAATTCAATAATTTTGAAGATTTTTTTTTTTAATTTGTGAAAATAATGGAGATTTTGTTTATAATCATGTTTGTTAATAATATTTAAATTAAACCTTTGATTATTGAATTTTATTAAAATTTTTAGAAAATAATTCAATTCTTAGAATTTTATTACAATTTTTGAAAGTGTAATTCTTAATTAATTGATAATTAATAAATTAATAATTCAATTCTTTTTTCCCAAACTTTTATTACAGTTTTTGAAAATAATTGAATTTTTTGGAAAAATTTTATAAGAATTGTAATGAAAATAAGTGACTTCATGAGAAGAAACTTATTATTTATGTAAAACTAATTCGTAATAACAAGTGAATTTTTTAAATTTTGAATCTGAAATTATGTATTCAAAAATTGAGGTTTATATTTGAAAATAAAATAAAATATTTTCAAAATTTTCAAAAAAAAAACCTAAAATTATTCGCCAGGTAGAAAATTCTGAAATGAATAACCATAGAAAATTATTAATAGGACCAAATTTTTATTTTATTTTCCATTTTGTAAGGAATTTTAATTTTTTTAATCTTTTTTTTGTATAAATAACACTAAATATTTTTTTTCTTTTTTTGTCATTTTGTAGAAGAAAACTGGACAACAATCAACCCTGACAATGTCGTGTTCTCGGGACCTACAGAGACCTCAGACTGTACAGTATTAATCAACTGTTATTGTTTGTACTAAGAATAAATATTGTAATTAGTTTATGTATATTTTTTAACACCAAATTTGTGAAAAATCAACGATTCTACTTGAAATGTGAAGCGAAAATCTCTCAACAAACATAAATTACTTATAGTATTGGAAAAAGTTCTTTTTTTTCACAGATTTGGTGTCATTAGTTTTTACATTAGGCGAAAATGATTGCTAGTAAATTTTCAAATTCAGATGTTAAATAACACTTTTTTTTTTAAAATGACACATCAGCACAAGTAGATCGCAATCAAGGGGATAATTTTTATCTATAAGTACTGCCAAAAATAATACAATTTTTATACAAATATTTTTCGTATAATTTACAAAATATGAAATTTTTTGAAAACTTTTCCCAGATGAAAAATTGTAATTCCATTCAGAATAAATGATAATGCAATTTTTAAAAGACAGAGAGAAAAAAATGTAAAAACTAATGACATTAGGTCTAGTGAAATTTTTTTTCAATCAAGTATATAAAGTTCTTTTTAATTAATAGTTTTTTACAGATTTGATGTGTAAAAATTATGACTTAAACATAGTTTTTGTCGCGGTTCCACTTGTGCCGATATGTCGTCGTAATTATTATCATTATTTGTAAATGATGACACAAAACAGTCATTTATCATCATCAAAAAAAAAAATTTTGTAATTAGCAACATTATATTATATGTTCATAATAAAATAAATGCTACATATACTGATAAATTTCATCAAATATTATCTATACACGCACACACATATTCACACACTCAGTCCCCGAGTTTTTTTAGGCGCTTTTTTTGTTTAGAAAAAATTCTTACAATTTCCTAAGTTCTACAACAATAATTAAAAAATATCGAACTAACAAATATTATGTTTTACACAAGACTTTTTAAAAACGATCATACGTAATAAAATTGCATTTAGCGTAGAAAATGGGAGGAAAAAACAGCACTCGACAAAATCAGTACTAATATTCATATAGGAGGAATTATAATAATACTGACAAGTAATTGACTAAAAAAAAGCAATATGGAAATTTTCTAATTAACAGTTCTTTAGGGTTACGTCAAAAAAACGTAATTGTTCGATAAATTTTTTCTTTTTTTTTGTAAAAAAAAGACGCTTAAAAATTAATATCTAAAAATTAATTTTCACTGGTATAAAATTTTTATTGGAAGATTTAAAAATGAGGATCGAAAAAAAATATATTCTCTTTTATTATAAAAAATTTAATTTTGATTTCTTATTTTATGAATATTTCTTCTTGTTCTCTTTTTTTAGATCCCCATTTTTTTTATACTAATAATTCGCAATTAAAAAAATTATATTCTTCGTGCTAGCACTTGAGTGAGTTGCTCCTCTGATAATTTCTTGGATCTCTCTTGATGTAGCTCCATAATTTTATCGTTCCATCACTTCATGGCGATGCATGAAAATAGACGGTAAATAACACAGAAGCAAAGAAAGCATAAAATAATAAATAGAATTTATAAAGAAAAGCAAAAGTTTTTGTTTTTAGATTAAGCCTAAACAAATTTTACTTAATTTTTATTACAATGTTAAAAAGAATTAAATTTCAGAGGCAACAATGATTTTCTATTTATCCAGTCTCTTAAAAATGCAGCTTAAATGAAAAAACCTTAATTAAGTCTTAATTAGAAACCTTTATTAAAAAGTAAGTGAAATTTAATTATTTGTTTTTATTTGAATTGATTTAAATATTCAAATTTGTTCAACTTCTTTTAACTTGAATTCAAAAGTATTGATAACTATATCTAATCGTTTCTTTAAAAGTAAGAAAATCAGAAATAAAAATTCATTGAGTCCTCATTTTTTATATGGCACAAAAAATAAATTAAGAAACAAAATCATAAATTTTGTGCTGTAATAATTATCAAAACAAAGCCACGATCTATAGCCTAAAAAATAAAAAAATAAATTGTTAAAAGTGGAGAGAAAAATAATTCGTGATTGCAGGCAAACTGAAAATGTTGGTAAAGCAAATAACAAAAGGGAAATTATTTATAAAAACGACAAAAGAATGTAAACAGAAAACTAAAAAAAAGAAATAGAAAACTAAAAATATAAAATAAAAACTATAATTTGAACATTAACAAAAAAATCAAACAGTGTAAAATAAAAAGTAATTTCAACAAACCTATAAAAAACATAACAAAAAATTACAGTAAAAAAAGTTTAACAAACAAAACATTTGAAATAATATTCAAAACGAATTGTTACAACAAAAAGAAAATTGTTTAAAAAAACAATTTATTTCATTAATTAATTAAAAAATTAAACAATAAATAAAAAGAAAGGAAACAAACAGTAAAAAAATGAAACAAAAAGTAAAAATGTAACAAAAAAAAATAAATTACAAAAAAAAAACACAAAAATACAACAACAAAACTAGAAAACAATTTCTAACAAATTGGCAAAATTCACAGCGATCATAAAAATAAAGTTAACAAAAAGAAATAAAAAATATTGCAGAAATCGATGAATTTAGAATCTATGATTAAAAATAAAATCAAAACAATATTTTTTCCTTTGTCACCTACATTAAACTTTACTTCCTGATATTAATGAATTTTCCTAATATTTTTAGCAATTTTTACACAAATAGTGCTTAAAGCATTCTCGTGTTTTAATTGCATGCTGCTAATTTGGAAAAAAATCGTAAACAAAAGCTAATTAATAAAGTGCTAATAATGAAAGAAAAAAAAGAACAATAAATTAAAGGGAGACTGTGGACATTGACATAGTCAAGGAGGAGTCGGGAATTCGCCACAGCTTCACTTCGCCAGAGCTGTAACCAACATTCCATTCGTTAAACCTGCTTCGAATTTCTCTTCTCCAAAAACAAAATTTGCACTAACTAATTAATAAATTCTACTTAATTTCATTGAAATATCAATTAATAAATGACTACTTTTAATTAATATCTATTAATAAATTTATTAATTATTAAATTAATAATTATTATTTATTAAATATTATTAACAATAATTTATTAAAAGATATTAATAAAAAAACTATTAAAGACTAAAATATTTAAATAAAATAATTAATATGGAAATATAAATGTACTAAATAGGAGTATTATCTTAAGTATTATAATAAATTCAGGAACTAATTAATCTATTAATTAATTAGTTATTTGTAAAAACAATTTGATTACAGCTTTGTGTATATGTATAAAAAAAAGGAAACTTACTTGCTGGCGGTAAAAATATTTTGTTGATTTGATATAACTGCATTTATTGCCGTACTATGAGCTCGAATCTCACCCAAGAGAGAGCATTCTGATTCTGTATCCTTCGGTACTGACCAGGCTCGAAGTAAACCCGAACGACATCCAGATACCATCACCGATCCACTGTTTACAATGCACAGGCCCAATATCCAATCCTTGTGGGCATTATTTATCGATTGTACCAATTCCATTTGACTCAAGTCCCAACGTTTTATGCACATGTCCCTCGAACCTAAATTCAAAATTTTTTATTAATAATAATCGTTGTATTCCGGTAGTCTGTTCGCAATTTGAATTTAGTTTTTCTTTCAAAGACATAAATTTTCTAATTTATGTCTTTGAAAGAAAAAATGCAGAAGAAATTAAAAATACCAGAAAACAGGGTGGACTCGTAAGTATCCAAACATTCGACACCATCGTAATGAGGCGGAGCAAGACTGACGGATTGTCCGGACATATTGGGCTCAACGAGAGAAATCAAATGATCCTTGCTTCCGGCAATGACGCGTCCATCCTCGGCAATTGACAAGCACATTACGGCCGCAGTATGCGGTGTACTGAGTCTTCCTGTATACGCTAATTTCCGTAGATCCCAAATTCTCACTTTATCACTCGAAGCAGTGTAGAGCTCCTGATCCTTGAGACCGAGGGCAAGATCATTTATTGTATTTTCACCGACAGGCACTTGGAGAATTCGTGACGGCGTTGACAGTGGAATTGGACCACTTTGCGTCTGACCGGACGAATACAATGTCTTTATACAAGTATTTCCAGATCTCAAGTCCCAAACTTTGACATAAGCAGCAGAAACGCTAAACAGAAGATTATGAATCGCCGAATATTTCACAGCGACAACATTATTTGGATGTCCGCCAAGTGTCATGTTTTCGAGACCGGTCGTCAGGTCCCAAACTTTCACCGTTCGATCTGTAATTTAAGATAAATGTTACAATTTGATTATTTTCATGGACCTTAATTTTAGGGCTCGAACTAGTGAAAGTATTTAAAAATACGGACTTTGTGGACTAAAAATTAAAAATTACGGACCAATTACTGACAAAAACATAACCAGTCCGAGTCAAAAAAGAGAATATTTTACTTAAAACTATAAATTAAATTTTCCATAACTATAACCGAGTGATAAAATCATTATCAATTCAATTATTATTTTCAAGAATTTTTAAGTAAAATTCTTCTTTAAATCGATTATTTTTTATAATTTTCGAAAAAGTTCTTGGACTATTTTCAAATACATTTCTTTTCAAAATTCAATTATTTATAAAAATTCACGTTCTAATGCTTTTAATATTCAATTATTATCTAAAATTTTAACTGAAATTAATTTTTAAATCAATTTTTAATATAAAATTCTACGAGAATTCAATTATTTAAATACAAAAATAAAAAATTTAGTGAATAATTGCCTATTTCTAAAAATGTAATTCTTACAAAGAATTTTATCAAAATTTTTGAAAAAATTGAATTTTTTCGACGAATTCTAATCAAATTTACAAAAATAATTACATTTTTCGAGGTTTTTAATTATTTTTAATACAATTTTAAATGAATTCCTTGCAAAACATAATTATTTTCAATCATATTTTGCAAGAATTCAATTACTTTTCACAAATAATGAAATACTTCTCTGAAATTCAAATATTTTCAAAATCTACTATTTTAATAAAATTTCTCAAAAGAATTCAATTATTTAAAAAAAATGTAATAAAATTCGTTGCAAGAAGTCAAGTACTTTCACAAATAATAAAATTCTTCGCAGGATTTCAATTATTTAAAAAAAATGTAAAAAAAATTCGTTGCAAGAATTCAATTATTTTTATAAATAATCAAATTCTTCACATGATTTCAATTATTTTTAATTCAATTTTAAGAAAATTTTTTGATAACTCTAATTATTTTCAAAAATTTTATTAAAATTTTTCCGAAGAATTCAATTATATCAATTATCAATGATTTTTAATAATTTTTGTAAAAGTTCCTTGAGAATTTTCAAATCTATTTGCTTACAATTCAATTTTACGAAATTTCGATTATTGGTAAATTCTTCAATTAAATATTTAGAAAATAAAAACTTGAAATAATTTTAAAAGAAAATTTCATTAAACTTTCTCAAATAAATTAATTTTACAGAATTATCAGTTAAAAGTATGAAAAATTCAAATTTTTATAGATTTTAATTTGAAACCTTTTCAAAATTCAATTGTTTCTAAAAATTCAAGCTATGATGCTTTTAATATTAAAAAATTATCTAAAATTTTAACTAAAATCCATTTTTAAATCACTTTTTCTTAGAAAATTCTACTAGAATTCTATTATTTAAATACAAAAAAAAATTTATTAAATAATTGCATGTTTCTTAAAATTGAATTCTCATAAAGAATTTTATCAATAAATTTTTAAATAATTGAATTCATGAAAAGAATTTTATTATTTTTGAAAATAATTGATTTTTCTGTAATCATTTGTAATTTTTTCTAAAACCGACCTTTAAGAGATTTACGGACCTAAATTCGAGCCCTATAATTTATATAAAATACTATTTGTTAATTTTCTGTCCTTGGAGACAATTTACTTGCCTTTCGAACCACTGAATAGTAAATCGTCAGTTGCGCAAATAGTCAAAACTGCTTTACTGTGTCCTTCAGCCACATGAGAACATTGTAAAACGGACCTGGGTGCAGTCTGAAAGACAATAAAAATTTATATATCAATAAATAATTCCACTTAGCGAATAATAAAAAGAAAAAAAGAAATATTCACCTTTCCCTGATATTGTGAGATGACACCCTTGCTTGGTTGTGGATCGGTTGGTAGCGGCTGTCGACTAGCCGTCAATCTTGAGAATACATTTTCCTCCCGACTATTGAAACGTCTGTAGGTCGTCGGTGATCCAGGAGGCGAAGAAATATCCAGAAGTGAAACCTGCTCCCTGGTTGGGCCGTTTGTTATGTTAGCATTGTTAGTTTAGCCACTTGTGATCTGCTTTTTTTTCTATTCCAGGCTAGTTCTTTTTTTTTCCCAAAAAGCTATATGTATTATGCTAAGGTGAAGATTTTTTTTACCGAACACATGCAAATCGAATAATGAGAGTGTGAGAATGAATTATTTGAAAATAAAATTATTTTCAAAAAATTACTGAAAAAATAAATAAAATTTTAGAAATTTTTTTCAGAGTTGCCACAAAAATTTACATATGTTTTTCCCTTATTTCCAGATGAAATTTTGACTTTTTCCCTGACCCTAAAAAAATATTCTGAGATTAATTCTAAAAATTATTAGATACTCAAAAAAATGTTGTATTACATTTATTTACAAATTGCTTTAAATAATAATGATTAAATATTTATGTAAAAAAGATTATTTTCTAGAATTTTCTAGAATAAAACTAAAATTCTACTTTAAATCAATTATTTTTAATAAATTTTGAAAAAGTTCGTTGAGTATTCTCAAAACCAATTTGTTTACGATTCAATTTTTTCCAGTACTTTTAATAAAAATTCCTGACTTCCCTGACCTGTGGCAACCCTGTTTTTGTTAATATCAACATTGTTAGAGAAAGAATAGTAAGTGCAATGTGAAATCAAAATTGATGAGATGTATTTTGTTAATTACAAAATCAGCATTCTCCACGTGCCAAATATTCTCCTTTTTTCAAAATAAAAATTACAATAAAACTCAAATTAAAATCTTGTATAAAATTAATCAAATCAATAACCATTCTCAAAAAATTAATAAATTACATTTTACAGGTAAATCAATTTACTATTTTTCTGCAGTCTAGCAGAGACAGAAATTTTCGAATTTTTTATACATTTTACAAAAAAAATAAATATAAAATAAATAAAAATAAAAATACCAATAAAAATCTACGAAAAAAATTCTTTTCAAAGAAAAATAATTTTCGATTATCAATTTTATTACGTCATGTCTTATTCAAAAATTTTTAATATTTGCTCAAACAAAAAATTTTACAAAAAAAAAGGAAGGAAAAAAAACACTAAGTTAGTACTCTTGTCATTCTAATAAAAATAGAACATAGTTAACTGAGTTACTTGAATTTTATTACAATCTAATATTCGATTTGATACAAAGCTCCTTTGAATAAATTATACATTTTCGACGTTCAGACTATTAAAAAAAAAAAGAGTTCTATCCTACTTTGTATAAACCAACACATTCAAACAAAACCTGTTGTTTCCCTTTTCAATTATTTTCTACTTAGAAAGAAAATCACTTCTACAAAATTATTCTCTCTCTCTCAAACAAAAATATATCTTACAATATTTTTGTTATTGGCACTTATAGAGCAAGTTATATTTTTTCACATTATTAGTATTATAATAATTATAATATCAATCAATTAGAATTCTAGTTAATTAACTAATTAACCATTTAAATTAGTTATTTAGAAAAAAAGTTGTCTTTTACAAGTTAATAAAATTATCAAAAATCTAAACTAAAAAAAATGTATTTTTTCGAATAAAAATTAATTATGGATTTTTGAATGGATATATCATCTTCAATGAAGAATATGTATAATTATTATAATATTAATTGAATTAATTTATTACTCGTGTTATTGTTGATAAGTTATAGAATTAGATAGTTAAATACTCTAATTGATCAACTACTACTTGTGATAAATTAGAAAATAAATTAATAAATAAATTAATAAATGGCAAATTCTAAGTATTAAAACTTAGTGATCTAGAATTAAATTCAGCCTTTAGTATATTTATATAATTATTAAAAATATTTTTTCGTTAATAGAATATTTTTGTCAATATTGTAATCAGGCACTATTCACATCACTGTAGTTTTTTCTTTTTTTTTAATGGCATCGTCTTTTTTCCCATAATTTTAGTATTTCCTTGCTTATAAAATGTCAATGCACACAATATGTTTCGAAAAAAATTCTAATGTACATGAAAAGGAATCTAAATTCAATTTTATTTTTAATAATTGCATTTTCATTTGATTAGTGTGATCTAACTATTAACATAATTAATAAAATCAATAAATTTAATGAAATTAATAAAATTACTTATAAAAATCAATATTAATAATCGTTGTATTCTGGTATTTTTTTTTAATTTTATAAATAATAAAAATCTTCGTAAAAAATTCAATTATTTTTATATAAATATTAAAATTCTTATCAGGCTTTCACTTATTTTCAATAATTATTGATTTCTTCGAAAATTTCAATTATTTTTAAAAATCTTGTAAAAATTTTCCAAGAAAATTATAAATTATTAGATAATAATAATAAATTGTAGAAAATATTCTTTTCCGTTAATTAATTAATTTTAAACTTAATTAAATTGATTCTAGATTCCTGATTTTTTTTAAAAATAAATTATGCGTGCATTGAGGTTTTGACTAGTAAATCTAAAAAGGGACGGAAACTAAAGTGCATGATATAGGACATCAAGACACAGATATGCAAGGAAAATAAAGACAAAGACGTGCTGTATTATTGCCACTCACATGGAGCCTCCGCCCGGATGTAGAGGACGCCTCAAAGGTCTCGGAGATGTGCTATCTCGTCGATTTAAAGTTGGCGAACCCCCAGTTATCCCAGTTCCATATTGATTTCTCGTTAGAATCAAACCTCTAAAGAATACGATTCAAAAAATAATTTCCCAAATTTGGATTCACAGAAAAAAAGAAACCAAATCTCTCTCTCAAATTATTTACAATGCATTCTTTTCGAGGCGATAGAAAAAGAATAAACACGTATTCATAATTTTTAAAGAATAAAATAAAATAAATGAATAGTACACAAAGAGAATTAGTAAAATAATTAGAAAACAATACCAATACTACAAAAGAGAAGAAATATGGAAATAAAATTGAAAATAGAAATAAAAAATAGATTACTAAAAGAAATGAAGAAATAATAATATTCGAAAAAATTTCTTTCGTCTTACTTGAGACTTCCTGGAGCACTGGGAACTCTAGTTAAAGGATGATTGTGATTTTGATTTTGATCCTCAACTTTTGGAGTCTCGGTACCGGGATTTATTCCGTACAAAAGTTCCTGAGTTTGTGTTGTTCTTCGGCGAATTTTATTGTTCTTTGGCTTCTCACCAGTGATTACTTGATTGCAATTTTCCCTAGAATAGTAAAAATATTTCAAATAATTATACTTTATTACTTTTTTCATTGTATTTTCCCTTTAAGAAATGCGTTTCTATTATAGAATTATAATTATTGAAATTTTTAAAATTAATGGAATTTCATCAAGAAATTTTACTGAAATTGTACTAAAAAAAATTGAATTCCGCCAAAGATTTATACCTTATGTAAATAATTCAATTAAATTCTTTTTGATAATAATTAAATTGTATCTAAGAATTTCATTAAAATTTTTGAAAATAATTAAATTCTTGCAAAGAATAATTTTATTTATCAAAACAATTTAATTCTTAGGATGAATAATTTTAGTATTTTTATGTAAATAATTGAATTCTTGCAAAGAATAATTTTATTATGTATATAAAGAATTGAATTGTTTAGCGAAGAATTTTATTTTCTATAAAAAAAATTGAATTCCTCCAAAGAATTTGATTATTTCTGAAAATAACTGAATTCTAGACAAGAATTATATTAAAATTCTTGAAAATAATTTGATTGTTTGAAAGAATTTTATTAAAAACTTTTGAAAATAATTAAATTCTTTCCATTAATGTAATTAAAATTGTTCTGAAATTAATTAAATTCTTCTAAAGAATTTTCATTAAAAATTTTGTAAATAATTGAATTTTCTCAAGGAATTTTATTAAAATAATTAAAAATAATTAAATTCATTCAAGAAATTTTATTGAAAAGAATTTAATTTTTTCGAAGAATGTTATTACAATTTTTGAAAATAATTTGATTGTTTTTATGAAAAATAAAATTCTTTTGTTGAATTCAGTTAAAATTGTATTGAAAATAATTGCATTTTTCCCAAGAATTTTATTAAAATTTTTGAAAATTAAGTTTTTTCAAAAAAATAGAATTATTAAATTTTTATAATAAATTAGTATATATTACTATTCATTAGTTAATATTACTATTTATTAAATAGTTAATTACTATGTATTAAATTTTATTAATAAATTAGTAGATATTACTATTTATTAGTAAAATCTACAAATTAAAAATCAAAAACTATTCTGATTCAATTTAGTGAACATTTTTTACTAATTCAAATTTAGAGAGAATAATTACGAAAGATTTGACTTACGTATCGGGAGAGGAACTTCGCGAACTTGGAGGACTGTACGCAGGCACGGAATTATGAATATTTGTGAAAGAAAGAAACTCCCTGTCACGAAGAACGTGTTCAAGTAGTTGATGCTGAACGTCACTCTCTTGGGAAACTTGATTCAGTCTCGATTCCATGTCCCTAACCTCAAGTTGCTTTTGAGCGGCCACATAGCTTTGTTCGACAGTAAAACTGAGCATTTTTTGTAATAAGTACTGAGCCTCTTCAACCGATTTTATATTTCCAATTAGAGAATCAACACCAGCCTCCTCAACGTATTCTCCATCGCCTTCGCCCATCTCGACAACGTCCCTCTGACACTCGGCAATGCTATCCTGAAAATTAAATAAATAAATTTTCGTCCAAATTCGAATAAATAAAAAAAAGGAATCTTTCCCGCTGAAGAGGACTTACTTGAAGATAACTTATTTTACTCTTAACATTATCGATTTCCTCATCGACATCAACGATTTCGACTTTTGGATTATTCTTCGATTTTTGAAGTCTCTCCAATTCTCTTCCCATTTCTTCTCGATCCTGAAGAAGTCTTTCCATTTCGCGTTCAGTTTCAACGGCCGCCTGTTTAGCGAGTGCTTGTTTTGTTATCGTTCTTTCTAGAGTTTGCCAACGTTGTTTGAGAACTTTTGGATTTACTGGCTTGACAATTGTTCGACCAGCGACTCTTTGACTGAGACCACGATCTCTTTTTCTCAATGCGGTGACCTCCTCCTGTTTACGTCTCAATACAACCTCCTTCATTCTCTTATCAGCCTCTAGTGTACGAATCATATTCGCATTCTTTCGACTCTCCTTACGCAATTGAGCAATTTCCCTGTTACGTTTCAATTCATTTTCCTTGTGTCGTTGCGCCTCCTCACGCATTTTATTCAAAAGTTTAACTTTCGCTCTTTTCATCTCGGCCAGTTCATTACGCAAACCCTTGAGACGATTTTCATTTTGCGTTTGACTTTTGAGTAAACGTGCGTGCTCCTTTTTCGCCGATTGTAAAACACGCATCTCCTTTTGCATTGACGTTAATTTCTTTTCATATTCGTCGCGTAATTTTCGTACCTTCTCGGTTTGTGGCGTTGGTTGTTGTTGAAGGGACGTCAATACCTTGTCTCTTTCGTCCTGAGTATTACGAATTCGCGCCTGTAATTGGGACAATTTATCCTCGTAATGTTGTTTCATTGTCTGAAGACGTCTCTGTGATAATTCTAATTCTTGAATTAGTCTCTGCTTTACATCGATGTCGGATGTTAGAGCCTCGAGTTCCCTTCCCATTGCCTCTTCCTCTTCGTCTTCTTCTGCCAAACGACAATTATATTTTTCTATATTTCAATTTATAAAATTAATTAATATAAGGGTAAGACTCCGTCAGAAAAAAAGCGATTTGCAAGTGGTCTTCCGATTTCTTCGAAACCTTGGGAAATAGAAGTCTTATATGAATTAAATTTAACCCTAAAAGGATTTTGAAAAATTTTCAAAATGGCGGCCGCTACGCCATATTGAAAATGAGTGTTGCGTTTTTTTCAAAAATTAATAACTCTGAAACTTTTTGATCGATTTTAATAAAATTTACAGGCGATATAGTTAAAAATACGTAGTTTAATTTGATATTATGAACAAAAAAAAATTTCCAAAATTTGTCAAAAAAAAAGTCAAAAAAATTTTTTGAATTAATTTTTAGTTCAGTTGGCCTAATTTTTGAATTTTCTAATAAGTAAATATCGATTCCTTGTAATTTCACCTTTCATTTCATAAAAAAAAATTTATGGAGACTCTAATAGTTCTCGAGATATTGCGACTTTAGTGGGAGCGCGTACCGCGGAATTAAACTCCGTAGCGAGGCGGAATATGAAGCGAGCGTACAAACGTGCACAATAGGGTGTCCGTAACAATGTGACTTTCGAATTTTGTTTACGCCACCCCCCAGTTTAGTTCCAATAAAATAAAAAAAAATTTCCCAAAATTTGAAGCCGATTGATTAATATTAACACGTGCCAGAGATCCATCGAAATTTCCCATTAAAAATACATAGGAAAAATGCACTTTTTAAAAAAAATTTATAACTTTTTTAATTTTCATGCAAAAAATTCTCCAGGTCACATTTGCCTTCATTTTTAGCTGCACTATAAGATAGCACTTTGCCAAAAATTTAATTTTGAAAAATTTTTAAAATGGCGGATGATTAAAGTGGGTCATAAAAATGCACTACAATATATCCAAGGTTTTAACACATAAGTGTTGTCAAAAATTCAAAAAAATTTCTTACTCGGGGCTATTTTCGATCGTTTATCATGAATCTGATATTAGAAATTAATTTTCAAAATTTTGGATCCAATATGGCAGGTTCCAAATTTTAATTTTCTACATTTTCGAAGTAAATATTCTAAAACAACGTCAAGGGCGATATTTGGAAGCGCTATTTACGAATCTAATGTTAAAAATTTATTTTTTAAATTACCGAATCTAATATGGCATGGCGGATTCAAAACTTTTTTTTAAATATTCCTTTAATAATCGATTTTTAAGAGCAGAGGTATAAAAAGTTAAATTTCTATAAAAGAGTTTCTAGAACATCCCAATAATTATTTTTTGTAAATATTAATCTATAAATTAATATTTAGACTATTTACTTAAAAATGTAGAAAATCATAATTTTGAATCCGTCATAGTGGATCGAATAATTTGAAAAATATAAAATTTTAACATTAGATTCGTACACTCAGAAAAAAATTTGTTCGAATCAACCAAATTTTGGTTGAATCAACCAAACAAATGCATTGCTATACAGTCAACCAAACGTTTGTTTGATTCAACCAAAAAATTTCTTCCAATACGTTTATTTGTATTAACCAAATGCTTATTACACTTAACCAAAAAATTTTATTTAATATAACTAAAAAATTTGTTTATTTCAAGAGAAAAGATTTGTTTGATTCAAATAAATAGTTTTAGTAAAGATATTTGGTTCATTTAAATAAATATTTTTGTTTACTTAATTTTGTTATTTATTTTCCTCTAATAATATTTGAATTTCCTAATTTAATATTTTCTAGTACGTATTATTGGTTAATTTATAATTTATTATATAATTATTGATATTTTAAAATTATACATATAATAAATTATAAATTAACCAATAATATGTATACTAGAAAATATTAAATTAGGAAACTCAAACATTATTAGAGGAAAATAAATAACAATTAAGTAAAATATTATATATGTATTTCTTCATATAAACAAAATTACTTAATTATAAAAAACATTTGAAATATTACATTAAACATATTATAATTATGATTTTTATACGTGCACTCAGAAAAAAGTTTATTCGAAACAACAAACTGAAAACTTCACAAAACCTTTTTGTAAATATTCTTCTTACTGGTACAAATTAAATATGCAGTAAGTCAATGAACACAATGTATTTAATATTTATTTAACCGACACTTATAATTTTTTTTCTTTGATTTACCGATTTAACAAATAAATTTGACGCGAACGCGGACTGTAGACAAGTGAGATCGCCATTTTTAAATTCACACATGTACTTTTTGAGACAAGCAAATATGTTTGTTTGACTCAAATAAAATGATTTGGTTGAATCAAACAAATTTGTGTGTTGTGTCGAACAAACTGTATTTAACTAAACAATATTCTCTATTCAAAACACAAATTTGGTTAAATGAAACAAACAACTTCAAATAAAAAATTTCTTTCCAATAACCAAACAAATTTTACGTATTTATTAAAATAAACCAAATTTTTATTTAAATCAACAAAATTGTTTTATCGTGACAAATAGAATAGGTTAATTAAACAGTTTGGTTAAGTGAAATAAACTTTTTCTCTGAGTGTAAATAGCGCTTCCAAAAATCGCCCTTGACGTTGTTTTAGAATTTTTACTTTAAAAATGTAAAAAATCAAAATTTTGAACCCGCCATATTGGATCGAAAATTTGGAAAAATTAATTTCTGATATCAGATTCATGATGAACGATCGAAAATAGCCCCGAGTAAGAAATTTTTTTGAATTTTTGACAACACTTATGTGTTAAAACCTTGGATATATTGTAGTGCATTTTTATGACCCACTTTAATCATCCGCCATTTTAAAAATTTTTCAAAATTAAATTTTTGGCAAAGTGCTATCTTATAGTGCAGCTAAAAATGAAGGCAAATGTGACCTGGAGAATTTTTTGCATGAAAATTAAAAAAGTTATAAATTTTTTTTAAAAAGTGCATTTTTCCTATGTATTTTTAATGGGAAATTTCGATGGATCTCTGGCACGTGTTAATATTAATCAATCGGCTTCAAATTTTGGGAAATTTTTTTTTATTTTATTGGAACTAAACTGGGGGGTGGCGTAAACAAAATTCGAAAGTCACATTGTTACGGACACCCTATTGTGCACGTTTGTACGCTTGCTTCATATTCCGCCTCGCTACGGAGTTTAATTCCGCGGTACGCGCTCCCACTAAAGTCGCAATATCTCGAGAACTATTAGAGTCTCCATAAATTTTTTTTTATGAAATGAAAGGTGAAATTACAAGGAATCGATATTTACTTATTAGAAAATTCAAAAATTAGGCCAACTGAACTAAAAATTAATTCAAAAAATTTTTTTGACTTTTTTTTTGACAAATTTTGGAAATTTTTTTTTGTTCATAATATCAAATTAAACTACGTATTTTTAACTATATCGCCTGTAAATTTTATTAAAATCGATCAAAAAGTTTCAGAGTTATTAATTTTTGAAAAAAACGCAACACTAATTTTCAATATGGCGTAGCGGCCGCCATTTTGAAAATTTTTCAAAATCCTTTTAGGGTTAAATTTAATTCATATAAGACTTCTATTTCCCAAGGTTTCGAAGAAATCGGAAAACCACTTGCAAATCGCTTTTTTTCTGACGGAGTCTTACCCATAAGTACAATTTTTTTTATTCAATTATTAATTGGGGAATTTTTATCAATAAGTAATTAATTTTTAGGGGAATTTTCTTTTTATTTACCTTTACGATCGGAATCATCGTCGGATTCATCCTCGCTCATTGAATCCTGGCCATTTTCAGTGTCGTCATTGTCGCCCTCGTCACCTTCCCTGCTGCTCATTGTCGAATTCAGTGTTTGTTGTTCTTTTAAAGTCGCCAAGAGATCCCTTTCTTTTTGTAATTCACGTTTCGCGTCGTTTAAAACTGACGACGAATCGCTATTAATCACGTACGATGTGTCATTATTGTAAGGATTCACTGCATTTATCTGAAACGAAAAAAGATTTTCAGTTTCTTAACCAAAAAAAGGACAAAAAGTTAATTACCTGCGCCTTTCTTCGTTTTAATTGCTGATACATGGCTTCAGCCTCAAGTAATCTGGCCCTTAATTCCTCGATTTCCTGCAGGTATTCTTGAACCAAACTTGTCACATCTCCACCCCCTGAAGCCAGCCAGTGGCCCGCTGCTTTTTCCGCCAAAAGCAATGAATTCTTCGCAGTCAGAGCTTCAATTGTTTCCGTCAGAGCTTTAACTCTAGTTCGTAAACTTTGTAATTCATTATTAAGCATTTGATTCTCGTGCCAAGCGTCATTAATTCCATCTTCCCCGACGACTCTTTTACCTGTAAAAAAATTTATAATATCTTCTGCAATAATTCATAAGTAACTACTTTTATATTTGTTATACATTCAATTTTTTTTATTAATTAGTTTTATATTTAATGTTAGATTAAATTGACAAATTCAATTCAATTAAACGATAGGTTTAAAAATGTTTTCTAATAAAAAATAAAAATAAGCAAAGAAATCGGGAAAAGTGAATAAAAATTTAGTTTTAATAATTTTCCAAGCGCAATTACCTTGTCGATATTCTAATAATTCAAGTTGAAGCTGCTGTATCTCCCGGCGAAGCGACGCGATTGTCCTTGAACTCTTGTCCTGATTGATGGTCACCTTGTTCTTTATGTTTCTTGCTCGATTTGCATATTTGAGGGTACTTAAAGTTTCCATAAAGTCACGATCGCTCGGGGATACGCAAGCGATCATTACGGTCTGACTATTACCACCTAGAGAGTCTTGAAGTAATCTCGTTAGTTTCGAATCACGATAGGGTACGTGAAGTGCTTTCTTTGATTTGTCGCCCAACGCCGAAATTACATTACCCAATGCGAGCTAAAACACAGTCACAAATTAATATTTTTTCCCCTTAAATTCTTGAAGAATTAAGAAAATCGAAAAAAAAATAGAAAAAATAAAACTCACTAGTCCGCAATTAATGGAAATTCCTTCCTTAGCCCTATCTCCTGTAGCACCAGTTCTCTTGAGCCTCTCCGACCCGGCTAAATCGACAAAATGAAATTTCGCTGTTAGCGTTTCAAATTCATTCATCGGTTCATTTCCGGTTGTATCGACATCAGCGTCCGGATCTTCAATTCTAATGCACCTTTGTTGTTTCACGTGTAATGTAAAAATTGCATGTGATCTCGATGATTGAGTATTCATTTGTGTTGATCCTGTTGTTCGCGAAAGAGCACCTAATCTCAAATATTCTAATGCTTGCTCGGGACTTGTCACAACTCTTGGCTCGACACCGGTCAAATGTATATTTCCAGCAGTGTCCTCGTGAATACGTGCACCACCTCGCGGTCCACCCGGTTCCAAAAGATCCTTCAAGTCCTCATTATACAATTCCAAAAATTGAGCTGTTATCTATTTTCAAAAAAAAAATTAGAAACAAATTTTTACAAATGTTACATTATTGAGAAATTTGTAGTTTCTTTTCTTTTCTTTTTTTTCTAAGTAATATCAGTGACAAGATATATCAGATTTTTATCTGTTCCCGTGCATTGGATTTCAATAGAATAAAATTACGTCAAGTTGAATGTAGGATTGAAATGTGAGATGGAATGTGAAGAAAAAAGAATATTACAAATGATGCATAACTGGGAATTAAAAACTATGGGAATTACAGGGCTCGAGCTAGTGAAAGTATTTAAATTTAAATTTAATTTGTTTTTGCCTGATTTTCGACCTTTTCCCTAAAAAAAAAATTCAAAGGGAGTTCAATAGTAGAAAAATTCTACTTTAATTAATTCTTTGGAGTAAAAATTAAATTTGAAACTTTGTGTATTGCTGCTGAAAAATCAATATAAAAATTAAGAGGCAAAAAGAAAAAGATTTTTCCGCATTCACCTTGAATTCTGGAGGCAATTGTGCTCGATCCTTGGCGTATGATTGCTTTTCAACAATACCTTCAAAGAGATGTTTAATGGCTCTGGGAATGATGCCAACAATACTGTCATCAATTTCAACATCGAATCCTGTTCCCATAGTGTAAGTTTTGCCAGATCCAGTCTGACCATAGGCCAATACGGTTGCATTATAACCGTCCAATGCACCTTCAATAAGTCGTGTAACGCAAGTATCATAAATATCATTCTGTCCAACATTTGTATCAAAAACATGATCATAAGTAAAGGCCTTGTCTGGTCCCAAAAATACTTGGGGTTCTCCTGGAGGTACTTGAGTACAGACTCTACACATGTCAATCACTTCACGTGCCACTTGCGGTCGAATTCTGCAAAAAGAACAAAAAAATGAGAATATAATTACCAAAAATGTTATTTTTTGGTATCATAAAAAAAATTATTCTAAAATATTTTAATTACAAGATAATTTATATTTTATAAATATTTTTTACTATTATTATTTCTTTCTCATTATTCAGGTGGAACGAATTACGAAAAAAATTTCCCCTCCTAATGACATGAAATTGTCCGTTTGTTTTCAATTTTGTAATGAAAATCAATTTTTATCGGATTTAATAATATTTAGTAGAGATAATGGACTTAAAACGACGATTTTTCTTTTATCATTAGTGATAATAAAATGTATAGAGAGAAAGATACGTGACTGAAATCATAAAACAATATCGATTGTTAATCTTCGTGTAAACATTCAAATATCAAACATGTTGTGCAAACTGTTGGAAAATCAACAGTAGAAAACCTAATGACAATTGTTATTAATACAATTTGTATGTAATAATTTATTCATTTTCATGATCCACAAACTTTGGCAAGTTCAAATGAACGAAATATTATTTATTAAAAATATTCTTCATAAAATACTGATTGGAATAAGAATAAAAAATTCAAAATCTACTTTAAAAACATTAAAAATTCACATTTTCGTGAAAAATTCTAGGAAAATTCAATTAAAAATTGAATTTTATTTCTAGTGACGCAAAATTATTGTAATAAAAATAGGGTTGCCATAAAAAATTAATTTTTTTTTTCCCTGATTTCCAGACAAAATTTTGACTTTTTTCCTGATTCTAAACAATAGTCTGTGATTTACTCTAAAAATTATTAGATACTTAAAAAAATATTGTATTACATTTATTTACGAATAATAACTAAAATACAATCCTCTCTCTATGAGGAAGCAATAATAATAATTAATTAATAACAATAATAATTAAATAATAATAACTAATAATTATTAATTTAAAAAAATCAATTAATTAAAAAATTGATTATTTTTAATGAATTAAAAAATTGTGCAAACAATTTACAGCAGAGATTATATACATTTTGATAATATAGTCGCAAAAACCTAAACTAAAACTGGATCAATGAATGACTATAGGAGATATAATGATAAAGGAAATCAATGCGTGACGACAAAAGAAGGTGTTGCGGTGAATGAATTACAAAACAAAAAAAAAAGAAAACTTAAAAATTTATAGTGGAATTAATGCGAAGGAGTTTGAGAGAGAGTTTGTTGAAGCGTAACTTTGTGAAACAAGTGGGGAGAGAAAAAGAGAAAAAGAAAGAGAGAGAACCATTCATCGAAAAGCAGGTACTCATTATCCAACCTGCAATAAAGCCTACGCACCTGTATTAAAAAAGGAGATATTACGCGATCAACATTTGCACGGTAGTGCTGAGTAAAATAGTTAGTGACGACATTGAATGCACTAAACAAATATTTAAAACACAGCTGACAAGATTAGATACACATCGGTCTCCTTGTTGATAAAAAAAAGAAAAAAAAAGTCTAGTCATTGCTCTCAAACAAAAGCCAAACCATGAGATCATAAATTAAAATAAAAAAAAAATATTAGAAAATCTTCAGTTTTCTAATTTTAAAATTTTTCCTCCACATTAGAGAATCTAATTCTCCTTCATTAGAATCTATTCGAAGCAAATTTAAATTAAATTTATTAAAATTTTAAATTAAACTTAAAATAAATTTAATTAAATTTTTAATTAAATTTAAAATAAATTTAATTAAATTTTAAATTAACTTTACATTCGAATTAATCGAATTTTGAATTAAATTCAATTTATTTAATTGAAATATTAATTAATTTAATGATTTAAATAATATTTCTGTAATAAAAAAATTAAATCCCTAAGATTTAAAATTTAAGTTTATAAATTACAAAACGAAATTGCTCAATTTAGAAAATTTGTAATAACACACTTTTAAGAAAATAATAATAAATGAATTAAAAACAAAATGTAAATAACAAATTTCTTTTGTTATTAATATTTCAATAATATTTTTCATCAGAAACTCATCCTGATATTTCTGAAGAGAATAATTACATAAAAAAATATATTTAAATAATATAAAAAAAAATAAAACTACAAATGAATATAAAAAAAATTAAACAAAAGTTTTGAAAATAAAATTTCTGTATAAAGTATAAAAATATAAAAAAAGTAACTTGTCATTAAAAATTATGTAGATTTTTTCGAAAATAATCAACATACTACACAGGTTACTAAATTATATTGTAACCATAATTTACATAAAATTATAAATCATTTTCTTCACAATTATTTCAGGCCAATGATGAATAATTCAGCATTTTTTATTTGAAAATGCATTTAAATTTTAAATATGTTTGTTTCAAGCGATAATTTCTAATTACTATAGTAATTACCATAGATTATTAATTCTTTTTCCTCCTCTCTAAATAAATATCATTCTTTACTTTGTAATAAATAAAGTCATTAGGAAAAATTGAAAATCAATTTATCATATACGTAGGTTATTTAATTCCCAAGATTTCAAAAACAAAAAAATAACGGAAACTAAATTGGTTTTAAATTCCAAGTAAAGGTAAAAGAAAATAAATTAGTATTTTTTCCAAAGAAGACAAATCAATAAAATGTATGAAATGAATAAAATTCAAAAGTGTAAAAATATAAGTGTTTTTTTTACTGCACCTGCCGTTGTAATCAATAAAAAAATATCGAAAAAGCAATAATAGAAAATAAAAAAAAACTGAAAAAAATGTAGAATTAATTATACGATATTAATTAATTAGGTGCTCTCGAATAATTTATTTAGGGAAAAATTTATAATAAAATGTTTCTTTTTTTATAAAAAACAATAAAAAAAAATCGGTTGCGATACAAATAAATAGAATAGAAAAAAATGAAACTTCCATAAAATTAAATTTTTACGATCTTAACAATAGAAATCTGGTATTAATTATTAATTATATCGAAAGTGATATAATTAGACAATCAATAACTTTCACGATGCTCATGCATAAAAAAATTTTCACTTTTTCGACATCCACCCACGCAATGCCGCAGAAGGAATTATCTCCCATTCGATTAATCATAAAAAAAATCATCTTACTTGTAATTAATTTTTTTCGATATTTTTATATTTTAATTGTTGAAAAAAAAACAAAAGAACTCACCGAACAGCAACACGAACACTTGAATCATCAGCCATCTCTCTGCTTTATTGTTGACGGTTGAGTAATTCTGGACGACTTTTGACAGTTAACTCCTTCAATTTCTATTTTTGTTGGACGAAAAACTATGACAGGTGAATTTTATCCGTCTTTTTTTAAAGAGAAAAAATCAGACTTGAGAATAAATGGAATAAATATAAACATCCGCGTAAATCACAGAGGGAGAATTAAAACTTTTCTCATTTTTTCTTTTTTTTGCTTTTGATGGGCCAATTTGCCACGAGATGTTTTCTTTTTCACTTGAGAGAACACCACACGTCTCTCCTACATGTTTCACGAAGAATTGAAATTTCCTTCATACTCGGAACAGCCCAAGGATTAGACTGGATTTCCGACTGCTGGAGCCGTAAAGAGCTGCCAGGTACCCTCACCAAACGCAACTGCGCTTGCGCGACAAAAATGCTTCTATTTGTAGAATAAAACTTGTCCATCTAAAGTACTTTATATGTATAATATAAAACGTTTTAAAAATGCGCGGTTCATTTCGCCAATAAGATCATTTTTGTAGTGCAAACTAAGTTGCATTTGGTAAGGGTACTTCTGATTAGAAGGTAATTTTGTAAAAGAAGAAATTGAAATTGTTAAAAAAAAAGTTTAAAATTAAAGTGAAATGTTGAATAAAGTTAAAATGTTTTGAAAAAATTAAAATTTAAAAATTACACCGTTAAACTGAAACTAAATTATAAGTAAAAAAGAGAAAAATGATTTAAATTTAAAGAAATAAATGTCTTTTACAAAATTACCTCCCCTCCTATTATTGATTATTTTAATTTATAAAAAAAACACAAATGTGCTTTTGTTTTTATAAAAAATTTGAAAAATTCAAACAATAATCAATAAAAGAAGTAGCATGTTTTTTAATTTCTTAAAAAACCTGGTATGCCTTTTTACAGGCTGGTTCGGATCTCGTGAGAGATCCCCGGTATGTACAATGGCAAAAAGCCATCACCACCAGGACCGAATAATGTTTTGTTAAATTATTTCCGCAATTAAGCAGTATATTGTCCATCGTAGAAATTTGTATTTCCGGTTGTTGAGGTTCCTCCTTTTCAATGTCCTTGAAGAGATTTACTTAGTGCTGAAAAAGAGAAAATAATTACAAATTAATTAATTTTTTAATGTTTTCCATAAAAAAAACTATTTTTTAACTATAAATTTTAAAAACTTACATTTAAAAATGAATGTTGAAAGTGATGGGAAAAATTATTTCTGCAATTCTGCAGCCTTAGGTTCAATGTCATCATTCTTGATCCGAAATAGATGGTGATTTTTTATGGAATCCTTTGGTATGATTTTTTCTTGAACAAGTGCAAGATTAAGAATATTACGCCCTGCATTTACGTCTCTTTCCCACGTTGTTTTGCATTTCGCACAATAAGTGTATCGATGGGGACTCTTGGATATTTTAAGTGGTCTCACACAGCGACTACACATTTTTGTTGTATTAAACTCATTTACTTTCACGACTTGCAATTTATCTTTTCCTAATTCTTCTGATCTTTGGAAAAGAGTTTGTTGAATACGTTTCAAAGGAGCTTTAGTGTATCCCTTGATAAAATTAGGTATTTCAGCTCCACCAATTGCAACGAAACAGGGTTTCTTCTTTGTATCACCTACTATCCAATTTACAAGTTGATCAACTTGTCGTTTGTGCGCCGAATATTGATCTATTTTTAAACGCGTTACGGATCTTTTTTGATGAAGTGATTGGAAATTTTGTAAAAGATGTATTCTATATTTTGTTATGCGATGGCGATCTCGAGGATTAGTCATGCAAAAATTTTCCATCCATGGATCCTCAGCAAGTTGCTTGTAATATTTTTGCATATCTACACCTTTTTTTTTCTTTAATTCTCTTCTTCTGTAGTCGCCCATCTGCCATCTCATCATCCAACTACCAATGTAAATAGCTGAATCCTTTTTTACATTAGTGGTTGGATTAGGATCGTTTTCTCTACTGACACCAGCCAGAGTCGCCCTCGCACCAGGATCAAAACCACAAAATTTTTTGTAACTTCCAACTTTCTTCTTTGATTGTACAACATCATGTTTTGTGGGTAAATCAAAAATTACTGACACGTCCACACCATTTGTCGTTATTGTACCAGAAAATTTACCACCATTCTTTAATCTTTTTCGACCTCTTTGGATTGATTTAAAGTTGAACATTGAATTCCACCTTTCTTCATTGTTCATTTCACTTAAGCGCTTCATTTCATCGTCCATTTTATCAACTGCTCTTTGAAGATGATCCTTATTCTTTCTTGAATTTTTTTTCTTTTTTTGTAAAATTGCCTTTTTTTCTTTAATTTCTTTAATAACAGTTGCCACTTGCAAATCTTTTAAAGCAGTATTTGTATAAACGACATGCTTCACGCCTAATGAAATTTGTGGAATTAATGTGAAATTCTTCTTCTTTTTATCATGAAATTCTTGTTGAATCATAATGAAAAATGGCAAAATTTATGCCATTCTTCATCTTTTGTCAATTTTGTAAAGTCCAATTTTCTTCCATCATCATCATCATCCTTTTTCAGTAAATCAATAGGGAATCCTTTCACTTTACATTTATTTTCTTGCAGCAGGAGATTTAAAGCAGCAACAGATTGTTTATAAAATGAAGGCCTTCTTTTTCGAAATTTCTTTTTTTCCTTATTCTTCTCTTTTTCTTTTTCCTCATTCTTCTCTTTTTCTTCTTCTTTTTCCTTTTTCGATTTTTTTCTTCGCCTTCTTGGCCTTTTTTTATAATAGACTTTATCGCAATGTTTGCGATATTTTTCCTGTCGAACATATCTTTCATCGCAATAGTCTGATGTATTTTTTTCTCGCATTTCATCTGGAATTTTTTTTTGAGATTTTTGAAATTCTTTTCTTTGTTCATTTTTAATGCTATTTTTAAAACTCCTAATTTTTATTTTTTCATCATTATCATTTTTGATACGGTAAACTGAACAAATTTCTTGAATTTCATCTACTTCCATATGATTTTTTTCTTCGTCTTCAATTTCCATTAATAGCTGCAAATATCTTCTTAATCGTGATGCTGCATGCGTCGTGAAATTTGTTTTAAAGTTTCGATTCAACACTGAAGCTGCCTCCTGAATTATTGCCGTTCTATATTCTCCGTCATAAAGTGGAATGTCATTCCTTAATTCTTTATATTCGTTGACCATTGTATTTATTTTCGCATCCTGTTCAGTTACTTTACGTTGAGCATTTACTTTCTGCTTTAATGATATTAAAAATGACAGAAAGTCGGGACCATTGTTGGTCCATTTCTCCAACAATGATGGGCAATTTTCAACATTTTCAACATTCGTTTCTTCATATAGGCCGAATAATGCCATTGTTGTTGCCTCATACATCATTGATGAAACAACCTTTGCATCTTCTTCAATTCGATTTTTAATGTTTGCTGATTTACATAATTTTCCCAAACAAACTTTTACCGTATGCTTTTCTGTTCCCATTAATTCCAATCTTCTTCTCACTTTATGATGCAACGGTTTATCAATATTTTCATTATCCAAAGTAATTGACGTTCTTTTTCTGTTTGAAGAAACACCAATTGTAGATTTCTCGACACTGTATTTCTTTCGTTTTGAAGAGGGGCCAGCACCACTTTCAATTGATGAGTCAACACCTATAATTGGAAGAAATGAAAATTTTATTAATTTTATATTGAGAGAGATTAAGAAAATATAAAAGAAGAAAAAAGAATACAAAATTTTACCATCTCTTTTTGAAGTTGATGTTGAATGGGAAAATTTAGCTTCTTGCTTTTTCGATTTCTCTACTTTTGAAGAAGTGATTTTTAAATCAGGTCCAGTTGATGACGATAATGATAATGATGTTTCTGTTGGTACACGCGGTGAACTGAACACGGTGACAGCTTTTCAGGAGAATCACTTGGTGCTGAAAAAGAAAAAAAGGAATTAAATAAATTAAAATTTTTAAATTGTTATTTTAATAAAATATTTTTAAAATGTACCCAGGTGAAAATGATTCATCGTACGAATCATTTTTTCCTTGGTTAATTATTAAAAACTTACATTTCAAACTTAATCTTTGACTATGAAATGAAATTTTTCTTTCCGGTCCTTTACTCGAAGACAAAATTTGCTTTTCAGTCTTTTCAATTAAACTGGTAGACATTTCTTCGCGAGATCTAGTTGGTGCTGAAAATTAAAAAGAAACAAAAGAATTAAAATTAAAAAATTCCTCAATTTAAATCAAATACTTGAAGAAAATAATTTTAAAAAACTTACATTTTAATCTGAATATTCCACTCGAGCGAAAAGTTTTCTTCTCTGCTTTTCGAGGTTCAGCCTGCACAGTCTTTGGAGTTGATGACGATGAAGAAAATGTCAAATTTTCGTCAGATTTTTGTGACTGTGAGTTACCGTAGAAGAATCTGGTAGAATGTCCTTCACGAGATTCATTTGATACTGAAAAAATAGAGAATAAACAAATAAATTACAATTGTTAACTTTACATGTAAATAAAAATATTTTTAAAATACATCTGTTAAACACTAACATTTTAGACTCAATCTTTCACTAGAAGAGAAAAATTGTTTCTCCGGAATTCCAGATTTTAGATCTTCAGTCTTTCCAATCGAACTGGTAGACATTTCTTCGCGAGATCTAGTTGGTGCTGAAAATTAAAAAGAAACAAAAGAATTAAAATTAAAAAATTCCTCAATTTAAATCAAATACTTGAAGAAAATAATTTTAAAAAACTTACATTTTAATCTGAATATTCCACTCGAGCGAAAAGTTTTCTTCTCTGCTTTTCGAGGTTCAGCCTGCACAGTCTTTGGAGTTGATGACGATGAAGAAAATGTCAAATTTTCGTCAGATTTTTGTGACTGTGAGTTACCGTAGAAGAATCTGGTAGAATGTCCTTCACGAGATTCATTTGATACTGAAAAAATAGAGAATAAACAAATAAATTACAATTGTTAACTTTACATGTAAATAAAAATATTTTTAAAATACATCTGTTAAACACTAACATTTTAGACTCAATCTTTCACTAGAAGAGAAAAATTGTTTCTCCGGAATTCCAGATTTTAGATCTTCAGTCTTTCCAATCGAACTGGTAGACATTTCTTCGCGAGATCTAGTTGGTGCTGAAAATTAAAAAGAAACAAAAGAATTAAAATTAAAAAATTCCTCAATTTAAATCAAATACTTGAAGAAAATAATTTTAAAAAACTTACATTTTAATCTGAATATTCCACTCGAGCGAAAAGTTTTCTTCTCTGCTTTTCGAGGTTCAGCCTGCACAGTCTTTGGAGTTGATGACGATGAAGAAAATGTCAAATTTTCGTCAGATTTTTGTGACTGTGAGTTACCGTAGAAGAATCTGGTAGAATGTCCTTCACGAGATTCATTTGATGCTGAAAAAATAGAGAATAAACAAATAAATTACAATTGTTAACTTTACATGTAAATAAAAATATTTTTAAAATACATCTGTTAAACACTAACATTTTAGACTCAATCTTTCACTAGAAGAGAAAAATTGTTTCTCCGGAATTCCAGATTTTAGATCTTCAGTCTTTCCAATCGAACTGGTAGACATTTCTTCGCGAGATCTAGTTGGTGCTGAAAATTAAAAAGAAACAAAAGAATTAAAATTAAAAAATTCCTCAATTTAAATCAAATACTTGAAGAAAATAATTTTAAAAAACTTACATTTTAATCTGAATATTCCACTCGAGCGAAAAGTTTTCTTCTCTGCTTTTCGAGGTTCAGCCTGCTCAGTCATTGAAGTTGTTGGTGATTGAGAAACTGTCAAATTTTCGTCAGATTTTTTTGTCTGTGAGTTTCCGTAGAAGAATCTGGTTGAATGTCCTTCACGAGATTCATTTGTTGCTGAAAAAATAGAGAATAAACAAATAAATTACAATTGTTAACTTTACATATAAATAAAAATATTTTTAAAATACATCTGTTAAACACTAACATTTTAAACTCAATCTTTCACTGGAAGTAAAAGATTGTTTCTCCGGAATTCCAGCTTTCACATTTTCAGTCTTTCCAATTGAACTGGTAGACATTTCTTCGCGAGATCTAGTTGGTGCTGAAAATTAAAAAGAAACAAAAGAATTAAAATTTAAAAATTCCTCAATTTAAATCAAATACTTGAAGAAAATAATTTTAAAAAACTTACATTTTAATCTGAATATTCCACTCGAGCGAAAAGTTTTCTTCTCTGCTTTTCGAGGTTCAGCCTGCTCAGTCATTGAAGTTGTTGGTGATTGAGAAACTGTCAAATTTTCGTCAGATTTTTTTGTCTGTGAGTTTCCGTAGAAGAATCTGGTTGAATGTCCTTCACGAGATTCATTTGTTGCTGAAAAAATAGAGAATAAACAAATAAATTACAATTGTTAACTTTACATATAAATAAAAATATTTTTAAAATACATCTGTTAAACACTAACATTTTAAACTCAATCTTTCACTGGAAGTAAAAGATTGTTTCTCCGGAATTCCAGCTTTCACATTTTCAGTCTTTCCAATTGAACTGGTAGACATTTCTTCGCGAGATCTAGTTGGTGCTGAAAATTAAAAAGAAACAAAAGAATTAAAATTAAAAAATTCCTCAATTTAAATCAAATACTTGAAGAAAATAATTTTAAAAAACTTACATTTTAATCTGAATATTCCACTCGAGCGAAAAGTTTTCTTCTCTGCTTTTCGATGTTCTGCCTCTTCTGTCTTTGGAGTTGATGACGATGAAGAAAATGTCAAATTTTCGTCAGATTTTTGTGTCTGTAAGTTACCGTAGAAAAATCTGGTAGAATGTCCTTCACGAGATTCATTTGTTGCTGAAAAAATAAAGAATAAACAAATAAATTACAATTATTAATTTTAAATGTAAATAAAATTTTTTCAAAAAACAACTTTTAAACACAAACATTTTAAACTCAATTGTTGTTTTCTCTTCATTATGTCAATACAGTAGATACTGGTACATGAATTTCTGTAAAAAAAAAATTTGTTAAAAAGACAAAATAATAAGGGTGCAATCTAATAGCATCGTTTTGCGTTGGGTTTTGTAATTAGGCTATTTGGGTATTTTTTTAAAATTTTAGCAACTACAAGCTACTACTTGTGTTAATATATATATATATATATTTTAGAATTTCCATTACATTAAATTCACAAATTATTAGAGATCAAGCAACTATTTACAAAAATTATAATAAAATTCTTTAAAACGAAATTCAATTAGTAGTTTAAAAAAAATCTTTGAAATTCAATTATATTGTCTTGAAATTAGAAAATAATCAATTATTTGAGAAAATCATTTTCAAAAAGATGAATTATTTAACAAAATTTCCATTAAAATAATTATAGTTTTGATAGAAATTTGAAAAAAGTCTGCATAATATAATGTAGAGAATAAATAATTTATAAAGTTTCTAAAATTAATTCTTTTAATAGTCAAGTTACAAAAAGCAAAGCAAATAACGATGCCATGGGACTGCACTCGGGGACTTATTTTATCAACGATTATTTAATAAACTGTCGAATAAAAAAAACGTCCGTTTTGCCTTAATAAGGCTTTGCCGTAATACAGCTTTACGTCCGTCTGCCTTAAAAAGGCTTTGCTGTAATACAGCTTTACGTCCGTCTGCCTTAATAAGGCTTTGCTGTAATACAGCTTTACGTCCGTCTGCCTTAAAAAGGCTTTGCTGTAATACAGCTTTACGTCCGTTTTGCCTTAATAAGGCTTTGCTGTAATACAGCTTTACGTCCGTCTGCCTTAAAAAGGCTTTGCTGTAATACAGCTTTACGTCCGTCTGCCTTAAAAAGGCTTTGCTGTAATACAGCTTTACGTCCGTTTGCCTTAATAAGGCTTTGCCGTAATACAGCTTTACGTCCGTTTGCCTTAATAAGGCTTTGCTGTAATACAGCTTTACACCCGTCTGCCTTAATAAGGCTTTGCTGTAATACAGCTTTACGTCCGTTTGCCTTAATAAGGCTTTGCTGTAATACAGCTTTACGTCCGTTTGCCTTAATAAGGCTTTGCTGTAATACAGCTTAAGTTCGTCTGCCTTAACAAGGCTTTGCTGTAATACAGCTTAAGTTCGTCTGCCTTAACAAGGCTTTGCTGTAATACAGCTTTACGTCCGTCTGCCTTAAAAAGGCTTTGCTGTAATACAGCTTTACGTCCGTCTGCCTTAAAAAGGCTTTGCTGTAATACAGCTTTACGTCCGTTTGCCTTAATAAGGCTTTGCCGTAATACAGCTTTACGTCCGTTTGCCTTAATAAGGCTTTGCTGTAATACAGCTTTACACCCGTCTGCCTTAATAAGGCTTTGCTGTAATACAGCTTTACGTCCGTTTGCCTTAATAAGGCTTTGCTGTAATACAGCTTTACGTCCGTTTGCCTTAATAAGGCTTTGCTGTAATACAGCTTAAGTTCGTCTGCCTTAACAAGGCTTTGCTGTAATACAGCTTAAGTTCGTCTGCCTTAACAAGGCTTTGCTGTAATACAGCTTTACGTCCGTCTGCCTTAAAAAGGCTTTGCTGTAATACAGCTTTACGTCCGTCTGCCTTAAAAAGGCTTTGCTGTAATACAGCTTTACGTCCGTTTGCCTTAATAAGGCTTTGCTGTAATACAGCTTTACGTCCGTTTGCCTTAATAAGGCTTTGCTGTAATACAGCTTTACGTCCGTTTGCCTTAATAAGGCTTTGCTGTAATACAGCTTAAGTTCGTCTGCCTTAACAAGGCTTTGCTGTAATACAGCTTAAGTTCGTCTGCCTTAACAAGGCTTTGGTACTATTGCTTACCTGTAACACAGTTGAGCATGAAGTGCCAGTCTCGTCTCGGGCGCCTGCTTATATACCCGTGTCCCCACCACTTCGAGCGTCCCCACCAGTGCGCGCTTGTACTACTAGCGCCGTGGTGATGTACAAACTATTTCAAGCATATTTTCGGTAACTCGTACCACGAGTCGATAATGCAGAAAGTGAAATTACCTATAGTTGTGTCAAATTTCAAAATAAAGAATTTGTTGGTAAAGCAGTTTTGTTTTGTTTACGATAATCTGTGCAGAATGGAATATACAAACGTGTTGTATAATTAATTAAGATAAGTATTGTTTTTTAATGAATAAATAAATAAGTAAATAAATAGTTTAATTATTTTAATGCGAATTAATTTTTTTTTCAGGTTTAAATTATAGGTGCAAAATATGACAGTAAGAAGAAGAAGAAAATTAAATTTTGCATTGAGGTTAGTTTTAGTTTTACTTTTAATATTATAAATATATATAATAACATATAGTAAATAACAAATAATTAATTTATTAATTATAAATAACAATATTAAAAAAAAATTTATTGAAATTTATGTTTATCAATATAAATCTTGATAATCACACAAATTAATATTAAAGGTATATTGAAATTGTTTTTATTTTTTAGGTTAAAAATTCCAACCATACGGCAAGTCATAATAAATTTGACACATACCATAAGGAAACGAGCGACATCAGTTCGGAAAATTAATTAGGATAAATATTGTCTTGAAATTTTATTTTGAGGTTAGTTTTAATGTTTAATTATTGTTTATAGTAATAAATAGGTATATTTTTTTCTCTTGTTTCTAACTCTATATGTAGGCTTCTCATGGAAACATTGTTTTAATATAAATTTTTTTTTAAATTTAAAATTAACCTTAGAAGAATAGAAAATGTTGACAAAGAAACCAAAGAAATTACAGTTCCTCTACGGGTGACTTGTCTAAACAGATAATCTTTGATTCGCTGCTTTTTTGACAAAATGGTTACTAAAATATTATTTTGAATAATTTAGCCCATTTGCTGAAAAACAATTTCTTGGATAAACTCATTTTATTAAGTAAACGTTTGTGTAAAGCCACATTATATCGAATGAAATTTATATGGATTTAACGTTTGACATAATTTGTAATTTTGATCAAATTACATTTTGGACTTTTTAAAAACGGGGATATACAGGCGCCCCAATCAAATCGCTCTCGACTGTGTATTAAACGTTTTAAAAATGCGCGGTTCATTTCGCTAATAAGATCATTTTTGTAGCGCAAGCGCAGTTGCGTTTGGTGAGGGTACCTGGCAGCACTGTTCTTTACGTGTTACGAGCGACTACCATCTCGCTCGTTAACTTTCGATATATCGATTTACGAGTTATCGAAGCGCGAAATTATAACATTTCGTTAATAAACTCAATTATTTTAGTATTTTCTCACGACTTTAGACAAATATTGACGAGACTAAACAAGAAAGTTTGACTATTGTAAAATATAATACTTCACGGTTTAATAGTTCCCAAATTCCGAATATGTATCTGAAAATCAACATTTCTTAGAATTGTCATAAATCAAGTAGAATAGCGAAAGAAAATGTAATCTCTAGTTTCTTTAGTGTCATAAAACCGAGAAACCCTCGAAAAGAATATAAAAAATATCTCAAGTGTCCTTTTCTATAGGACAATGCAACATGTGTTTACCATACTTGTGACCACAGAAATGGCTTCGAAAAGTCACGTACACATAGACTTTCATTATGCGACGAAACTTAATTATCAATTGTATAATATGAACGTTATGAACAATTAACAACAATATTATATTGTTGCTAATAGTGCAGCATGAATGTATTATTTGAAAATGATATTATTAGTAAACTTTATCTGATTGATTGTTGTAATATTATGGTATAGGATATGTACATATGTATGTGTATGTGTGTATGTGTGTATATATATGTATATATATATATATATATATATATGTATGTATATATGTATGTATGTGTATATATATGTGTATATATGTTTGTAACGTATTGATATAATAATAATATTATATTATGATACATTATCAAATTGGTTATCGTTATAATTGTTGTTTATATTTAAATATGATGAGTGCAGTATAAGAGATTTATTGTTACTAGATATGATGTAAATAATTAATAATTGTGTAATTAGTGTGAATGCAAAAGGGTTATGTTCACTTGTTGTAATACATGTTTTCAATACATAGAGTATGTTTATACGTGTATTAGTGCAGTGCAGTGTTAGTGTTGTGATTCTAAAAACTTCATAGACTTTACAAACTCTATAACAGGGCATGCGCAAAGATTCTGCCATGGACCAAGGGATAAATGCTCCCTCACGAATTCAGTTCTATTTTGGAGTTCTTTCGTAACGGACTTCAGAGTAGTCCCAAAAATAGCCTTAAGAATAACTTCGACTTGTGTAATGTTTGACTTTAATATATAATAAATGTATTGGGTTTACTCGTGAAATGAGTCGGATTAATAATTAATTGATATTAATATTAATTATTAATTGATCTTTCTTATTTTCGAGGTTTTTCCCTCCGTTTTAACGGAAATTAACTTGTTTTATTTTGAATATTTCCGCCTTCCTTTTCAAAGGATTAAACCAAGATTGAACATCGAATCAAATCGCGGATTTTACGCCTGCGCGTAAATAACGTAAATCCGCACGTAACAAACTTGGGGGCTCAACCGGGATCTTGGTGCGGAAAAATTTAAATTTTTGCAAATTTTGTGACTTTTATTCGAAATTTTATGTGAATTTGAACTTTAAAGAACAATAGTGAAAATAACAAATATTACGGGTTGTAAATCTAACAGTGTTAAAATTTTAAGGAATTTCATAAAATAAACTATATAAAACAGTGTAAATATTAACATTTTTTGTGTACCATGAACATTTCGAGAAAAATTTGAGACTAATGAATTAATCAGTGATATAAATGGAAGTGAAATATTCAATCTTTTTACTTTGGACATCATGGAATTCATCTGGAGAACCAAACTACAAATTCAAATTGTTGTGCTGGATTAAATATTGTTGCTGTATTAGGACGTCGAACGAGTGTCAATTTTAATAATAAAAATAAATTTTAAAAAACTTTATTCAACTGGGAGTATCCTGTTATCCTGCTTTCCTGAGTTCTGTACTTCGAAGAGATGCTGATACCTGATTTTTCCTGAACCAATGAATAGGATTTTCAATATTTTTTGAGCGGACTTCTGCAAGGTCAACCAACTACAAGAAGAATATTGTTTCCAAAAGTAAGAAGAATATAGTGGAAAAGTGTGTGCGCGAAAGAATTTCAAATTTTGAAATTGTGATCATTTCGTTGTGAAGTGCGTGAAACGTAGTGTTTTGGAATAATAAAATAAAGGTATGATTAGCGTATGATTATGAAATTATAGATTATAATTTGTCTCTTCTGAGGTTATGATTTTTACACTATTTAAAGGTATAATTAAGAAATTTTTTGGAAAGTTTTAAAATTTCCGTGTGAAACAATTAGTTTTCTTATTTTTGCTATTTAATAAATTATTTAGATGCATTTTTATTTTTGTGATAATTGAGTATTTCATAATTGACATATGTATTTTATAATAATTAATATATTATTGTTTTGTTGAGTCTAAATTAAATGTGTTGTGTTAGTTAAAAATTTGATATAGTTAGTATATAGTCAAACTAATTAGGCAATAATTATTGTTTTTATTAAATATTTAATTGTCAAATTATTTAAGATATAGAAAATTTAATATTGATATTTTTAAAATGATAAAAATGGTTTATTTTCAATTTTGAATAATTAGAATACTTATAAATTAAGAAATATTTTATATATTTTTATGTTTACATTTTTATTTAGTCAATTGTTGTATAATACGAAGTACTTTAAAATATTTTAATAATATAAAATGACACTAATTCTCATTTTTGTAACTACAATATTTTCGAATTAGTTTTTCTAAATATTTTTAATTCTGTGAATTAACATCTTTCTTATTAATTTAAATAATAGATTGTTGTATTTAAAATGTTGAATTAATTAAAATTTTTAGTATTTTTCTTAAGTTGTCAGAATTAATTGTTTTTACGATTGTATATAATCGATTTAAGGTAAAGTCTAGAAGAGACAAATGGTGTGAATGAATTAAAAATTTTGTGAATAATATTAATGAATATATGATTGTGAATATTCCGTACATTGTGGTGAAATTAATGCAAATAATGGAATTTTATTGTAATGTAAAAATGACGTGACATGACAAAGACAGACATATTTTTGAACTGTTTTATGATATTTTTAAACAGACAATTTTAAAGGCAACAACGCAATTTCTTTTACTTCCACGGCTGTTTTCTCTATCTCTACAAGTGTCAATTTAATTTTTAAAACTTTGTCCGAAATATTCAACCCTTAATGTCACGAAAATACCTGACTAATCAATGAAAATTTGTTTAGTACATACCAATTTCCTTTTTAAAAGATAAGCACTGCTTTACATGCAAAGAACCTGATTATTGCACAAAAAAGGGCATCTCTCTTTCTCTTGTTTTAATGCGCTTCAACGTTATTATTTTCCACTTAATGGGTGTTAGAAAGGGTGTTTTGAAACCTTGAAAGTCTGTTGTATTACATGTATATGGCAGAAAGGCAATTTATTCATATTAATACCGAGGATTTTGGTATTTCTTCATTTGAAATTTTGGGAATGGAATTTTTGCACGAGAATTCTGCCTCCTTTAGGGTTTCAGAATGAAGAAATTATCCTTGATCTTCCACCCTTGAGACACACGAACGAGGGAAAATATTCCTTACCGCGAGATCTAATAAGTCCTTCTGTTTAAGTAAAGAAAGAAAGTTTAAAGAAAGATTTTTATTCTTTTTAAACGTATTGAAATCAATAAGAAAATTTGAAAATTGTACTTTGAAGAGGGGAGAGTTGTTGACAATTTTGGTATCATTTTGGAAGATTTAAATCTTTATAATTCGGGGTGTCTGACGTGTGAGAATTTATTTACAACAGAAAATTCTAGAAATTGACGGAAATTTTAAATATAAATGCAATTTGAAAAGTTTCATTAATTTGTAAAAAAAAAAAAAAATTTTAAGAACATTTATACTAAGCCTTATATTCTTCAACAAATTTTTAAGAAAACATATATCAGCAATCAAACTAAGTTTCAGTCTACATTTTAAGTTTTGATAAACATATTATAATTAGTTTTGCAGAGGAAATAAACAAACATATGTTTTACTTTTCTATGCACCAAATTTTGAGTTATATATGAATTAAAGAATATTTTTTTTTTCATTTTAAAAGTATACCTGTTTTATGTATAACTTAAACTATATTAAATCTAGACAATTTCACTGAGATAAGAAAGTTGTTCTCTCATTAAGGTTTGAATAATGTTGAGAAAAATAATTGTTTTTAAGTTTATCTAAAATTTTAATATATCTAAAATTAAAATCTTTTCAATTAGGTACGATTATTTTAATCCTCATTTTAATTTTTATTGTTTTAATACTTAATTTAATATATTTAGAATATTAGAAATTAATAAATAAATCTGAGAATTCTAGAGTCAAAATTCACTGGACACCCTGCAATTTCGGTGAGACCCTTGCGAATTGTGTGTTCTACTTGGCATGGTATACCAATTGACAACAAACGACTTGACAAAAGAAAAATCAATTAGTTTGGATTTATTTTGCACGAGGTGACACGTTCTATGAACAAAACACCTGTGTTTTATTAATTATTTTTACAAAACATGACGAAGGACGAAAGGCCGGGTAGAACCATGCAATTGCTCGGAGTCAAATAAAATTAGCGAACCAATTTAAGGTTTTGATGCAATGGACGGTTTATTGGTTCTGGGAATATGTGACCGCGAGACCGAGACAAAAGGTAGAATGTTGATGAGGACGGCCTCGGCACGGAGTCACAGGGTAGTGGTGAGTCTGGCCAGTAATCACACTACTAGAATTAATAAAGGTGATGTGGATAGCATTAGCCGGGAGTCACGCTACAGAGGTCGGGAAAGACATGAGAACAAAAGGGCCAGTGTTCAAAAGGGTCGTCTCGTGGTTTCGTTCCCAGATAAGGTTGAGTGGCCGTCGCATTGATAAACATTCAAAATGAAAATTTGAATTGTAATAGGAAACTGGAATTTTCATAACTCTCTCTTCAACCTTTCAATTCTCCTTGTAAAATAAGAACATTTTTCTAATAGTTACATTCACCCGAATCCACCACCTGCGAACATGGCATGTGTTGCCTAGAGGTCAAGGGTGGTGAGGATGGGGATGGTGTTTGTCGAAATCGTGAAAAGTATTTTAACGTAAAGTGGGTATTGGTCCCTAATCAGAAAATTTACAATGTTATTTTAAATGCTTCCATAACTATAAGAGAGGTTGCTAAATAAACTTAGTTTTGAACTTCATTTTTAAAAAAAGAAAAGCCCTTTCTTTATGACCGTTTTACTATTTGTATAAACGAAGACATTTTCTTAAGTCAGTGACATTTTTATAAAACCGATTCTGTGTCAGCAGGCTAACTACCTGCAATACAGGACTCTTTTTTTTCATCATCCTCTTTAAGGGGGAAGGGGTGTCGAGCAACTGGGACTTGCTCGTACCATGTCTTTCAATTTTCACCTTTTTTTCCCTTCTTTCTTACCCCCTCAAAAATTTTCACTGTGAAAAAGTAGAAAAGAAAATTATTTCTTTTGATGTTCTGTATGAAATTATTTTAAAAATTCTGGAATATTTACAGTAAAATAAAAAGAAAATTTTCCTTTCATTTTTAGATCTTCTCTCCTATTCTTGAACTTAAAAGACAAGTTAGAATCAATCTAATAATTATATCTCAATTTTTGTAGTTATGATTGTTTCAGAAAATAAATTTTAGGTTATTATAGACAAATTTAAAATAAACAAAAAAATTTTTAAATACCCAAGCGAAATTTCTTTTATAATTTTCTTGCGAAAATTCTCTTTAAGGGGGAAGGTGTTACGAGCGACTACCATCTCGCTCGTTAACTTTCGATATATCGATTTACGAGTTATCGAAGCGCGAAATTATAACATTTCGTTAATAAACTCAATTATTTTAGTATTTTCTCACGACTTTAGACAAATATTGACGAGACTAAACAAGAAAGTTTGACTATTGTAAAATATAATACTTCACGGTTTAATAGTTCCCAAATTCCGAATATGTATCTGAAAATCAACATTTCTTAGAATTGTCATAAATCAAGTAGAATAGCGAAAGAAAATGTAATCTCTAGTTTCTTTAGTGTCATAAAACCGAGAAACCCTCGAAAAGAATATAAAAAATATCTCAAGTGTCCTTTTCTATAGGACAATGCAACATGTGTTTACCATACTTGTGACCACAGAAATGGCTTCGAAAAGTCACGTACACATAGACTTTCATTATGCGACGAAACTTAATTATCAATTGTATAATATGAACGTTATGAACAATTAACAACAATATTATATTGTTGCTAATAGTGCAGCATGAATGTATTATTTGAAAATGATATTATTAGTAAACTTTATCTGATTGATTGTTGTAATATTATGGTATAGGATATGTACATATGTATGTGTAAGTGTGTATGTGTGTATATATATGTATATATATATATATATATATATATATGTATGTATATATGTATGTATGTGTATATATATGTGTATATATGTTTGTAACGTATTGATATAATAATAATATTATATTATGATACATTATCAAATTGGTTATCGTTATAATTGTTGTTTATATTTAAATATGATGAGTGCAGTATAAGAGATTTATTGTTACTAGATATGATGTAAATAATTAATAATTGTGTAATTAGTGTGAATGCAAAAGGGTTATGTTCACTTGTTGTAATACATGTTTTCAATACATAGAGTATGTTTATACGTGTATTAGTGCAGTGCAGTGTTAGTGTTGTGATTCTAAAAACTTCATAGACTTTACAAACTCTATAACAGGGCATGCGCAAAGATTCTGCCATGGACCAAGGGATAAATGCTCCCTCACGAATTCAGTTCTATTTTGGAGTTCTTTCGTAACGGACTTCAGAGTAGTCCCAAAAATAGCCTTAAGAATAACTTCGACTTGTGTAATGTTTGACTTTAATATATAATAAATGTATTGGGTTTACTCGTGAAATGAGTCGGATTAATAATTAATTGATATTAATATTAATTATTAATTGATCTTTCTTATTTTCGAGGTTTTTCCCTCCGTTTTAACGGAAATTAACTTGTTTTATTTTGAATATTTCCGCCTTCCTTTTCAAAGGATTAAACCAAGATTGAACATCGAATCAAATCGCGGATTTTACGCCTGCGCGTAAATAACGTAAATCCGCACGTAACATACGGCACTTTTGTACAAAGAACGCCATCTTGTGACTATCAATTGTATTCGATTTTTATAGATCATATCACTCAATTGATAACAATTTACCAAATTTAAATTTCTTTTCTAAAAAAAATTCTTTTTTTTCGTATATTCTTCTTGCTTACAATGAGTAATAATGGTAACAATGTCACAGTGACAATAATCAGCTGATAACTGTCAATTACCCTCAGGAGTGTATATTGATTTTTTAGGGCCCCTGGATAAAAAAAAATTCTCATAAATCAAAAAGAAAATTCAAGTAGGTATTAAAGTTAAAATTTTGTTTCTTTAAATTTTAATGTTTTATTTTTTCAGTAGAAAAGAAGAAATTTAAATATATTTGGATTTATCCAGAAAAAACTTACAAAAAGAGAGGGTGGGATTTTTTTTTTCTTCACAAGTGCATATACATTATATTGAGATTGATTAATTCTAACTTCTGTCTTATTTTCTCATCCTGTTGTAAATTTTCAAACCACCTTGACATGTGGATAAATTCCTTTTTCTCCAAAGGAGTCAAGTCTCTCTGTAAAAAAAGAAAAATAATTATTTTTTTAAAAAAAGCATTTTTCTAATTATAATTAAAATTAAAAATTTTAAATTAAAATTTAAAAAAATACCATTATAGGATGTAATATATGATACAAAGAGATGTCAGCGACAGAAATTTTCGTTCCTCCCAAATACGTGGTGGTGTTAAGAAAATTATTCAGTTCCTGAAAAGAAAAATAAAGATAATGTTTAAAAACGTTTTTTCGAATTTTTTTTGTCTTGATTATAATTTACAATTTACCTTTAATACTCTTTTGGTATTGGCAGAATTATCGGCGTAATTTGCACAAACAGACGCATATTCGAGCCATTGTTGTGTCAATGCTCGGGATACAGGATCATCGCCAAGAAGATGCTTCAAATTTGAAGAATTCGTCATGGCTTGAACGATTGTACTGAATCCCTCAACTGTTTGGTTTTTCAATAAATTACTCATTGCCACTACCTGCGGATAATAATTGCAAAAATTATTTATAACAGAAACAACTATTTTTTTCCGAAAGAAAAATATTTTATACATTTCATAAATAAACGAAAAAAATAAGAAAAAAGACGATCTTTGATTTTAGAAAATACGAAAGCGGAACATTTTTCACAAAAATCGAGAAAAATGAATAGAATATACAGAATAGAATATCAACGGTTTCCTATTGAAACTTTCTACCTGACTTAGCATAAAAAGAATTATAATATATTACTGTCCATCGTAAAAATTTTTTTTTTCACAACTTTACAAAAACCTTTCAATTCTCGCTAATTCATATGGAAAATAGTAAACCTTCTGCTTTTATCCCTTTAGGACCTTTAGTACCGGCAAATAAAAACGAGATTCTAAAGAAATTTCAGGGAAAATGTCTGAAAATTCACACAACTATTGATCTGTCCCTGTCTAAAAAGGTTTAAAATTTTAAATCAGTGTACATTTTGTTACTCAATTAAAAAACAATAGGAAATTCACTGGAAAAAGTACAATAAACGACTATTATATATAAATAATAAATGATAATTCCCAAAAAATGAAACAAATAAAGTACATAGTAGACACAATATTGTTAATAAGTAATTTTAATTTTCTTACATTATTTTCCGACATGTGCATCTTTCCAGGAATGACATCCAAATATTGAGATATTCTCTTCACGCAATCAACATTGCACAGCACCATTATTGTTTATTTAATGCTAAAATCTGCTTAAAAAAACAAAATCAACACGTGTTTGCACTTTGTAAGCGGCATTTGGCATTTGCATAAAAATTTTGAGGTTATATTTTTAAAGTCCATGCGCCTGCGCACAGAAAGAGTGGGAGTTTCAAAAATGTTAAACATAAAAAAAAAATAATAACAATTAATATTATAATAATCATAATATTTTTAAGATAGTAAAAATATTAATCCACACAAGACAAAATTGATCATACGAATTAAATATATAATGTACTAAGTTTGAGACTTAAAAAAAGTGTCAAAGTTAAAGTTTTTTTTCTAACAGTTGGTATCTCTGTCTGTCAAACTAAAAAAAGTGTATTCGTGTAGACGTGCGTATTTCATTAATATGATTAATGTCTAATTAACAATATCAATAGCCAATTATATTTAATTATTCATAAAAACATAGTTGACGTAGGAATTAGTTCTTAAATTAGTAAATTTACTTTGAAAGTAGGGAAAGAATTTACTCCATAAAGATTATAAGTGAGACAGAGACAATAAAAGACAAAACAATTTTTTCGGTTTTTATTGTCTGAATTAACTTCGTTTATTAAAAGTATACGGACAAATTTTTACTATTTTATTTTATGATGTTACTATTTCTAGTTGAACAGTATGGTCAGTAATTATATAGGCTGACGAAATGTTTTGAGGTTATTTATCCATGTAAACAGACGTTCAGCTCAGTTCTGGTTTAGCAGTTTTTTGATATCAATCTAGACGAACGTTTATAGCCACTTCGTGATAAATTTTACATTACTTAGTTTCTTCATTATTATTTTAATGTAAATACAACAATGGTTTCGTTAAAATTAATTTTGTGCCTCTTTCTCGTGTTTATTTGTGTCGCTGATTCAAGAATCGAAGAAAATGAAGATGTACCTCTAGCAAAGTTTGGATCAAAATCAGGACCCACGTTAAATTTTTTCTATTGGTAAACATTAATTTGTTATTAAATTTACTATATTTTGTATTTTTGTTTTATTGTAGAATGTTTTTTTCATGTATTTTAATATAAATAATTCATAATATCGTGAAACAAGATTAAAAATGTAAGGTTATGTTTGCATGCATCAGCAATTCTTGTTGATTCTTAATTGGATTCAATAAAGTGGTAGATTCTTTATTCCTTGAAATTTACTATTAAATAAGATTCAAAATATATATAGTATTTTAGATTTAAAAGAAAATAATAAGTAATAATAAAATAATAATTAAATAACTCTAAGAATCGGGAAAATTGTCGTTTGAATTCGAATTATTTGATTAGTAAAGTAGATAAAAATCATATCTTATCAAAAAAATGTCATTCTCATAATAATTACATGTACTTATTTTTATTTCTGAACCATTTTTTTCCAGCTATTCGTGTGGATATAGAAAAGTATTTGAGGAATATGTTAGTATTTTGAGACAAAAATATCCAGAACTCCAAATAAATGGCGACAATTACAAACCCCCAGGATATAATATGTTTGTGGCACATTTTCTGGTAGAAAAATTTATCTATAATTTATAAGTATAATTTTAAGAAAAATTGAAAGTTGAATTAAATAAAGCGATTTATAACTATTTGAAAATAATTTGCTTTTCAATTTCCAGGGTATAGCAAAAATTCTAGTCATACTTTTAATTCTCAGTGGAATTAATATATTCCAATGGATCGGTCAGCCAGCGCCTTTTGTTTGGCAATGGTGCATTGACAATCGCCTTTACGCTAGTATTTTACTCTTTTTTATCTGTAATGCTATCGAGGGTCAACTGATTTCTTCCGGAGCCTTCGAAATCCATTTAAATGGTAACAATTATTAAAATTCTATATAATTTCTTAAAAATTCTACAATTAACCTTTTTTTCTAACTATAAAATATATTTTGAAATTAAAAAATGAAAAAATTACAGACGTTCCTGTTTGGTCAAAGCTGGAAACCGGAAGGATACCTCAGCCTCAAGAATTATTTCAAATTATTGACAACCATATGCAAATGATGCTGCCTGAAATGGATATCGGAAAACCGATGTCATTCACCAAGTAATTTTTAAGAAAAAAAATGTTCCAGTTTTGAAAAATAAACACATAAATAATGTTAAGAAAAAAATCATTGAAGACTTGTGTTGTTAAAAATATGTCGATAATAATTACGTCAAAGTCTTACACTTTGTTCATAATAATTGCTTCATACGCAAATTTACACAATAACTTTAAATTAGATTTTAAGACACTAGAGTGAAAAATAAAATAATAGAACAAAAAAGAGAAAAAAATGTTCTCTTGTTTAAAAAAACTCAGAAAGAAAATTATCTCTGAGCAGCGGTTCAAAATATTACGCAGGCGTGAAACGATCGCTTTTCTGTAAATGGTTTTTTTAGCGGTCATTGAAAAACAATTTTTGATTTTAACAATATTCACGAAAACTAAAATTTCAAAATCAATAAAAATAAATGAAAAATTGCGCACTTTTTACGTGCCTCTTTATTGGCGCATACACAATTTGTTTACTTTAATTTATTGTACGTGTGTGAATTTAAACTAAATAATCACTAGACAAATAACTTTTCATTTTAATATAAAAATTACTCTCTCATTTTTAATCAATTGTTTTTAAATGACCAATTATCAGATCTTTTTGTAAATTAGACGTGTAGTACATGTATATGAAATGAAGTAATGAACTTTATAATAAATGTACATATATATAATATAAAAAATTAATTTCTTCTCAATTTTTCTTCTACTTTTTTTTGAAAATATAATTCAAATCAAAACAAGTGTCACAATTTTTAGGTTATGTTTTTTTAAAACTTTTCAGTCTAACTTTTCAATTAAAAAATTAGTTAATAACAAAATTAATGAACTCAGTAAATATTTTAATATTTATATTACCTATACATTAATCAATAAGATAATTAATGAGCATATAAACAATTTTATTTGATATTTAAACATTTTGACAGATTACTCCGATACAAAATATAAAGGCGCATTTGCACATGGATGACGGTCATTGGTCGGTGAGCCCCCGCGCAAATTTGAATTTAGCCAATGATGACATATATCTTGCGGACAAACCCGGAACTAACGCTTTTTTCACTTTAATTAATTAATTAAGTAATTAATACTTGATTTAATTATTGAAATATGATTGTAAATCGTTAATAAGTGTATTATTTAGTTTTTTATCAAAATATTTTAATTATATATTGTTTATTTTCTTAAATAAACATTCGAACCCGGAACAAACTTTTTTTGCCTAAATTCATTAAATAAGCAATTAATAATTGATTTTATAATTGAAATATGATTGTAAATTGTTTACAAATGTATAATTTAGTTATATAAAATAAAGTCAGCTTGTAAAATAAGTTTAATAATGAAAATTATTATTAAATCGAATGTCCAAGTCCTCGAAAGTTCATCCCCATGGAATATCATAATAAAGCCTAAAGGCGCATTCACACAAAAATCCTCAATTGAACTAAATTGCTCCACGTTTTTGGCATTTGGCGCTATGGTAAGTTGATATTCCGCATTTATTTTATTAATAATAGGTAAAATATAATCTACTTTTTGATTTTAATTTTCCTAATAACTTGAAAATTGTTCGTAAATTTTTCTGTTGAATTATTTACTCATTATGATTTGATTGTAAAATACATTATTGTTGAACACTTTCCTAACCTCAAAATGTTTGACACCAAATAAAATTGTTTTTAATTCCTTGAATTTAATCAAATTAATTTATTTGCAGATAAATATTTTTGAACAGAATGGTTCGGCATAATAACCAACTACCGGATAATCTTCCACAATTACAGAATTTAATTAAACGTGATCCTGAATCGTACAAAGAAGAAGTAAGTTTTCTCGCATATTTCAAACTTTTTATTCGTTTTTGTACTTATTATTAATATGTTGTCTAATTTGTTAAAAAAAATTTACAGTTTCTTCAACAACATAATCACTTTAAATCCTTCTTGGAAGTATTTCGATTGAATCCCGAGAAATTCGATAAAGATCTTGATGTTGTGTCTATGTTTCTTGCCCAGGTGAGTTTTTTTTTATAATTACAAAAATTTCATTTTCCTAGAGTTTTGAACATTCAAATGAATGAATTTAATATTATTATCTTTATTATTCTAAATACTAAGAAATTAAATTTTCTATAATTAGTGAAATTTTACTAAATTTGTAGCCACTATTAAATGTTATTTAAATTTTATAATTGCATCGACGAACTTTTTTTTTCTCTTTCAGGTTTGAGAAAAGATAAGTTCGTCGAGCAAGTGGGCAAAAATTTTGTTACCTTTGTCAAAATTTTTCATCATCGTTAATATCAAAAAAGAAAAGAATTAATCATGGAGGAGTGTATTGAAGCTCTTGGTGAAACGATAGTTTGTCGAGATAATCTAATTCGACAATTTTATGGTTTAATCGCACCGAATGAACAATTGCCGGAGAATATTTTTGCCTACGGTCATATTGCGAGTGGAAAATCACTAATTATTCAGAGTATCGTGAAACATTTAAAGTACAAATACTCGGTAATAAATTGCGTTGATCATTTAACCAATAAACATATGTTCGAGGACATTCTCATGGATCTCACCGGAACATCATTGAAATCAGAGGATAATTTTAAATCTCCATTCAAAGTCGATTCGATAATGGATTTTATTTACAGTCTACGCTTTGAATTCATCAACAATGAGCCAATAATTATCATTTTCGATAAATGTGAATATCTACGTGATAAACCAAAACTACTTCTCGCTCTTCTACGTCTTCGTGAATTATCCCAAATTAACGTATGTCCAATTTTCATCACCGATCTCACCTGGGATAAATTCTTCTCCATCATTAAATTAAAATTGCCAATTAAATTTCACTTTCCACCGTATACAAAACAGGAATTATCGAGAATTTTACTATTCTACAAACCTGAGGATTATGATGAAGGATTTTACGAAAATTTCCTCGATCTATTCATGTCCGTATTTTATCAATTTTGTCGTGATCTCAATGAATTGCGTTACATGGCGTCGATTAATTTCGAAAAATACGTTGAACCGATTAAAAATGGCAAATATACGATTGAAGATACTAAGCAACTTTGGTTTGATGTAAAGAAGGTGTTTCAGAAGAATTTAGAAGTTATTTATTTACGTGTCCAATCGAGTGATTTTGTTCAAGATACAAAAATTGCTAATGAAATTGGTTCAATATCAAAATTGGCATTGAGTTTCGAACTTCCGGTCTATGGGAAACATATTTTGATAGCGTCATTTTTGGCCTCGTATAATCCAGTGAAGGAGGACAAGTATTTATTTATGAAGGGAACGAAGAAGAGGAAAAAAAGAGCTCACGTCATTAAGAAGAAACAAGTTCTTACTACACAAACGGGACCGAAGAGTTTTCCACTTCAGAGAATGTTGATGATATTTTGTTGTATTGTCGAGGACAATGTTGACATAAATACGAAAATTCTTTCACAAATTCCAACCATGTGCGAATTGGGATTATTGACACCTGTCGGCGAATCGAATATTGACGAACCAAAATACAAATGTTGCGTGAGCTACGATTTTGCGACAGTTATTTCCAAGTCTATTAATTTTGAATTGAAAAATTATCTCTACGACTTTATTCACTAGTATTTTATTTTATTTTATACTCGATTTAATTCATTTTATTCTACATCGAAAATTTCATTTTTCGTTAACTTATTTATTAATCGTAAATCGTAATTACAATCGACTGCTTAATTTATTATCTTTCTAATCTACGAATAACGTTTTTTACTTTTGTACAATTTTTTGCAAATAAAAGTACTTGAGAAAAATATCGTTTCTTTTAAAAGTGGCTACAAATTTCCTGTGAATGTATTGAAAATAAATTTTGTTTTAAACTCCAAGGTGGCCCATTGTTATCCAGATGTTCTCGTCACATTTCCTCAGGATATTATCGATACACTCGAGAAGCACAACACAGTTCTTCACAATGACATGCGAATGGTAAAAAATAATTTCATTTTATTTAAATATGAATCGAATATCGAAATAATTTCATTAATTATTTTCCCTCTATTTTGTTATAGACATTTTGCAAGGCGTTAATTTTAATTCGCAATAAAGGACTTTTGGAGCCAACGGTGTTATTGAATTTATTCTTCAATCTCCTCCGTTGTCAGGATAAAGTTTTACGGGAATTTCTACAGACGCACATTATCACCGACATTAAGAATATCAATGCAAAACATAAGAATGCAAAAATTAATACTGTTTTGCAAAATTTTATGTTCACGATGCTTAAGGATGCAAACGATCGTGCGGCACGAATGTCATTGGACATTATGATTGAATTGTACAAGAAAAATGTTTGGAATGATGCAAAGACTGTGAATGTCATTGCCACGGGTTGTTTTTCGAAAATTGTGAAAATAATGGCAATTAGTTTGAGATTTTTCCTCGGCACCGATCCAGATGAAAAGGAAAGCGATGAGAGTGACAGTGACGATGAGCCGAATGTCAAGGAAGTTATGCTCGCCAATAAAGTTAATAAGAAGACGAAAAAACGAGATAAACAGCTGAAGAAGGCGAAACAACTTTATGTGGTTGGTTTTTTTGAATTTTCACTCTTTTATTTCATTTTTATTAATTATTAGCAAATACATTCAATATTTATTATTATTATGAACATTAGAAAACAAATCAATTTTTTTTTTTAATTTTTAATAATATTTTTTGAAAACATACAATTATTTTCTAAAATTTTAATAAATTCTTTGAAAAAATTCAATTTTATTTATAAATAATAAAATTCTTTGAAAAAATTAAATTATATTCAAAACAATTTTCTTTCGCTTTCAATGAAAAAAATTTCTAGTAAAATAAAATTTTACTTTCCAATTTGTTTAGAAATCAAAAAAGAAGAAATCAAAGGCCCCGCAATTTAATTTCTCGGCGCTTCATTTAATTCACGATCCACAAGGTTTTGCGGAAAAATTATTCAAACAATTACAGAGAAACAATGATCGAAGGGAAATTAAAGTCATGACACTTGACGTTATATCGAGATTAATTGGTCTACACGATTTATTTCTATTAAATTTTTATCCATTCGTGCAAAAATATCTACATCCTCATATCCCAGGTAAGCAAATTGAATTATTACGAAAAATAATATAGAAAAAAACAGGAATTATAAAAATGATTTCTCTTTTTCAGATGTCACGAAAATGTTACAATTTGTCGCACAAGCGTCACATGAATTAGTGCCACCAGATGTTTTAGAACCGGTTCTAAAAACTTTGGTTAATAATTTTGTAACTGAACGAAATTCTGGTGATGTCATGGCCATTGGGTAAATATGCTTTTAAATTTTATTTATTTTCATTTGATTTTTATTACGAAAATAATAATATGAATTTGGATGAAAAAGTAAATTTAATTTAATTTTTTTTTAAATGGAATTTAATTTTTAAGATTGAATGCAGTGAGGGAAATTTGCGCGCGATGTCCGCTGGTTATGACGGAGGATCTTCTTCGAGATTTGTCACAATATAAAAACTATCGTGAACGGAGTGTAATGATGGCTGCTCGTTCACTCATAGCGTTATTCAGAAGTACAATGCCAGATTTACTCAACAAAAAAGACAGAGGTCGTCCAACGGAGGCGACAATGTTCCTGGAGTCACTTCAATACGGCAAAGTCAATGCCAAAACATTTATACCTGGTGCTGAAGTTTTACTTGATAAATCAACCGAGGATTTTGAAATTGACAGCGACGATAGTGACGTGAGTCTTTTTTTATTTCTATTTGTGACGCGAGTCTATTTTTATTTTAAAAAATACAAATTCATTAATAATTAATAAATAATAATTTATAATTCATTATTGAAGTAAATATAAAAAAAATATTTTCAGGAGGACGACGAATGGATTGACGTAAATCACAGTGATGATGAAAATACTACAAAAAATAGTATTGAGGCAGGGGATGAGGAGAACAGTGAAAGTGAGGGCGAAGATGATGAAGAGGACGAAGAAGACGAAGAAATTGATGACGAAGAAGAAGAAGAAGAAGATGACGAAGAGATTGATGGTGAAGAAGTAGACGAGGAAAATGATAATGATGATACTGATAACAAAGAAGAGAACGAGAAAAAATCGAAAATTAAAATAAAAAATATGAAAAAGTCGAAAAAATGTAAAACTGAAGAAGAAAATGATTCTTCAATGAATATCGAGGGTGATATTGAAGAAATGGACGATTCCATGTCACAAAAGACAATAAGAAGTAATCGTGGTAAGAAAAAGACTTATGCGACGAAATTGGAGCGAAAAAAGAGGAAAATTGCAATGCTCGCGAAGAATAGAGAGCAAAAGAAAACTGAGTATACTGCCGAGAAAAAAGAAAAGGCGTCGCAAATTTCCGTCGAGAGAATTTTAACTGATGAAGATTTTAAGAGAATTGATATGGCTTTAGTCAAACAGCAAGTAACGCACGCTAAACGTGGAGTGAAACGACCGCACGATGAAGATCGTGGCGAACTGGTGAAACTCGGAGATATTGAAAATATCTATAAGAAAAAGAGGCATGACAAGGCAGCTCGACAGGAAACTGTTCGGGTAATTATTTTCTACATATAAATGAATTTTTTGAATTAGTGGATTTTTTTGTAATTATATTGAGTCACTATTATTAATAATTTCACTAATTATTTTGTCAAAATTAATTCTTATTTTATTTGAATTTTCAGAAAGGACAAGAAGGACGAGAAAAATTCGGCTACAAGGATGGAAGGCAGAATCCATTGTGCAGTAAAACAAATCGCGAGAGAAATAAAAAGAAAGCTTATCAAATGATAAAATTCAAAGTTAAAGGAAAAGGAAAGCGTTCCTTTAAAGACAAGCAAATTGCTCTTAGAAATCATTTAACTACTTTAAGAAAGATGAAGTAAATTCATCGAAGATTTTTATATTTCAAGAAAATAAATATTTATCATAGTAATGAATCTACATTTTGTTCCAAACATCGAAAAACTATATAATTATATAAAAGATTGAATTTCTATTTGTCAGAAATAATTTTTAATTAAAAATAAGGAAAAGATTTATTTTTATCATCTTTACCTGCTTCCTAAAGAATTGCAACAAAAGTTAGTCACAATTTCCTATTTTATATGAAAATGTTTAATTAGATTTTGAATTCTATTTAGAATTTAATTTTCAACATTTCAAATAATAATTAAGAGTTGCCTTCGAATAAAAATTACAATTTAAATTAAAATTATTTCCTAATGACAAAATTGTAATTTTTATTCAAATTATTCAAATGCAACTTTTAATTTCTTGAAATGTTTAAATTTAAATTTAAATAAATTTATAGTACCAAATAATTACACTGGTGGCACTTCAGTAGAGTCAGTCACGTGATCACAACAAAACTGCGGTGAAAACAATAAAAACAGCAAACAGTAAGTTAACAAAAGAACTTGTTTATTATAAGCGAAAGGATAATAATTGATTAACTATGGAATTTTGTTTTGGAGGACAAACCTTTTTATATTCTAAAAATGTCTAAATTGAATGAATTGGAATGAATTGAATCGTGACAGAAAATGAGTAACCTAACCTCAAATTGTAAAGGGAGAATTTTCAATTAAATTTTATGAATATTGCAAATATATATAACTAATATAGTCCTATAGACAATATAATTCTTTTTAATAAAAGTTTAATGAAACATCTTTCGTCAGGTAAATATTGTCAGGATTGACAGAATCGTCAGCAATCATGTCAGCTCCAATAACCACCGCAATGGAAAGTATGACAACTGCCATGAAGACGAATATTATTCCAAATCAGGAATATCTTCTTCAAGGTTCAGTTCTAGACAGTGCTGTCGAGGTTCTACTACATCGTCTTCGTGGCTTATGCGACAATGTCGACACCGGTCCCGAAACTTTTCACGATCACGAAATGTGCTTCAGTATCAGACGGTAATTTGACAAAATTTTACTAATAATAAAAATACAATTTTCTTGCTGACAAAATGCTAACTAAAATTCCAGAGGACCACCACCGGAACAACCTCTTCTTCTGCGAATACGAAGAGCTCTAGACTATCCGGAAATGCCATGGCAATTGCGTTACATTGGTCAAACGGAAATTGGCGATAAATCACGTCCAACTTTGATAAGAAGCAGTTTGGATATTGCCACAAGTAATACGGTGGCTGAATTTCTCTCGGAATTGGGATGTAAATTGGATTTTGAATATATTGTACGTGGCTATATGTTTCGTAAGGGTCGAATGAAGATCACCGTCTCGAAGATATTCAAAATGGGACAGGGAAAAATGCCCGACAGTGTTGAACCAATGTCGCAGAGTTATCTCGTCGAACTCAGTGTTCTTGCACCTTCTGGACAGGACGCAATTGCTGAGGATATGAGGTCATTCGCGGAACAATTAAAACCCTTGGTGCAACTCGAGAAAATTGATTACAAACGCCTAGTGCATTAAGATCATTTTATTTCTCATATAAAATTATTTATATGCAAAAAGAAACCGTATTTTCTTACTACGAACTTTTTATTTATAACAAATTAGGTTCGTATTTTTAAAACTATACTTTTTATCAATTTTTTTATTACTTTTTTTAATTAGTTTAATAAATTACTAAGTGTATCATTTCTTTTACGTATTAAAAATAATAAAATTTATACAGAACTTCAATTATTTAAGAAACAATTTTCATTGAATTTTCTAAAAAAATTAATTATTTAAAAGAATTTTTATAAAATTTATTCTTCTCGGGAATTTAATTATTTTGGAAAATTTTAATGCAACTCTTCGCAGAAATTCAAGAATTTTTTAGATTTGAGCCACTAAAAGCTACTATTTTTGTTTTTTTTTCGTCTTTTGAAAAATTTGTAATTAAAATATTTTGAAGATACTTGAATTTTCTTAAATTATTCTTAAAAGATTAAATTATATTTCCAATTATTCGGAAATTTCGTTAAATTTAATTGAAATTGTACCTACATTTAAAAAATTAATTCTTTTTGTACTTTAAAAATTATTTTTCAATTATAATCGTATTTTTGAAGAATTTAAAATTAAAATTTCAGATTTGACATTGTAAACTTCGGTTAATTAAATATTTATTTTAGAATTTATCTCAATTGTTAATTGCAATAAATTAACAACTTTGAATAAGGAAATTTGCTGATTTGACTAATTTAGTCACTGGAATAAAAATGGCGCCCTCTTGTTGACAGTATTCTAAACACAAGCAGATGTTGCTTGGGTAGCCATTTTGCATTCACGTTTTCGTCAAGTTCGTCGAAGCTTTTTACAAAAAAAGAATCATATTGCTCTTCGAACAGCTAATTATTTAAAAAAGTAAGTAAATTTGCACTCTTTCTTTCTAAAACTAATTTTTTTCTACCACATGCCAAGAGGGAAGAAATGATCCAAAAAATTCCTTTGTTTCTACATTTTACTACTTATTGTAATACATATTTTTGTCATAAATTCTTGGAGAATTTAAATATTATGTTAATTAATCAAACTTGATATTTTTTTAACAGCATGTCGCGATATCGCGAATGGGATTTGTCCTGTAAAGTGTACGTGGGAAATTTAGGGAGCAATGCCAACAAACACGAGATTGAGAGTGCTTTCGGCAAATTTGGTTCATTGAGAAACGTATGGGTTGCTAGGAATCCACCTGGTTTTGCTTTCGTCGAATTCGACGATCCCAGAGATGCCGAGGACGCGGTCAGAGGTTTAGATGGAATGTAAGATATCAATTTTGTTAATTTGTGTCTTTAGATGCCTTGTGGAATCGAAATCGATTAACTGAAAAATAAAATAAATTATAGTCGTTGCTGTGGGTCAAGAGTACGAGTCGAAATGTCGTCAGGTAGAAGCCGACGTGGAGGTGGTGGTGGTGGTGGAGGAGGAGGAGGAGGAGGTCGCAGACCAGCTGGAAAATATACTTCAAGGTAAAGCTCGTCTTTTGCAGTTGCAATACCAAACATAACCTCTAACTGAAAAGAAAATAAAATTCTTCGTCTTTAATATTAATCCTGTTGATGAAATTCTCGTCTAAAATCGTGATATAACATTAAAATGAAATTATTATTCTTCTTGATGAAAACGAAATTTGTGCCCTAGGTCCGGATCTCGTAGTCCTGTAAGAAGGGGTAATGGCCGTTTCCAGAGGTAAGATGAACACCAAAATTTTTAACTAAAATTTTTTCGAATTGAAATTTAATGCCAATATACAATTTTCAATTCTTTTGTAGATCCGCCTCCAAGAGTCCACGAAGATCACCTGTCAATCGCTACTCCAGGTAATAAATTAATTCTTGAATTTGTCAAAGTATTCAGAAATCTCAGGAAACTGAAAGATCAGCCAACAAGTAGGTTGCAAAAAATATACTGAGAAAAGAAAAATAAAAATGAGGAAAGTAAGTCTTTCGTAAAACTGACGTTTGCAGATTCTACCAGCGTCAACTTGTAGCTTTACTCATCTCCCCGACACTACTTCTACTGTCACCACCACCACCACAACTTGAGCCACCGTGAAAAATAAAATCCACTATCAAAACTGAACAAAAAAATATCAGTTTGTCCGTCTGTCTGTCTCCCTGTCGATAAAGACATCTTCGAGCTACCTTCAACTTATAGTGACACTAGGAGCATCCGAACCAAAAAAAAAATACTTCTTCGACTTGTCGAAAAAAAACAAAATATCGATTCATCCACCCCAAAAGCTCTACTGCTACTTCTTCTCGTCAATCATCACGTTTTATTTAGCTGACATACGACCGCTACTTCTCTTTGGCCGAGCACAGCAATATGATCACCACCTACACACCATCCCAACCCAACCACCACCACCACATGTTCACAAGTGTCTGGTATTTCGCCGATTTTCCAAAAAATTTTCTATCATTGACCGATGAAACAGTCTCTCCAAGGAATGGAAGAAATTCTCTTTTTTAAATTCTCTGCATAAAAAGGTAAACAAATAAAAATTGAAAAAAGTAAATAATTTCTGATAACTTGGAGAACTGTCACAAAATTCACATTCGGATCATTCCATCATATTTCTCTTTAAATCTATCTCAACTGTCTAAAGGGACCTTTAATTTTCTTATTGGTCTCTCGAGTGTTTCATTATTCTCTTAGCAAAATCTGTATTTCTTTTTCTAATTTCTATTTTTTCTTTTTAGATCCAAATCTCGTTCACCACGCAGGAGATCTCCAAGCAGAAGCCGAAGCCGTGATCGTCGCTCACGTTCAGACTCCCGTGACAGACGGTAATAATTAATTTTATTAGCTAATTTAATTAGAAACAAAATTCAAACTATTGTCTTAATAATTAAATTTTTTGCAGATAAAAGTATTAAGTGCAAAAACGAATGGATCGCTGATTGTAACGAATGGAAGAGAAAAAATGATGACAAAAAAAAATAATAAGACCCGTTGTATTTGTGTGTACATAAATTGATAGATTTACTTATATATAGTAGATATATGAAGATCTATTGAATATATACAGATATATTTGCCAAGAAAATGATGAAATATGATTAGAAGTCACACAATTACAGTATTTAAAGTATTGTATAAATATCAAATTATACCTTTCATGTCGAATTTGAGAATCGTTTATTGCACCATATTTTTTACAAACAATTGTGACAAAATAGTACGAAAATCTTCTATTCTAAATGTTAATTGATATTTCTGTATAAAATAAAACTGAGAATTGATAATAATTATTCAGTGGGACAAAACAAAATTTTTATGTTTTGTGTAGTATTCAATTTTTGTACTCTTTATTAAAATAAAAATATGTAATCGAAATAATTGTTTGTATTATTCTTATTATTCAGTTTGCATATATCATTAAATATTAATTTATTAATTTTCTGTTTATCAATTTTATTTATTTGAAACCTCGAAAAAATTGCTTTCATAAAGCTGCATCCACAATAGAGAAATTTTTAGCGCGCGAAATTTAAAATACCGGATGTGATAATTTCAATATGGCGGCGAAACAACACAAGCGCTTTAGTGGTGAATGTGGCGGAACTGAGAACCAACAATACTCAAAATGGCGCCGAGTGTTCATGAATAGTGAGCATTGAACAAGATTAAACGTCATAATACAACAATAAAAAAAAAGAAGAAAAAAAATGAAAGAAATTTGTTTGCAAGTGATTATGCTAAAATGACTGTTTAATTATGAAACTTGAAGATAAAATTGCACAACCTAAATCAAATATAATAGATCAATTTTCTAATGGGCGGAAGTGAATGAAGTTCAAACCATGGATTTTCCTTAATAGGCCATTATTTTTCACTGCATACAGAAGAAAATAAAAAGTAATAATTATTATCCGATTATTAATCATAACCGGAAAGAGGTACGTTTACAATTTCTCTCATTTTCCGCTTATTTATCAACATTGATAAAATACTGTTGACAATTATATGAAAATGTTCTTTGTGCTCCAAAATTTTCAAGATTACTCTTGCTGTTATCTTTTGCCTTTTTTTCTTTGATCTCTCCATATTTTATTATATTAAATAAAACATTTCAGTAATTATAACGAGTTTACGTTAAATTTGAATAAAATTTAAATTACTGATTAGAGGACAAATTTTTTACTTTTTGTTTTTGATTTTCTTCATTTGAATTTCTTTTTTTTCAAATTAGGAATAATGAAGTTTTAATGTTGCTAGTGATAATGAAATTTGTGTTGTAATTATTCGCTAGAAAATTAAATTTTTCCAGATCAATATCTAATCAATTTAATTTTTCTTTAAAAAACGTTAATGAAATTATTTTTTATTTTATTTTTCCCTGATTTCCAGACAAAATTCAATTTTTTCCAGTATTTTAATAAAAAAAATCCCTGCCTTTTTCCTAAATTCCCTGACCTGTGGCAACCCCGAATATGTTTAAAAAAAAATATATATATAAATTATTTTTCGCAGATTTATGATTAAAAAAACTGAAATGTCAGCATGGAATGAATTTGGAATTTTCGTGGATTCTTGGCAGTAAACTAGAGGGAATTTTCGCGCTTGAATGATGAGTGAAGTCGACGATGAAGGAGATTTATTAAGCGGATGGCGTGAATGCTCGAGTTGGTTGATAAGATGTGGAGCGTTACGCGCGGATCATCGGGCAAATTGGCCAACCGCGACAGCACGCGATTTGGCATATATTTTAAGAGACGGCGTATTATTATGCAATCTCTTAAATATTTTAGATCCTGGATGTATCGATATGAAAGATGTCAATCAAAAGCCACAAATGGCTCAATTTTTGTGCCTGCGCAATATCAAAGTCTTTCTCTCAACGTGCTTTCAAATATTCAATCTCACCGAATCCGATCTCTTCGAGCCGCGAATGCTCTTTGATTTAACCAATTTTCACAAAGTTCTCTGCACGCTTAGCTTACTTTCCAATTCACCTCGATTGCGACTCAAAGGCATTCCGTAAGTGATTTTTTTCCTTAAATTATTTTTAATATTTTTAAAATTTAAAGTTGAAAAAATTGTTACAAAAAGCAAAAATAATATTAACATATAATTGAATTACAGAGGATTCGTTGTGAAGAAGGGTCGATCGCAAGAGGATATTTATAAGGATTTGCAAAGCGTCGGTGCTGGGTGAGTTTTCTTTTCTTCTTTAGAAAGATAAAACATTCCCATTGTCAAAAACAGAAAAAAAAGAAATTTGTCGGGAAAAATTGTTTGTCGTGGAATTTATGGCTTTTAACAGTAAACTTTCTTAAATGGTTTAGCCCCCAGGCTGCATTTACGATAAAACCTAGGGGTGAGGACCTAGACGATTCCCAAGTTTATCAGGAATTGCTCTGCTTTTCGACTACCCCTCAACGTGACTGGCTTAGAGCGGAGGAGGTATTTGGCATATTTTGTTCCCTATTTGATGTGCCATTCTTATCGGCAAAAGCACCATTTTTATATTGTAGCAAATTTTTCTTTGAAAATTTCTTTTTAGAAATTTTAAATTTTTTAAAATACTTGAATTCAAATCTATTGATTTTTAATTAATAAATTAAAAGTTAATTTTTATCTACCGAATTACTAAAATTTAATTTGTTTCCAAATTAATAAAAAATAAATTGGTGCTCTTACCTGTTTTTCCTGAACCCAAAAGTGTTTTCTAGTCATGCCAGTGCCTCTTAGTTGTAACTCATTTATCTGAAAAGAATTTATTTTGCTATTTAATTTTGCATTTTTATGATATTTAGTGCATGGCTGTTTTATTTTGTTTTTTACTTGAAAATAAAGGCGTGAGAGCGAGGGCCGTCGGAGGAGATTTAGATGGCGCGAGAGGGATGAGGCAGGAGGAGGTGGAGGAGGAGATGATGAAGATTCAACTGGCGAAGAAGGTGGCTACGGAGCTTGCAACAGTAATGCTCATAAAGAAAAAGTCTACCATGATTTATGTAGACTGCACCTTCCTCCTCCTCCGTCTACTGCACAGGTTATTAATTTTTATTTATTTTCTATGATTTCATTTCAAAAATTAAATTAATTTTTTTCTCACATTTTTGCCGAAGCTTTTAATCAATAATTCATCACGTTTGCATGATTATAATTAAATATTAATATAATTATATATTTTATTAATTATATTAACTCTCAGGACCAATAGGCCCTGGGAAATTTAAGTGAAAACTATAATATAATTAATAATGAATTTTCTTGAGCGTAGATCAATTTTTTCTTCGTTTAATAGAGTATTAGAGTATAGAATACAGTATAGAATAGAGAATTAAATTTTTGAAAATAATATTCAGGGGGCGATTGCTGGTGGAGAGAAGAGAGATTACGTTGTTCAGGAATTAGTCGAAACGGAATGTAATTACTCGGAGGTTTTGAATAGTTTATTGAGGCATTTTGCCAGGCCATTGTCGTCAATGCTAAAACAAGAGGATTCGTCAAGAATATTTTTTGGTATCAAGGATCTTTCAGAAATTCACGCGGGCTTTCATAGTTCGCTTCGTAAAGCACGTAATGGAGCTGCTTTAGCACAAGTCTTTCTCGATTGGCGAGAAAAATTTCTCATCTATGGAGATTATTGCGCAAATTTAACAACCGCTCAAACTGTTTTGCAAGATATTTGCACGAGGAACGAGGATATTAATCAGGAAGTCGTTGTAAGTAAAATTGATCGAAATGCAAATTAAAAATTTTTTTAGTTTCAAATATAAATTTCAAGCAGACAAAAATAGTGATTATTATTATTAATATAAAGATTTTAATGTTTTAACAGAGGTGTCAACAGGAAGCAAACAATGGGAAATTCAAATTACGTGATATACTCTCAGTGCCAATGCAGAGGATTCTTAAGTATCATTTATTATTAGAGAAACTAGTGGAAGAAACTCCTCGCGATTGGAGCGAGGATCATCGTCAATTATCGAAGGCAAGAGAAGTTATGGTGGATGTAGCACAATATATTAATGAAGTTAAACGAGATTCGGACACTTTGGATATTATAAGGGATGTTCAAAGATCAATAATCGACTGGGATGTACCTGAGAATGCGGAATTAAAAGACTTTGGTCGATTGCTTATGGACGGAGAACTCAAGGTTCATTTTTCAAAAAATAAAATCATAAAATTTCTAAATAAAATCTAATTTAACAAAATAATTAAAATAATGAATTTATCAATGAATTAATATTTAATTTAACTTTTTTTTTTTGCTAATTACAGGTGAAAGCGCATGGTGATCAACGAGTAAAGGCAAGATACACGTTTGTTTTCGAGCAAGCTGTACTTGTGTGTAAAGCAGCACGTGGCGATCAGTATTGTTATCGAGGAACATTGAAATTGGACGATTATCGAATCGAGGATCATACGGGACGACGTACACTTGGCCGTGATTCACGATGGTCCTATCAATGGTTTTTGGTTCACAAACAAATGCGAACGGCTTACACACTTTTTGCACGAACTGATGATCTTAAACAAATGTGGATAAAAGCTCTGCAAGACGCCATGGATAATGTTAATCCCGCTGCATGCCGTCACACTAATCATAAATTTAAACTAACAACGTTCGATAATCCCCGCAGTTGTCAGCGGTGCGAGAAATTCCTCAAAGGCCGAATATTTCAAGTAATTATATCATTTTCTTCATTTCCTTACTGCATAAATACTTTGAATAATTTCAGATCCAAATTTTAAAAAAATTAAAATTAAAATTAAAATATTGATCAAATAATTGAATTCTTTCGTAAAATTTTATTAAAATGTTTATTTAAATAATAATTGAATTCATTCGAGAAATTTTATTGAAATTGTATAAAAAATAATTCAATTCCTTTTAAGAATTTTTATTATTTATGAAAATAAAAAATACGTTTTTAGAAACTAAATTTCAAAATAAAATTGTATAGAGAGGATTTTTGTTGTTCTTTCAGGGATATAAATGCGACGTATGCGGGCTTGCTGTTCATAAACAATGCATTATATACTCGGGAAAATGTATGCCCGCTCCACCGCCACCCCCGCCTCCACCACCTTTACCTTGCGAACGAGCGCTAACAGACAAATTATGGTATGTTGGAGTAATGGGTCGGGACGTTGCTGCCAGTAAATTGGAAGCCCGAGAAGATGGAACCTATATGTTAAGGTTACGACCTGCCGGACAACCACGACTCCAATATGAAACAAATTTCGCCCTAAGTATCAAGTGAGTGAATTCATTTTCCCAACAATATTAAAAAAAAATATCCTATGAAAATATTTTTCAATAAATATCCTTTTAAATGAAAGGCAATTTTCGATTTTCCTATTAAATTATATTAAAATTATTCATAGAAAATTCAATTCTTTTCAAAACAATTTTAAATAATTATTATTATTATTAATTTACAGAGCGGACGGAACAGTGAAACATATACGAGTATTTCAACGTGAAGTTGATGGGGCCGATTTGTATTATCTCGGTGAATCACGATTCTTTAAGAGTGTCGTTGAACTGGTGGAATTTTACGAGAGATCGTCGCTCGCTGAAAATTTTGAAAAACTCGATCAACGTTTACTATGGCCATTTAGGCGTGTTTTAGCAAAAGCTTTATACAATTTTCGTGGCGAGGAACGCAATCAATTGAGTTTACGTCGTGGATGTCGAGTTGTTGTGCTTAGCAAAGAAGGCGAGGCAAAAGGTTGGTGGAAAGGAAAAATAAACGATCAAGTCGGTTTTTTCCCCAAGGAATACGTGGAAGAAGAATAATAATAATCATAATTTTCCATCGGCCTTTTAAAAAGAGAAATTCTACATCAAAAAAATAAAAATTTAGCTTATCATCCATATATACATTCTATATATATACAGTGATGTGCTCAAAAAAACATATCTCATTCCGCATGAATTTAATCATCCACTGATCATTAATTAATTCAAGTGATCGTTGTCAAAATGATCCCTGTAATCGTGATGTATTTTTAATTCTACGAATTCTATAATTTACGATTATGTATTTTTAATTCTACAAATTTTATAATTTTAATATTATATTACTATATTTAATATGCCATCAAATTATGAATTTAATAATTCATTATATCAATTCATGAATTTTAATTCAGTGATTTTTATTACCAAATTATAAATTTAATAATTCATTTTTAATCCTATTTATTATTATGTATATTTTTAATAATTCAATTGTCAATGCGACGATTATTATACCGATCATTGGGATTAATGAGTCTTCAACGATCAGCATGAATTTTAAATGTCTAATCATGGAGCTAATATGGTAGAAGAAAAAAAAACCAAGTTAAGCGAAAATTCTGTTCAAAAAAGAAATTAGGATAAAAAGAATTGAAAGAAGAAAAATAACGGATTTCGAGGACAGTGCGAGAGAAAATATTTGGACATTATTATGTCGGTGGATTATTTTTTTCTATAGAAAAAAGAAAACATTTGCTCTCTTCCGTCGCAGTGTTAACTATAATAATTACAGAAAGAAAAAAAAATTTAAATACGCATTCTGTACTATAAAAAAATATTAAAAAAAAGAAAAAATAGCGCGCACATGTAAATGCATATATTATTATATATATATTATATTTATGTAGGTATCTTCACTCGCGCGCATTATTAATTCATGTTATGTACTATTATTGTTAGATGCGAGAAGGTCTACAATATTTTTAATTCCGAGACGTAATTCTCCAATTGTGCCAATACAGATCGTCAATAAAATTGGGATTTGCCCGAACCGTTATAGAAAGTGTTGATTTTTCTCGTTTCATTTGATTACTTCCTTGTAATTTTCCATTTTATTATTAGAATTTTCTTAATCGATTCCCGAATCCAAAAATCCGAAAACCATTTAAAGTTTCAATTTTAATTAAACTCTTTAAAGGAATGTAAGTATTTAAAAATTTTTTAAATAATATTCTTCAAAGCAAATCAATTCTTTTAACAAAATTTTATAAAGTTCTATGAAAGAATACCTACATATTATTGCATATTCGATATTAGAAAAGTTAAAAATATTAGGATAATTTTTTTTTAACAAAAATATAGTCTTTCAAAATAAAAAATATCCACTTTTCAACTTATTTTCTGATTAAATAAATAATAAATCTGAATAAAAAGCAAAATTAGTAAAAATTTAAACTTATTAGAAAAAAGCAATAATAAATTTCTGAAAAACAATTTTTGAATTTAACACAAAGATATAAAAATAAATAATATCTAGTATTTTTTATAAAAAAAATACCATTAAATGACAAAATCGAATATAGAAGCAGAATGTGTATATAAATATTTTATTATTTTCAAGAAGTTAAAAAAATAGACTACCTTATTTCGACTTTTCGTTAAAAACTTAGTTTCTAAAATATAAAAAACATGAAAAAACTCTAGCGACTACAAAAATTATTAATATTCTATTTAAACATAGAGATTCCTTTAATTCTTCAAAATAAAAAACGAAATTTAAGAATCACAATAAAAAAAGAGCACATTCACACATGATGAATTTTTCAACGAAAACTAGAAACGAAATTAGAACTCTCGTTTACAATGTCTAAAATATCCCCCCCCCCTCTTTTTTTCCTTTCGATAAATTATTATCAAAGATCAAAATTTCTTCTCTTTTGATTAACAACCAAATCGACTTTTGACTCAATTCGTTTACAGCCTGCTTTTGAATATAAATTATGAGGTGGAGGATCAAATGTCACATGTTCCATCACCTCGTTCACCATTTCTTCAGTTGGCTCAATGAGACGATCATGAAATGCCCGTTGAACACATTTAATAACATGCGATTCTTCAAGTGGCAAAAATGGCACATAATGATCAATTAAACTCGTCTCAATTGTATCACTTTTATGAAATCCACCCTTCTCATTAAATGCTCCAATTGTTATTAAATTCTCGAAATCCTGAAGCGATGTGTCCTCACGTTTCCTGCCACTCTCCCATAATTCAAGTAAACGCCTCACCAATTGCTGACTGCCAGTGTTTGATAAAAATATGAATATTGCCTTATTTTTGTTGACGCCTGCCAATTTAAAGTAACTCGTGTAATCGAGAATTGGCACTAACGCATTTAAAACTCCCTCCGGCATTTTATCGACCTCGTCAAATACAAACAAAGACCTATCACATTGATTTATACTGCTGACAAGTTCCTGGCGTAAATCCGCCTGCGATTTCAAATTTAATAGTCAATGAAAAGAACTAATTTCTATTTATTTGAATAAAAATTCATTTTCCCTATTTCCAGGCTTCGTACTCGATAATTTTTTTGAAAAAGTAGCAAAAATTATAGACTGAAAAGAAGTAGCAAAAAAGTAGCCATCAAAAATTAAATTCGACGACTCAATTTTTTTTTATAATCGAAAAAAAGTATCTAAATTCTAGTCAATCGTAAAAAAAGTAGATGAGTACGAAGTCCGTATATTTCTTAAAGTAAACTAATAAAAAAAAAGAAAAAACGTACCTTATATTTATCGATATCTCGTTCATTGGGAAAATCATCCCGTCCGTTATAAAAGTGAAAATATTCGCTCTTCTCACCCTTTTTGAAAAGAGCCTTTGCAATCATTCGAACAACGAAATTTTTACCACTTCCTGGCAATCCATGAAAACTCATCGCCAATGGTTTTATCGGATGAAGATGAGACAAATGCCCCCTAATTGCATTAAGTACTGTCTCGTGGGCAATTTTCTGTCCGTACAACTCTTTTTTTAGCATACTATCCAGATCTGCAATAATATAAAATTGTCAATTTGTATATGTTATTATTAAATTTAGAAATAAAAATTTTTCTAAATAGAAAACAAAAAAAGGAACTCACGCCAAATATCGGCTGGAATATATTCATCAATACAACATTCTGTGACTTTACATTTTAAAAAGGTATAACCAGCATACATTCCTGCAAGTCCTGCTCCCGCATAACCAAGTGGAATTAATGGTAAAATGCTAAGTACATCCTGAATTTGTATAGTCAGGAAAACAATTAAAATTACTTGATAATAGAAAAAATTCATTTTCACCACAAGACGAAATCAGTGAAGGCATTTAATAAACAATGATTTTTATATCAAACAATTTAATAAATTTACTAAAAACATTATGCAACGGTCCAACAAAAACATGAACAAACTGGAAATATTATTTAATTAACTAAAGACTAATAGGACTATAACATAAACACCGCAAATGTTTAGATTTTTTTAGAGGTTATGTGACAGATCGAAAACACTTCGATACATTCGAGATAATTATCGATATTTACTTCATACCAAAAGCATTTCTGATTGGTTGGTAAATTTACCTGGAAATATTTATGTCCAATCAGAAGAAACTTGGTTTTATTCACCACCCTGACATTAAGCTACTTCCACACCTTTCATATTTTGTAAATTTTGTTTTTGACATTGTTGAAATATGAAGAATCTGTTTATTTTTTAGAAAAATATAAATAAAAGTTAATATTTTGTTTCAGTGACATTGTTGTAAAAGAAATGTTAAATTGTTAATTATTTTCTGACGATATTCAATAATTGTAAGTTATTTCCCACTATTTTTGAAGTAAAACTACTCTGATTTTAAGGACATACACGTGACTTAACCTATAAATATGAATTAATTTTTAATTAAAATTCTTTTACGAATATTTTCTGTTACTCTTTTCAATTATTTCTATATTGTATTATAATTGTTTTCCTAAATAATTTCTAAATTACTTGTTAATATAACTCTTTTTGAATAATTTTAACTATTTTTATTTTGTCGAACACGTGCAGGCTTCGCACTCATCTACTAAAACCTACTATTTACTATTTTTTTTAAGTTATGCTACTATTTGGTTACTATTTTTAGATTTCAGCTACTAAAAGCTACTTTTACTACTTTTTTTTAAATTAATTATGGAGTGAGAATTCTGCACGTGGAATTTTTATTTAAACACTTTAAACGTCACATTTAGTAAAGTATATATAATTTATTAAATTGTTATTTTTATTGTTCCTTTATTATTCATGATAGATAATTTATTCACAGATGACACGTTTTGCAAGAGCAAAAGGTTCTAAAGCCTCAAATGAGAAGATAAGAGAAGAAGGAACACCATGGCATATTATGAAACAACAACTCGAGGATTCTTTGGCAAAAGAAAAATCAGTGGTGACTAAAGAAAAAACTAAAACTGCAAGACAATTACTTGAGGACAAGGAAAAATCCCTCCCCGTAAATAATAATTGGGCGGAATTTGATAAACCAACAAAACAAAAGAAATCAAAAATTGCAGATTCTGGTAAAATTCAAAAGAATAGCGAGAAAAAGATAAAGAAGAAAAAACTCAAAGAAGCTTTAGAAAAGCAAGGAGAAAATAATACTGATCTTGTGAAGGATGTTAGTGAAAAATTCGAAACTAAACAAATTAATTCCGATGAACAGACGAAATCAGAAAAATCTAAAGGAAAAAATTCCAATGTTTCTCCACTAAAGAACGAAGAGAAAGAGGAGAAGAAGAAGATGAAAAAGAAGAAAAAGCGTACGAATACTGAAACATCAGAAATTAGTGAGCAAATAGTTTCAAAACAGAAGAAAACGAAAATAGAAAACTCTGAGAAATCGGAGGAAAATTCAGAAGAATTAAAGACAAAACCCACAGAGAAATTAAGTAAACGACAAAAAAGAAATTTGAAAAAAAAGAATCAAAACAATCAAACTGCAAATAGTGACAAATTGAATAAGAATCAAAACAATGAAACTGCAAATAGTGACAAATTGAATAAAAATCAAAACACTAAAACTGTAAATAACAAAAAGAAATCTGTATTTGACACCAAAGAAAATGATTGGAATACTGAAGTTAATTTCGGAAAATCAAATAAATCTTTTAATTCTGAGGAAAAGTCGAACATTCAAGATCGAAATCAGAACAGATTTAATCGATTTGAAAGGCAGAGGCCAAATATGAAACAACATCATTTAAGAAAGCCGAAAACTAGAGACGACCAGGAACATCAAAGGAGAAAACCCGTTCCATCGACGAAATTAATGATCAACGGAATGGAAATTGAAGTTGTCATGTACGACGGATTTCCTGTACAAAAAGAAGATGCTGATCGATTAAAAGAACTTAAGCAGCAGATGATTATTAAAGGTTTGTAATTAATTATTATTTAGATAGTTCAATAGATATTATTGCTTAATTAATTATTATTCATTTGAATTTTTATTCATAACTTAATTCAAATCTAATTAATTTATCATTTTTAATTTGAAATTTAATAATTTAATAATTTCATTCTTGCAGAGAATTTCATAAAAATATATGAAAATAATAAAATTGTTTTTAAATAATTTTTATTGTTCACAAAACTATGTAATTAAATTTTTGGAAAGAATTTTAATAAGTTTAATTTTTAAAATTAATTTTCAAGGAATTCCAAAATCCGAGATCGATGCAGCAATGAAACTCGAAAGGCGAAAAGCAGAGAAATCATTGGCACGCGTTAGAAAGCAAGTTTGTTTTCATTGTCGCAAAGCTGGTCACAATTTGTCCGATTGTCCCGAACTTGGTAAAGAAGAATCAGCGACTGGAATTTGCTTTAAATGCGGCTCAACAGAGCACACACATTTTGAATGTAAAGTGACAAAATCAGATGACTACAGATTTGCAAAATGTTTTATTTGCCGTGAGCAAGGGCACATTGCAAAACAATGTCCCGATAATCCGAAGGGTCTCTATCCAAAAGGTGGTGCTTGCAATATTTGCGGTGATGTGACGCACTTGAAAAAAGATTGTCCCGACGCTGCAAGAGAGAAAGAAGAAACAACAATAACAGTAAAAACAATTTCCGATTCTGCCCTAGAATCAATTGAAGAAGATGCGACGAAATTAATGAAAGAAAAGAAAGAAACAAAAAAGAAAATTGTTAAATTTTGACACAAATGAATTCAAAATTTAATTATTCTTCCAAGAGATGAAATTTCGTTATTGAATTATTGAACAAAATTATCGAATTTTGTATTATGAAATTTGAATGAAAGGTTTTATTGCGAATGAATGATAAATTTTTATCTCTGATAATTTAATGAGTAGAAATGTAACATGATAAATTTCGCAAAGCTATTTGATAATAATAGCTACAATGTCATTGAACACAGATTTTTCACCGAAAAGTTCGCAATTTATCAACTCTTATGAATATAATAATATATTTTATTTATATATATACTTCAATCGACTCCTATCTATACATTTTTTTCTTGTTTCTTACATTATTTCTACAAATAAGTGTAAAGTCTGTTTTTTTTAATATATATTTCGTCTATATTCTGTCAATCTAAAAACAATCTGTGTGTGAGAGAGAGAGAAAAAGAAAAAAAAACTGTGTTTGATTGACAATTGAAATACAAAACAGAAAAAGTATAATTTATTACTTTTTTTTAAAATCTATTTTATCCTAATGGAAAAAAGTTAATAAATCGTTAAACAATTTACTAAAAAGAGATTTTCAAAATGCATTCTTTTTTTTCGTGTTTTAAATGTGAATATTTATTCACAATTGAAATAAAAATTCTACATAACTAAAAATTTTAAAACTAAATCTAAATACTTTCAGTGAATAGTTGGAAAAAAGATTGAACATTGTAAATTTCAAAGAAAACTCTGAAAGTATTTTTTTACGTAAAGAAAAGTTACTATTACTATTTTTGTATCGAAACAAGATTAAATTTTAAAAATATCAAAATTCCTCCTCGTCATTTTTTTTCGTTTTTAGAATCTTTGTACACTTTACAAAGTAGGCGGTGAATTAAATTGAAATTTTCCCCTTTTTTTTTTATAATTTCATTTCGACGAATGGAACAATTTCTTTTGAAAAGGATCGATTTAAATTGAATTTTCGCCTTTCTTGAGACAAAAGAAAAATTAATTTCTTTGCTAATTGATATATTATGCTAACATCATATTCTCACAATTATTCCCTATAATATTTATATACAAATCAAATTTCACAATTCCCCTTCAATTGCAATGAGCTTTTGAAAATTCCAATTCAGAATAAATTGTCAAGATCTACTCACGCTTTTTAAATGATAGAAGTTGATTAAAAAAAAATAGGTTAGTTTTAAAAATTCGCTATTCTCGTGCATTCTCTTATCTTTTGTATCTTCTTTTTTTTCGATTCCAAATTTTTCTTCTCGAAACAATTTTCTTTTTTTTATAGTCCATACCGTCTTTGGTATTCGCATTAATTTCATCAGTCATTTTTGTTTTTTTAAGACTTGCAAATAAGCAGATTTATCGATTTTTAATGCGCAAGATTGTAAAAATTGGAAATTCTTTTCTCTTGTGAAGTAATATAATGCTAGATATTTTCTGCTTTGTCGGCAGATTCTATAATTTCCTTCAAGCATCGTCCAAACTCTTCGATTATCAATTTCTGCGATGTCTCCTCGTCAATCATATTTCGCTCGGCATCGTCTGCCTGTGCCATTAAACATTGACATGTTATCTCGACAACTTTGTCTGTTAGGAAATTAAATGGTTGTCTGAAAAATAGAAAAAAAAATTTCAAGTTAGAAAATCAATTGAAAAAAGAGGGGGAAAATCGAAAAAAGTTAAATCAGATTTGCCACAAATATTTTAATTTTATTTTTACAAAAACAAAAATAGTTTTTATATTAAAATTCTAACCTTGCTCCTGTATTTGAAGTGGCCGCTGGTCTAAAAGCGGTGGAATCCAAATATTGTTGCATTTTAGCTTTATTCAAAGTGAGTTGTGCCGTTCGAACTTCAGCGGCGTCAGCTAAATCTTTCAATGATTTTTTCGTTAAAAGTGTCTCCTCAACATTTCGACAACCTATACATTTACAATTTGCAGAACATGGGATTTTCGCCTGAAAAACAAAAGAAAAGCAATTTTTTATTTAAAGCAAAATTTTTCTCCTGAATAAAACAAGAGAAAATCACAACAATTGCCAAATTGTACAAATATTATTCTACAAAATAGTAACAATTGTACAATTGAGAAACTATACAAAATAGCAACAATTTGTGAAATTAGACAAATAGTATTTTTTTACCCGTTTAGTGAAAGAAAAACGTTTATTTTATTTAAATTTACTGAAGCAAAAAATTAGAATTGAACGAATAAAAAAATAACGAACCTCGTAACATTCACAGTAATTTTTCAAGCAACCGCTTCGTTTGCAGTTGCAACCTTTGGTGTGTCTTCTGACAATATCCTCACCGATATCGCGACCTTTTCCAATTTTTGGTCGGAAAGCATTTGGATTACGCTCTAAACATGATTTGATAGCTCTCTGTCTTTCTTCCTCGTTTCCTAAATTATTCGAACAATTGTTACAGTTACACATGTGACAAAATTCACCATTTGCAAAGCAATCGCAATATCTGAAAATATAAAAGTAATTACAATTACTTTTAATTAATTGTTCAATTAAATTTAATTTTAATATAATTTTTTGACTTTATCACTCGGTAGTCTTAATTATAAATAAATTATAAATTAACGATCACTTAAATTTGACTTCGACCGTTAATATCAAGATTTTATTTATCATTTAATTTTTTAACAATTACTTTCCTAGATTCTTTCTATAAGCAAAGAGAAAAAAACAGAAAATCGTTACTCACAGTTTGAGACATTGAGATTTGGTGCAATTGCAAGGTTTTCGTGGACGAATTCCATTTGGTTCGGCATTTGCGGCTGATCTCTGTGACATTTTACTCTCATTGAATGATGTAATTGATATATTTCCAGGTGAACCAATTGAACCTTGTGAACTATTCAGCAAACTCGACGTCGATTGATGGAGTGTTTTCAATTTTAAGTCATCTTTCTGCTAATGTGATTAAAATCAAATTAAACAAACGTTTCGCAAGTTAAATTTGTTTAAATTTCACTTATTAATAAGTTATTATTATTTATTTATTTCTTGATTAACGGTTTTGAAATCGGTTAGTACAAAGAACTTAATAACGAATAATTAATAAATACAAAAGCAAAATTATTTTCAAGATTTCAATTGAATTGTTTTTCAAATTTTTTAAATAAAATTTTTTTCTCAATTTAAAAATTTTAATTTCTATGTTTTTAATAATTTTTCTCCAAAATTATTTTCAAGATTTCAATTCAATGATTTTCTCTAATTTTTTTTACTAAAATTCTTCTCAAATTCAATTATTATTAATAATTTTTTTTTCTAAAATTGTTATCAAGATTACAATCTAATTATTTTTTGTAATTTTCTACTAAAATTCAAATTCAATTTTTTTAAATACTTTTTTCTCTAAAATTATTTTTAAGATTCAAAATTCAATTATTTTCCAGATTTTTTAACTAACATTCTTTTCTAGAATTTTTAATTGAAATTATTTTCTAAATCAATTATTTTTAATAATTTTTGAGAAAGTTATTTGAGAGTTTAATTTTTCAAAAAAATAAATAAATAAAAAAAAATAAATTTCGCAAAAAACAAGTCTGAAAATAATTCAATTCTACAAAATTTTAATTCTTTGAAAGTTTTTTAATTAAATACATATTCAAAAACTAACTTTTTCTGAATTTTTAATCAATATTATTTACTACCTATTCGAATTTTCTAAAATTTCAATTTAAAACCTTTTGAAATTCAATTATTTATAAAAATTGTAAACGTACCTCTTAATTATTTTCCTCACTTTTAAAAGTAAATTTATTCGTTAAATAATTTATAAACAAAAATTTGAAATTCAATTATTTATGAAAATTGTAAACGTAACTCTTCTAAAATTTAATTATTTTCTAAACTTTTAAAAGTAAATTTATTCGTTAAATAATTAATAAACAAAAAGGTTCTGATTGTTTTTCAAGAATGAAATTATTTAAAATTAATCGTTGTTAAAAAAAAGAATAAAATTGAGGGTTTATTATTAAAATTTAATATTTTTCCAGTCTTACTTTTCTTAAAATTCCCTGATTTTTCCCTATTTTTTCCCCTGACCAATTTTACCTTTTCTGATTTTTTTTCTAAATTCCCTGATCTCTGACAACTCCAAATTGTCTAAATTAGTAAAGAAAAAATATTCTTACCTGTTGAAGATATTGAGCAGGGAGAACAACAATATTTCCAACATTTGAACCTCCAGAAATAACCGCTTGACCTGAGGCCAATTGGCTCAGAGCTGAAGCTGGAATTGCGACCGCACTTTTACCTTGACCGCCAACTGAAGGAATCAACAATCTTTGTCCTGGTCCCCCTTTCGGTGTGACACTTCTGATTGCCTAAATTGTTAGAAAAATATGAATGAAAACACTTTTTGTATTTTATTAAAATATTAATAAAAATTATATTTATTCGATTAAAATAAAAAAAATTTAAATTTAAATTTAAAAATTCTCTTTGCATTCTATTAAAACAATAATAAAAATTCTCCTATTCTGTTAAAATATTAATAAAAATTCCTCTTGTATTTTCTTACAATACTTTAATACGCTGATAATAATAATAATAATTGCAAGACTAAAATAAACTCACTTTGACAATTTGTGGTTGAGGTCCAATTTTTTGATGAACACCAACAGTTTGAAGAGTTGCTTGAGGCTTTGCCTTTCCAACAGTGACAACATTACTTGTTCCAGTGGCCGGTGTGCTCACTAATCGAACATATTGCACCTGAAATTATAACAGTAATAAAAAAATTATTAATCAAAAAATTATTAATTAAAAAATTATTTCTTTTTTTAAATGCAAAATTAAAATACTTCCTTTCTATGAGGTAATTATTGCAAAATTTGTAAATTTCAATACCTGACGTCCGGGCATTTGGATTTGGTGCACTTGATTTGACGTGACGATATTTTGATTAGCAGGAATTCTAATTACTTGCCCACCACCGAGTACCGCTCCTGGTTTCAAGGAACTCTGAAAAAGAAAACATTTATTTTCTCCTATTAGAATCAGAAAATAATAAAAATTAACTCTAAACGAAAACAAAACATAATAATTTTTTGGTTTTTTCAAATTAATTTTAATTTATTTACCTGTCGAATTATAACTTTTTGAGCAGTTTGATGTTGCATATTCCCTTTACTAACCAATGTAGGTGACGATGAAATAGTTTTCGTCTGTAATGTCGGCGCTGGTAAAATTTTAGCCGGCGACGATTTTATTGAATTCGAAACGATAGTCATTTTTGAAGCCGAACCCGAAGATGGCATTAGTTTATTAACAATAATTCCCTAAAAATAGATATTTTTAAGAATTTGAGAAACAATTTTTTAAACACAAAGTCACTAAGAAGACAATTTTTGTTTTTTTTCGTACCTGTTTCTGTGTTGTGGAAGATGGTAGAATATGTTGAACTTTACTGGGACCTAGAAGACCCATTTGTTGAGCTTGAGCCAAAGTTATTGTTTTTGTTGGATTCGATATACTTTGCGATGAATTGTTACTTATAATTTTTATCGCCTGTTGACTTTCGCCTTGCGATGTAAATAAAACTTGACCAGTTTGTGATTGATTACCGGCAAGTATCATTTTTGTATAAACCTGCTGATAATTTAAATTGATTAAATTTTCGAAATTACGAGAAAAAGAAAGATTACAAAAAGAAAAAATAAAATGAAAAGGAAATTGATGTAGAGAAATATTCTTACGTTTCGATTTTGATGTCCAGTTTGATTGGGTCTTTTAATGCTAGAAGATTGAATTGTCTTCACTCCTTGAACATTTCCCAAAGTAATTGTTCCTGATTGAGTTGTCGTCATAATCGGTTTTGTCGGCTGTGCCGAACGTAATTGAACAATATTTCCATCCGCTGATTTTGCTGTTATTAGAGTTTGAGCCAAACTTTGTAATTGTCCCGGCGAAGTACCAGACGGGTGGGAAATTTTCAAAATTTGACTGTTTCCTTGTCCGCCAGCAGGTGAGACGATCATGAACGATTGACTCTGTGTTGGTTGGCCAACGTGTGATTTCATCTAAAGAAAAAAATTTACAATAAATATTTTTTTCTTCAAAAAAGAAAGAGAAAATTTTGAATGACAAATTACCTGAATTGTAGAGACAGGAACTCTTTGCAATGTTGGTTTTGTTTGGAAAATTAAATTCTGATTATGTTGATTTGCCGTCGTGTAAATAATTTGCTCGTTCTGAACATTATCAGAAACATCTGCCATTTCAACATCGGGAAGAACACTCTCGCCCTCAGTTTCTGATTCTTGTTCGATAACAACATGTTCCTCATCGGTTGTCATAACTTCCTCCGCATTCATACACTCTAAATCTCCAGAAATACTCGTATAAGCCTCAAAATCATTTGTCGAATATTGTTCGCTATGTGAAAGTGTCAATGCACTTAAATCTCCCTCATTAAGATTTCGAGTATCCAAACCCACAGATTCAACAAGGGCCCGAACGTTTTGCCCTTTATTCGTAGCCATTGTGAATTATTTTACAAAAAAAGTTTCCTCCTGTCAAAAAATGAAAATCAATTTAACAAAAATAATTTTAAACATATGCCAATCAAACATTATTGACATTCTTCTAACAATGGTCTTAAAGAATTGAAAACGAAAAAACATCCCCACTAAATGCTCACGAGAAACAATTCAAATTGAATCAAAACAACAATACGTAAATATTCCATTATTCCAATTTTTAAATTTAACAAACAATCTTTTGAATCGTCAACATAAAAAAGATAGGTTAGAATCCCAAAGCCAGTGACTGATACAAGTAAGCATTATGTTATTTCTCTCACAAAAACTTATAAAACATGCATGAAAATAATAATGAACCAACAAGTCTTAATTAATTTCTAACATATTAATATTGCCAAAGAAACCGTAAATCTGTGGTGAATGATTCAATTAACTATCACTCATTGGGCCTAATTTAAAAATTCAAAAATTCAAATACTTTCTGTTTATCTCCGCATTTCTCGATATCCCTCGAAATTAATAAATATTTCACACCCTTTAAATAACACGATTAGAAACTTGAATAACACTTATTCCTAAATTGGAAACGAAAAATTTGAATAATAATGAAAAATACGAAGCACAGTCACACACAAGTCACATTAGCGCCATTTATTACTCGAACGCGCCATTTTCCAGAAAGCAAACTTTTACCCTTTGTTTATTACTTTTAATCTTTAGGAAAATTCACTTGTTCCAGAAACATTCATTAGTGAAACTGATAAAAATACAGAAATACTTAAAAATTTCCCATTTCACAACACCTGACACGATTTATTACAAAGAAACAGAACTTAACCTCAAAATCGTACGTTCGTATAGAAATGCGTACACTACTCGGGGTGGGGGCGTGTCAGAACTTTCAATGCCAATTGTGGGTCCTCTAACCAATTCGAAAAATCAAATCAAACAAACCTCGTAAGAAAATTAATTAAAAATACAAGATTTTTCATTCATTTCAATCGACTTACCACCGTTTATCACCAATATCACGATTTTGTTCAAAATCACGCGCCCACCATTGCTATCCCAAGTTGCATCGCGCGCCGCTTTTAATAAACACGAAAAAGATTAGAAAAAACGAAGCAAAGGTCACTATTTTATCAAAACTATTTATTCTGCCCCAAAATCACTTTGGAATCAATATCAGAACTTTACTCCTCGATTGGAAACGTGGCATTTATTATACGAACTTATGGTAAACAACAATCACTGACAGTCTTTCGCGCACTTTACTATTTTCGATTTCGCCATATTTTGCCTGTTCACCGCTCCAAAAATTGTCCAATGCATCCCATTCAACCAATCAAAATGTCAATTTCAAGATTGGAATTTCTCTAAATAATAAACTAACCTAACCTTTCTGTTGCATTCTTTGCAACCTGATGCATTTTCTCAAAAAAAAAATATTAGAAAACAAACAAAAACAAACACTGGGAGAAAATATTTATCGAATAATTTTAGAGATAAAGATTTTCTAATTTGTAAGCACTATGGTAATTGTATTTTTTTGCAGGAATTGACAAGCTAAACTCACAAGAGACAAATATGCGTAACTTGTTTACCAACTGATGAAATGAAAACAAGAATAATTGACGATAATATATTTACTCGAAATAATAGAAATTTTGCGTTGTCAGTACCTTTTATTATCAATATCTTATTTCCAAACAGTCGAATCTTTTTAAAAATTTTGAAAAAGGAAAATCGGAAAATGATGCCATATCTTGCGGAAGTTGTTGTGTATGCACTCTTACTTCCGGTTTTAGAGCGGGAAAATTCAAAATAATGTAAATTTTTGTTGTTAATAATTGAAAATTTACTTGACATTTAAGTTTTGAGATTTCATTATTAAATTTCTTGGTAAATTCAGAATATTTCAAATATTATTATTGTTTTTAGTAATAATTAATATATATACTATCAGCAATTCGTGATTTACGGCTTTTACGAATGCTTACGGTCTTTTACGAAAGTTTACTGCGTCATAACGGTCATAACAATCCTGTACTTTGTTATTTATTTTCATTTATTTAATATATACAGAAAAAGGTTCATTATTAAATATTGTTTACATTATTTGCAAAAATTTACAACAATAAAAGTTAATTAGTTACCATCTCTAAATTTGCAACTCTGTCGTTATAAACCGAAGAACTGAAAACAGGTAAAAAAATGTTATATTGGCTCTATTTTATAAATTTTATGTAGTAAAAACACTTTGTTGTTTAAAAAACACTATAGAGTATTTATAACAACTAAAATCTTGTGTTAACATCGTATTATTTGATTGTTTCAAAAAGTTTAAAGCGTTATAAAAATTTAAATTTTATTTTCATAAATTTTTTAGGTTATGTTATTGTTTTGATGATGAATGAAAAATTGCTCCCGTGCTTAGTTGGTTGCCTATAGACAGGCGATTTAAATACTCATATTGTAAATAAACATTTTGTCAATATTAATAAACAAACCAAAATTATGCTAATTAGTAAATATGCTAGAAATTTAATTATATCTTTTTAATGCAATATTTAATCATTTTGTTAAGTGTATCCTTATATTATAAATGTATTTTGTTATAATATTTATTTATCAGTAGAAAAATTATTATTTTTACAAAAATTATTATTAAACAGACAATAATGAGACTAATTTTATTTATATTAATTTATTTTTGTCACTTATCAAATTTAACGACATTTAGAAGAAATATAAAGTCGCTTTTACAATTAATTTCCAATTATTCTATTTTATAAAATTATTAACAACATTTTTTTAATTATAAAGTAAAAAGAGTAAAATTTAAATAAATAGTATAACAAAAATTTAATTTATAATAATTATAAAGTAATAAAATTAAAAATTAGTTGCAAATAGGAATTGGAATTTAATAATAGCAAGAAAGTATAAATTATAAACTAAAAAGAGTAAAATATAAATAATTATAAAGTAAAAGGTGTAAAATTTAAATAATTCATAAGGAAAAAGAGTAAAATGTAAATAAATAGAAAAACCAGAAAAACAAATATTTAATTTATAATAATTATAAAGTAATAAAATAAAAAATTAGTTGCAAATAGAAATGGGAATTTTTCCCTATAAATAATTATTGTCTCCCTTGTTAAAAAAAAAAATTCTGTTTTTATCACACATTTTCTGTCGAAGGACTACTGCCCTGCACCTGTTTTGTAAACGAGAGAATAAAGAAGGTTTTCGACCTGTTCGGCCTCCACTACCTTGAAACCTGCGAACACAGTTGGTGAGATGACGTCATCAAATTACAGAAGTTGGATGAAGAATCGAGCCAGCCATTTCAGTCCTGGTTAACCAGACCATAGAAGACGAGGGCACGATTTACTGTTTGTGATATTTTTTTTTATTTATCTATTTATTTATTTTTTTTATATACAATTTTATTATTAGTGATTCTCGAAAAATATCATCAACAATTCTAATTTTCCACAGATCGTTAATGGAAATTTTACTATAAAAAAAAGGAAAGATAAAAATTTAAATAAGATTCAAAAAGTGTGTTTGAAATTCAATGGATGAATTTCAATTTTATTTTATTGTTGTTTTTTAATATTATTTATGGAGAAACGAAGAATATTATCGTTTAAATTGCATCCAAGGATTTATTCGCGATGTATTGAAAAGTAAACGCCCAGGTGAAAGGGAATTTTTATTGTTGTATTTCGTCCAATTTACAGGATGTTTCATTCATAAGAATTGTGAATTTTCATCAGAATGAATGAATTCAGGTGAGAGACTAAAAAAAAGCATTTCTTTTATTTCTGAAAAATATTTCTTACCTTTTTTTTAATATTGTATAATTTTTAAAAATTCATAATTGTTTCATAAATTTTATCAATTTCATCAATTCATAAAAAATAATTCAAAATATTAAGATTTATTCATAACGAAGAAAATTAATAACAATCTGTTTTATAATAATTTGATAATTAAAGAATATTTCTTTATTATTTAATTTCGAAGATAATTTCTTTATTATTAATTTAATTTAAAGTTGAATAATTTTGTTATTTTTTACAGTTATTTATATGAATGGAAAAAAATTACAAAAATAAATTTAGAAAAAGAAAGATATAATAATTATTATTAATATCTATATAATTTTTAAATAAATTTATAAATAATAAATAAAAAAATAGGACTAGTATAAAAAATACTTTTCTTGTTTATAAAATTTGAAATTTAAATTGTTTCATTAATTTTAATTATCTGTTGAATAAATAAAAAATTATTTACAACTATAACTTTACTTAATTATAATATAATTATTTAAATTTTTTTGAGTCGGTTTGATTTGTTATAAATAATAAAATAATATTAATTTTGTTAAAGAATGTTGAGTGTTGAATGTATGTAAAATTAAATGGTAAATTGCTCTCTTGGAAGAAGAATTTCTCAATGAATTAAATTAATCATTGTAGCGTTGAATTAAGAACAAAGAATTTCTTGGGTATTCTAAACACATGTAGTTTCACACAAGTAATCATTATATAATATAAATTATATACAATTATTGTGCGTGGGTACATTTTACACAAAATGTTAATTTTCTCAAAATGCACATTTACGTTGTCTTTTAAAATTGCAAGAATGAAGAGTAAAAAGTATATTCTAAATATTTTGTTGAAAAACATTGGAAATTATCAAATTAATATTTAAGTATAATAAATTTAATTCTATTTAATTCTATTTAATTCTATTTAATTATATTTTATTCTATTTTATTTCAGTTTAAATTATCTATTTAATTACAACTTTTTATTTCTTTATTGCAGTGCTGATATGTAAGAGAAAAAAAAAGTTATTTCTACAATTCAATGATGACAACAACGAATAAGAGGAAATAGAAAAAGAACTGAAGATAATGGACCACTTTAATGTATTTGATAAAATTTCAAATAGAAGATTGAATTTCGGAATTTCCTTGTTTTTTTACAAATGATTATCGTCTGGATTATTGTGGGCAATTAAACTAAAGAAAAAAAAATTAATTATAGAAGATAAATTTATTGAGCAATGATGTGGCCAATAGTGAGAAAAATATGCCGAATTAAGCTTATTGTCTTATTTATAATATTTGTCGTTGGACTAATTTTTATTTGGTCGAAAATCAATATTCAAGACAATGACAATTTTAATTCTTTTCGGTAAGTTAGACAATATTTCTAAATAGATTTTTAAAAATTTGTTATATTAATAAATTTATTTAAAATAATTAATTATTGAATATTTTATAGATTTATTTAATTTACAGACTTTATGAGTTAATTTTTTATTTATTCATAAAGTCTGTAAATTAAATAAATCCACAAGATATATCTAATAAAATATTAACTTTTTAGAGAAGATGATGCTTATTGAATTAAACATTTATTATTACCTATTAATTTTTTATTATTATTATGAAGAAATCAAAGTTGATAAATAAAATTCAATCCTAAATGGAAAATGGAATAATTAATAAAATTGTAAAAATAGATTTGAAAAATAATTTTGCCATTTACAGATCTTCAGACAGGGAGAAAGATTACATTGATCGAAGAGGAATTCACGTGGTTGTTGGTCATTATATTGGCGATTCAGTTGATCCTCTCAAAAGTCCCAATATTACGAAAGGTACAATTTCTCCTATTCTATACGCCTAGAATTTTTTTTTTTATTAAATTTAAAAATAAACTTTTTATTTCACCGTTAAAATTGTTTTGGCTTTTGTAATATTTTTTTTCTAAAGTACCTTTAGTTTTTTAATTTATATTTCTTACTTCATTTTCCTCTGTAATATTATAAACTATATCTATAATATTATCAATAAATAAATCATTTTGATTTATTTAAAAATTTTTAAATCCAAAAATAAACTTATAAATTACTTAAAATTAGTTTTAGAGTAAAATTTTGTTCTTCTAAATATTCTATTGTCTTTTCTATTGTATTTTAGATCTCATCAACAAAAATATGTTTAATCCCCGACCTTTTGAGGGAAGAGATGGAGATCCAGTTTTAATTCCTTCGAAAGATTTTTACGTGATGCAGCAACTTTTTCAAATAAATCGATTTAATTTAATGGCAAGTGATCGCATTCCTTTGAATAGAACGTTGCCCGACGTTAGGAAAAAAAGGTTTGTTTCTTGATTATTCATTAAATTCGTAATTAATTTCATTCACAATTACTTTTATGTATTTTCCTTTAATTTTCAATTTTATTAATAAATCATTAAAATAAAAATAATTCTACATTTTAAATTAGTTTCAGCATAGAATTTTTAATATCATTTCAAAATTTTTCATTTATTTGGTTATTAAATTATTTATTTAATTATTTACATTACAATTTATTATATTGCAATTTACATTACAATTACGTTACAGCATTAGTTTTACGGAAATTATATTAAATTTTAGAAGTAGTGACTTTATGTTTCGTTTAATTTATTAATTTATTGTAATTATTTTTCATTGCAGATGCATAGCACGTTATGCAAATATTGATGGTTTACCAAAAACGTCAATTATTATAGTTTTTCATAATGAAGCTTGGAGTACACTTTTACGAACCGTCCATAGTGTTATTAACAGATCGCCAAGACAATTGCTCGAGGAAATTATTTTGGTCGATGATAATAGTGATCGAGGTAGGATTTTATTTTTAATAGTGATTCAATGAAAGACAATTTTTTGTTTATAGTCACAGAAATTTTAATTTTTTCTGGATCAATACAAATATTGAAAAAATATCTACTATTTATTATTATTTATTTATGATAATTACACGGGCATTTATTATTTATTAATAATTCGTGCATAAGGTACTAAAGGCATAAAATTGAATTGTATTTAATTTTGTTTTTATTAAACAATAATTATTTAATTAATAAGAATTCTTTTCATAATTATTTATTTAATTAATGAGAAGTTAACAACAAACTTGTTAACAAAAAATTATTAAAATTATTAATATTAATAATCTTTAACGTACTTTGATAGTAAATTATTAAAATAAAATAATTATTATTACTATTATTAAAAATATTATGATAAAAAATTTATTTTTACTAATCTAATTTTTTTTTCTGAACAGAATTTCTCAAGACTCCTTTGGATGAATATGTGAAAAATCTAACGATTCCAACGTATGTTCTGAGATCTGTAAAAAGAGTAGGACTGATAAATGCGAGACTCTTAGGTGCTAAAGCGGCAAAAGGAGAAGTTCTCACATTTTTGGATGCACATTGTGAATGCACGGTTGGTAGGTGAGATCTGATAATTTAAATATAAATTTTAATATTCGAATTTAGAAAAGGGAATTCTTTTTTTCTCAGTTTTTTTTTTTGCAAAATATTGACAAAATTTTAATATAGATTTTATTTTATTTATTAACTTTACTATATATTTATATTTAATATTATAAGATTTTAATATCAGATAATAATAGAAAACTTATTTGATAACAAGAAAAACTTATTAGTCATAGTTATTAATAATAAATAATAGTAAATTTTTCTAAAAAGTAAATAAATTTTTATTTCTTTAGGATGGTTGGAGCCTCTACTTGAAGCAATTTCGAAAAATCGAACCAGAGTTGTTGCTCCAGTGATAGATATCATTAATGACGACACCTTCAGTTATGTCAGGTAAATTTTCTTTTAAAAAATTTGCACACAATTCAATCTTTCTTATTTTTTTCCCACTTGTTATAAAAAAATCATAGATTATTTTTTTTCTTTATTTTTTTACTATAAATTTTAAATTTTTATTATTTTAATTATTAATATTTATAAAATGTTTTACATACGTATTTATTTGTAATTATTATTTATTTATTCAATTGTTTATTTAGTTTAAATTGAAAAATTCTGTGATTAGTAAAATTAAAAATCGAATATAGTAAAAAGAAAATAGTAAAAATATTTAAAATTAAATATTAATTTAAATTAATATTTATTAGTTATTTATTATTTAATAATAATAACAATAATAATAATAATTTAAATAATACTTAATATTTAAATTTAAAAGTAGAATAGAATGTGAAATTGAAAGAAAAAAAAATTCTCAATCGATTGTTTGACTGTAAATCGTTTTACGATAAAATACAGAAATATGTTGCTTATTATTTACCTTTTGAAAATGATGTCATTTAATCTTATGTTTCGGAATTGCATATGGCACACGAACCGGAACAATCGTTCGATTTACAATGATTTGAGATCGTTGCGGTCGCCAATTGATCTTTGGCCTTAGATCACGACAGAAAGCTTGATACCACGAGAGACTCTTGAAAATTGCTTCAACTTTTAATATCCGTCTTATGAAATCGACAGCTTCTATGTCTAAAGAGTTCTATTTTTTTCTTAATTTTAATAACAACAATACTCACAAGTAAAATCCAATTAAAATCTTTTTTTATTTTTGACCTTTGCTTTGCGCAGAGAAAAATGATTAAAAATCGAATTTTATTATTACAATTTTGTAATTATTACATTATATACAAATTTCTTCATTTTATTTTTTAAATAATTATTTATTTTTTACTTGTAAAATTTTATTCTATTTATTTTTACTATTTTAATTCTCATTATTTTACAATTTTGATTATTTTATTTTCTTATTTGATTTTTTGTTAAATTTGATTACTTTGATTATTTTTATTCTCATTATTTTATTATTTTTACTATTTTATTTACGTTTTTGATTTTTTGTTAAATTTTGATTTAATATTTTGCTTCTTAATTTCAGATCCTTTGAATTGCATTGGGGCGCTTTTAATTGGGATCTACATTTTCGTTGGTTAACATTGAGCGGACAAGTATTAAAGAAACGTCGTGAAAATATTGTCGAACCATTTAAAACGCCGGCAATGGCTGGCGGATTATTTTCCATGGATAAAAGTTATTTTTTTGCTCTCGGCAGTTATGATGATCAAATGCAAATTTGGGGCGGTGAAAATCTTGAATTGTCATTTCGTGTATGGCAATGTGGTGGAACTATTGAAATTGCCCCTTGCTCTCATGTTGGTCATTTATTTAGAAAATCATCGCCCTACACATTTCCCGGGGGCGTTGGTGAAATTCTTTATGGAAATCTCGCCCGCGTTGCTCTCGTTTGGATGGACGAGTGGGCGGACTTTTATTTTAAATTCAATCCACGTGAGTCGAAAATATCAAATTTTAATTTCTACTAAAAACTAAATTTAAAAAAAAATTAAACTTTCGTTTTATTTAGATTAGATTTTCTATTTTATTTATTTACTAAGAAATGTTACGCGCTGGCCAGCGGAATGTGATATTCAATTTATTATTATTATTATGAAAATTAGAAAATTTTTTATTTTTAAATTTAAATTTTTCTCCTTTTATTTTTAATAAAAAAAAAATTCTTTTCTTGAGCAGAAGCTGAAAGAGTGCGAGATAAGCAGCAAGTGAGATCTCGATTGGAAATGAGAAAAGCCCTAAAGTGCAAGAGTTTCGAGTGGTATTTAGACAATGTCTGGCCCGAGCACTTTTTTCCAAAGAAAGATCGATTTTTCGGCAAGGTACAGAAATTTGACCAAAAAAAATAATGAAAATCGACAGAAAAACTTTTCTTTTTCCTTTTTGTAATTTTAAATTTCAATTTTATTTATTTCCGTTTTTTTATTTTAATATAAATTATTATTATTATTTTATTTTTTTTATAAATTATTATTTTTTTATAATTATAATTTTCCAATTCAGTTTTTTGAATGTAATTCATTTATATTTTATTTTTTAGTTTCAATGTTCAATTTTTTCAAATTTTAATATTAGATAGTTAATTATTTTTTATATTTAATTTCTATTTTTAATAAATTGGATTAAATTGTAAGTTTTATAAAATATGAAAAAAATTATTGTATTAAATTTGAATGAAGAAATTATTTTTTTGTACAAAAAATATAAATATTTTATTTAATAATATTGAATGAAAAAATTAATTCTGAGACTTACTGTTCGTTTTATTTTTATTTTAATTAGATTCAACACGTGAGGTCGGAAAATTGTTTAATGAGGCCAATGGCGAAGGGAACGTACAATCATCCAGCAGGAAACGTAATGATTGTTCCCTGCATAAATCCTCCGAATTTGGTTCAAATGTTCGTGATGACCAAAGAAGGCGTGATAATGACAGACGAAAGTGTTTGTTTGGATGCACCTGAAAAAGATACTCAACACATTAAACCAAAAGTGAAAATTATGATGTGTAATGGTCTCGAAAGACAAAAGTGGGAGTATAATGAGGAGGTAATCATATATTTTACTTCACTTAAATTTAAAATTACTTTATTCCCCTTTTATTATTCTCTAAAACAATACTTTGAAATTTTATATTTAAAACTTTCAAGAAATTATGAAAAAGAATTCTTCATTTAAATTATACAATTGTTTTCCAATCTCGTATTTTCGTAATTTTTCTGTCCAATGTCTGGTAAAATATTTTTTTTTCAATTTTTTAATTTAAATTTCATTTTTTCTATTTTTCTCGTTTTAATTTTATTTTTTCCTCTTTTTTAAAATTTAATTTATCACAAATTTTTGTTATCAATAGTATTAAATTTATCTTCTTTTTGTTTCTTTTCCAGACCAGGAAATTGATTCACAAATCCTCAGAAATGTGTCTGACGGTGTCGAGCGATAATAAAGACGGTCCAGTGTTGACTCCATGTGATGAGAATGTGGATCAAGAATGGATGTTGAAATCAATTCTTTGGAAGAATGATTGAAATTTGAATATAGAAACTCGTCGAGAAATATTTGAAAAAAATATTTTTAACGAATTGCAAATGAAAGGAATAACAAATCAAAAATATCAAATAAAAAGACGCTAATTTTTTCGAATACAAATTTCTAGATGATATTAATTCCAAAAAGACTGATATTTTAGATAAATTTTAAGTTTTAATGTTCGTTAACTTGTAAGTACTTAATTGTCTCTGAATTGTGGATGACTGCATTTTTTTGTATTTTAATTTGTAATAAAAATTATTTTTTAAGTCAAAAAGAGAAACTAGTTTTTATTATTTTCCTCTAAAATAATTTTTCCATATTTTTTAATTTAATAAAAGGAAGGTAAATATAAATTAATTCAGAGTAAAGTTTCAGTATATTAATTTACAATAAATTCTCAGTAAATTTTCAGTAAATTAATTCACAGTCAACTCTCAGTAAATTAATTCTCTTTAAGTTAATTTACAGTAAATTATTAATTACAAAAAAAAATGACTGAATTTGAATTTATTGTGACGAAATAAAGGAGACAAATTTTGCAGGAGGAAAAAAATGGAAATTTTCTGAAAAATAAACGTGTTTGAGAAAAGAGTGATAATTTTTCTTCTTCTCCTTCTTCTTTTTTTTTTTTTTTTTGTTGACATTAAAGGGTGTTTCCGTCTCGCTTGTAAATTAGTTAATCTGACATGTTTCTTTCCAAGGCGTCGCGACTTTCTCAAATTATAACTTTTTTTCTGACACGTGCTCGCTTGCTTTTAAAGAAAGTACTCGTAATTCAAAGTCGTAATCTCGCAAGCGGGTATTGTGCGTTATAAGACGGTTAAGACAGTCAAAGAGTCGCATTTAAAACTGACACTTGAGAGCACTCACTTCCTCGATTCCAGCTTTTCCTCTTCAACTGGTCTGGAGAAAACTGCTCTCTTTTGAGAAAAAAAAATTCATTTTTATGTCGGTGTTTATTGCCAAGTTCAACTCGAACGTAAATTCGAGCAATTTCTAAAAGCAGAGCGCTCGACTTTTTTTTTTTTAATATTTCAGGTTTTAATCGTATGCGGAAGGAAAATATGCCTATAAAATAATTCGTTTTTTTAACCAATTCATTTTTTCTCGATTAAAAGTAATTCTTGCAATAATTTTTTTAAAAATCGAAACAGAAAATAAATCCACTGATAAATGAAAATAAAAGGGACAAATAAAATAATTTTATAATAAATGAAACTGATAATGACAAAAATCTAATAATATTATAAATAAATATAATAAATAAATAATAAAATAAAAAATCCACTAATAAGTAAAAATAATAAAGTAAAAACCATAAAAACCAATATATAAAATAATATCTTATAAATAAAACTGATAATATCAAAAATATACTAAAATAATAAGTAAATAAAGTAGAATAAATAAATAAAGTAGAAACCACATTTTTGTTTTGGTTTTTTTATTTTATTAAATATTTATTGTTAAATTAAATAAAATAAAATTAAATAAATTAAAATGTAAAATTCAGAGAAATAATTCAATATTACATAATTATTAGTATTTACGAATTTTTGTGCGGGTGCAAGAAGAATAAATAATTTTTGAGGTTATAAACAAAAAATCTGTAAAGAAAAAAAATTAATATAGTTATTAAACAGTAATTTTTAAAAATACACACCTGGATATTTTTATAGCAAACAAGTATATTTCATTGTTGTTATCAGAGAAAAATATAAAAATTAAATTTTTTTTCCCTCGTTGTCTAAATATGTATTTATCGTATTTATTTATTTGTTTATTAACCAGAAAAACAAGAAGAACAAAAGATTTCAACACATAAAGTGACAAAAATGTGTTACGTCATTGATCCAATTAACATTTTTAAATAAAAAACCAAATAAATAAATGAAACACATTTACTTTCTCGTTTGTTGACAATTTTGTTAATTTTGTAAACTTTTTAACCTCTCTTTTACAAAAAATTTTAATAAATAATTTGCGCAAAAGAAAACGATTTTTAAATTTTCGCGCAATTGGAAATACTTAGTAAAACTTGTCCACCAATCAAAAGAAGGCATCTATTTCGCCCTAAGGTTTCCAGCCAATGAGAGCACACCATAGCGTTGGCCCTTCATTGCTGTTGTAAGCGTTCCTTGAGATGGCGGCTCTCTTCGTGCTCCATAATTATTCCATCAAAAAAAGGTGAATCCTTTTATTTTTTATCAATATTTTACATTATATTACTAGTTTTAGCAATGGGACATACTGTTCTATGAATATTTTGATAAAAAATCGTTCCATGTTAGCCATGGCGTGAAATATGCGTGACTCTCGCACGGCTATTTCCAATATGGCTGCCATGGCTGTATTTGCGTTTCGCGACAAATATCTTGCAAAAGTTCATAATGTTGCAAAAGTATGCAAAAATATTGTCAAATTGTAAGAAATACATTGTTTCTAGACAATATTTCATGATTATTTGCATTTTTGTTCGCAGATGCATTCGTCTTTTGTCCGACAATCGTTTGCAGCAAGAGAGAGCTCTCCATTAAGGTAAGGGAAAAAATGATGAATAATTTTACACAAATATCGAATTTTTTATTATTGTGAATGTTTTGCTGTCTTATTATATACTTGTTAGGTAAAGTAGTGATTATTTACAGGAAAAAGACATATATTTAGGGACATTTTACAAATTTTTCAGTTTTAATCGTAACAAACGTGATTTCAGTTGATAAATTTTTAGGTTAGGTTTTGTTGTCAAAATATTTCGTAGTCATTTCAGTTATAAATCAATAAATGAATCAAAATATTGTACGGACATGAAAAAATCGTGTTTTAATGAATAAATTTGTAGGTTAGGTTGTTTTTGTCAAAAATATTTCAATAAATTTTCGATTAAAATGCATATTTTAGGAATAAATGCGAAAAAAAAAATTTTTGTGTAATTCAAGTTTTTCTTTGGAAATAATTATAATTATCACAAATTTTTTAGAATAAATAAATGTTTATTAGATAACGATATGATTTTACAATCGATGATGAATATTTAGAAGATTTTTCAAAAAATTTTCTATCAAAATGTGTATTTTTGGAGTAAATGAAAAAAAAAGATAAAATTTTACTAATTCAAGTTTTTCTTTGGAAATAATTATATTAATTGCAACTTTTTTTGAAATAAATAAATGTTTTAAGTAATTTTTATTAAATAACGATATAAATTTACAATCGATGATAAACATTATGGAAGATTTGTAAATAAATTTTTTATCAAAATGCGTTTTTTTGGAGCAAATACAAAATAAAATAAAATTTTACTAATTTAAGTCTTTCTTCTGAAATAATTTTATTTATTGCAACTTTTTTTGAATTAATAAATTTTTCAAGTAATTTCTAATAACGATTTAGTTTTACAAATGATATTAATATTTTAAAGAAAATACCAAGAAAAATTCGAAAATTGAAAAATCGATTTTGTTTTCTTTTGCAGAGACAAAACAAGGGACTGCGCCATATATTTTGCAAAGTGAACCAAAATTGCAAAAATGAAAATTAGAATTAGAAAAATTAAAAATCACTAAAAAAATGGAATCACAGCAATTTTTTCGAGGTTTAAAGTTTAAAATTGAAAATAATTTTTTCAAAGTGTTAGAGTCAGTGCGGGATATAAAAAAAAATATTTGAATCATTAAAACACGTAGGAAATGTTTAGAAATTTTTCAACAATTCAAGTATATTATAAAAATTTTAACAACAAATATTTTTTCTTAATATTAAAATAAATACTTGAGAATAAATCAGTTTTTTATCATAAATTAAAAGCAAATTATATTCTTTACATATTAAAATAGCTTAGAAATTTTAAAAACTTATTCATCTAAAGTAATTTAATTTATTCTGAATCAAATATATTTCTTTTTTCTGAAAATATAAAAAAGACTTGAAAATTCTCTTATAAATTAATATTTAAAATACAAAATTCACTAGTTTTTTCAATTTGAGATTGACAATTATTTAAAAATTTATTTATTTAAAGTAATTTATTCTGATTCAAATATATTTCTTTTTTCTGAAAATATTAAAAAATAGACTTGAAAATTCTTTTATAAATTATATTTTAAGTACAAAATTTACCATTTTTTTCAATTTATGATCGAGAATTAAAAATTTATTTATTTTTAAGTATTTATTTAATTCTGATTCAAATATATTCATTTTTTTCTGGAAATATTTATAATAATATACTTGAAAATTCTTTTATAAATTGTACTTTAAATACAAAATTGACTAGTTTTTTTAATTTGAGATAGAGATTTTAAAAAAAGTAATTTAATACTGATTCAAATATTTTATTGAAACGAGTGTTGTGTATAAAATTCTCTACGAAGAACGGAAGGACTCCAATTGGACATTTACCATTTTTAACTGGAGGTAAATTATTCAAGGTACATTTTTTTATTCTTATTTCATTTTTATTTAATATATTTTCTAGTTTTCTAAATGATTTATTTTTTATACAAAAATTTGCGACTCCAAAAGTGGCGCATTGAAAATATTAACTTATTTTTAAAATCAATGGAAAAAATGTACTTTTTTGACAAATTCTTTTGAGTGAGACAAATATTGACTTTCGTGAAATAATTTCTTTAAGGGCATTTGAACCATTATGACGTCACACTTTGTGCAAAACATGTGTTTGAAAACTGTGACGTCATCATGGTTCAAATGCCCTTAATGAACAATACAAAATTGTATAGGTATTATATAATTATTTCATTGAAGAAGCAAATATGCATTTACGATTGTATAGGTGCGAGACTGGTTTTGTTGTATTCATACATAATATGCATATAATTCAAAAAAAAAAAAAAACTAAAGAGCTTCTTTCCTTTCGGTTAGAACATCCTGCGTCTAGTTATTGTCATTTAAGTGATTCACTGATAGTTAAGGTAGTGCGTGATGAGCCACCTTCTGTTGTCATCGTTGTCAAGGTTAGATCTACAATCGTTCCAATTCGCCTTTAACTTTCAAGGTATCTTCAGGGTTGACTCTTAAATTGATGATTATCATCATTATCATCATCTTTTTCTCTTTTTTTTACCCCCTCCGCTTCTTTTTTTTACTCCAGTTTTCCTACTGTGAATTTTTAATTTCTTTCAATTGCTATTATAATATCACTCTCTGTCTCTCTATACATAGTTTTCAATGGAAAAAATAATGAATTTATTCTAGGAAAAAATAAATATTTATTATCGTCTCATTATTTATGGAAATTTCAGGAGGAAAAAAAAATTCTTTTTTTTTCTTTCTGCAAATTCCTTTATTTTCTATTTCGTTAAATGTATAATACTTCTTAAAAAAGTGCAATTTGAAATAATTTTTTTTTGAATAAAGGTAAATAATTAAATTTTGTAAATTGTTGAAAAAAATCTTATTTTTTTCTGCAAAAATTATTTAATTTTACGGGGAATTGAAACGAGACTTAATTGTTTGCTAAATGACTGCCGAAGTTTTGTTTTAATTTATTAATACTTAATTATAATGATTATTACAATAATATTATAATTAATTATTTATAATGAATTACAAAACTAGGAATCAATTTATAAATAGAAAATATCACAAAAAAAAATATATTTTATAATTATTTGTAAAAAAATAAATAAATTAAAAAATAAATATATTTTTCAGGATTTAGATTTAAATTAATTTAAATTAAAATTCTCCGAAAGTAATTTATTCAAAAAATTTTTATTTATTAAAACAAAGATAGGGTTTATAAAACTACTAGAAGTGAAAGAAAAGAAAATAATTATGAATCGATTGGATAAAATAATAATTAACAATAAATTTAAATTAATAGTTATCATTAAAAGAAATGATTCATAATTAATATTTTATGATCATAATTAATTAATAAATTACCTATTATCTAAAAATATTAGTTAATAATTTTATTATTCAGAACAATAATAGTAATAGTAATAATAAAAATAAAAATATTAATAATAATAATAGTAATAATAATAAGAATAATATTAAATATTAAGAACAAAACTAATTTTTTTTAAATTTAAAATTTATGATAAAATTTATTTGTTTTGAAATATAAATAAATAATGAATTAATTAATAATTTGATTGTTTATGTAATTATAATTTTTATTATAGTATTCGAAATAAATTAAATATTAAGAATAATTATTTTGGTTATTAAAAGACGTGCTTAGAATATTTTTTTCGGATTAAAAGTTAATTGATACAATAAAATGCGCGATAAATCAGGAATGTTAGTAAATTCATAGTAAATAAAGAATTTTATCCTCTTGAGAATCTGTATATAATAATTATATCATCATTATATCATTAAAGCGAATCATTACCCTACCATTATTGTGTTATTACATTGTCGTTATAAGTCCCGTCTAACTGTAAATTATAGGTTCACTATCGCCATTTAAAATTAATTTCCAATATTTTATTAAATTTAACTTTTACTCCATTTTCACTTTTCGATGATGGGCGGGTTGAAAGTTTTTCTGCAAGTCAAATAAAAAAAATTTGTCTCAGTCACACTGAAAAGAAAATTTATATTTGGTTCAAATAATCGATTGCTTGTCTATTATTATCATCAATGAAATATTTACTTGAATCATATAATTTTTATTTAAATTAACTGAGAAATTATTTGGTAATTTTTATTGTAATTGTTTTGGAAAAAATGCTTTTTTCAGATAATTTCTCTTCTCTAATTTATCTTTCTATTGTTTTATAGAAAAATATTTAGTTTTATTCTTTTTTTAGTTCGTAGGTTTTTTTTAGTTTGTTAACGTTTAATTTAATGGGTTTTTAATTTATAGAAAGTAATTAATAAATTGATATTTTGAGTAGATTATTGATAAGCGAGTTTTATACTTAATCGAAACAAATTTCTGATTAGCTAAATTTTTATTTGCCTATGTTTTTATTTAAACAAATTTCTATTTAGCCAAATTTTTAGTCAAACTAATTTTTATTTAATTACTTTTTCATTTAGATTGATTTTTATTTAGCGAAATTTTTATTTCGCTCGGTTTTTATTTAAACAAACTTCTATTTAGCCAAATTTTTATTTGTCCATATTTTTATTTAAACAAATTTATATTTAGCTAAATTTTTTATATGTCCATGTTTTTATTTAAATAAATTTCTATTTTTAGCCAAATTTTTATTAAGTTAATTTTTATTCAGCTAAATTTTTATTTCTTTAAATTTTTACTTGTCCAATATTTTATTCTGTTTAATTTTTATTTAGCTTAAATTTTATTCAGTTTAATTTTTATTTAGCAAAATATTTTCGTCAAATACTGAAATTATTGGTTCAAATAAAATTGATTTGATTAAAATAAAAATTAGTTGACTCAAGTAAATATTTATTAAGTATATAATCGATTATTTGTATAAAAAAATTTTTTTTTCCAGTGTGCAATTAAAGAGTGTAAATATTTGTTTATGTTGCATATAATATATTTGCTATATATTGATATATACTGATTATAATTTTAAAATAGGAATTGATTTTTTTTCTCGTTTGAAACACTGTAAATCATATATAACATTATGCGTATGATTTTTGTGTAGTATATCGTGTATATATGTAGAAAAATTGTAGTATTTAAATGCTTAAAGAAGATTAATAACGACACGTTGGGGCGTGTTGTATTTGAACCAGGAAAATAAATCGGAGTTGATCTTAACGAGATTCGATGATACTCTTATTTATGATCGTCTGCATCAGAAGCGTAGCGACTTAATTAGTGTACGATCAAGGCTTACAGCTTCTCTTTTTTTTTCATTCAGCCCTGATTATCGCGGTAGGCAAATACGTACTGAGAAGGTCGTGATTTAATGCGCCAGGTTCTTTATATTTTTTTCTATATATATATGCACTACGAAAACGTTTTTCTCTTCGCACTATATTGAAAATTCTTCCGGAAAAACTTATTTTCTGATCTCTCGTAAATTGCTCTTTTTCGTTGAAAAAAAATTAAAAGAGAGAGAGTGGCAAAATTTTGAATTTAATGTTATATTTATTAACTTTTAACAATTGTTTTAACAATTTATTATTGTTCTCGTTAAGACTTTCGCTCTTCTTTAGAAATTTATGGCTATTCCAGCTAAATAAAAGAAATTAACTCGCCTAATAAATAAATATTATTTTCATCAATGAAATAAAACTATGTAATTTCTTCATCCGATGATGAATGAAATTACATTGTTTATTTTCATTTGTCAAAAAGCGTTTCAGAAAAAAAAAATGAAACGAAGTGAATGGTTAATTTTGACATCTCGAGAATATTATGAAAATGATTTAATTTGAAAGTGACGAACGTTTCCTCTTCAGAATTGAGAGTTTTGGTTCTTCAAAATAAACAAGTGGGTGCCACTTGTTTTTTTTAAATTTTTCTTTTCTCTCTTTCTCTCTCTTTTGCGCTTTTTACTCCATTGTATGGCGATAGCAAAGCATAACCATAAATAAAGAGTTGCTCATCTCATCCAAAATTGGACGTTGGTTGAAGGTGATCAGAGGGAATGAAGTAACGGAGGATAAGTCGTTGTTTAAGTGCTTTCCTGTCCCCTCTGAGGACGTGACTTTGACCCAGATGCACAGACTCTTTTC